TGAAAGGAAAATATAGATTTCTTCAAATTCAGGACTTAGGAGAGACGCTTAGTTCAACCCTGAAACTAAATTTAGCTCAACCCTGAACCTAAATTTAGCTTAATCCTAAAACTTAATTTAGCTTAATCCTGAAACTAAATTTAGCTTAATTCTGAAATTAAATTTAGCTTAATCCTAAAACTAAATTTAGCTTAATCCTGAAACTTAATTTAGCTTAATTCTAAAACTAAAGTTAGCTTAATCCTAAAACTAAATTTAACTTAATCCTAAAACTAACTTTAGCTTAATCCTAAAACTTAATTTAGCTTAATCTTAAAACTAAATTTAGCTTAATCCTAAAACTTAATTTAGCTTAATCCTAAAACTAAATTTAGCTTAATCCTAAAACTAAATTTAGCTTGATCCTGAAACGAAATTTAGCTTAATCCTGAACCTAAATTTAGAATAATCCTGAACCTAAATTTAGCTTAATCCTGAACCTAAATTTAGCTTAATCCTGAAACTAAATTTATCTTGATCCTGAAACTAAATTTAGCTTAATCCTGAAACTGAATTTAGCTTAATCCTGAAACTAAATTTATCTTGATCCTGAACCTAAATTTAGCTTAATCCTGAACCTAAATTTAGCTTAATCCTGAAACTAAATTTATCTTGATCCTGAAACTAGATTTAGCTCAATCCTAAAACTAAATTTTACCGGAGGAGCTAATGAATCCTCATTGGATTAAAATCAAATTAAGTTTGTATGTTTGTCTAGAGTATTCTCTTCTTTAAAAAGTGCTAAATGTTTCATTCAAATATCTCAGCCCGCTAGAATCCCAAGCAGAAAGTTATAGCTTGAATCCTTAGCGCTTATTCATATAACTTGGATCCTTAGTAGTTATTTATATGGTTAGTAGTCTGCTAGTTATATAGCTTGAAACCTAATCGATTATTTATATAACATAAATCATCATCGGGTTTTTATGTAGCATAAATCCTAATTGGTTAGTTATACTGCTTGTATCCTAATCGATTATTTAAATAACATAAATCATCATCGGGTTTTTATGTAGCATAAATCCTAATCGGTTAATTATATAACTTGAATCCTAATCGGTTATTTATATAACTTGAATCCTAATCGGTTATTTATATAACTTGAATCCTAATCGGTTAGTTACATATCTTGAATCCTAATCGGTTATTTATATAACTTGAATCCTAATCGGTTATTTATATAACTTGAATCCTAATTGGTTATTTATATAACTTGAATCCTAATCGGTTATTTATATAACTTGAATCCTAATCGGTTAGTTACATAACTTGAATTCTAATCGGTTATTTATATAACTTGAATCCTAATCGGTTATATATATAGCTTGAATCCTAATCGGTTATATATATAACTTGAATCCTATCGGTTATTTATATAGATTGAGTTCTAACCGGTTATTTATATAGCTTGAATCCTAATTAGTTATTTATGTAGATTGATTTCTAATCGTTTTTTTATATGGATTGAATCCTTATCGGTTTTTTTTATATAGCTTAAATCCAAATTGGTTAATTATATAGCTTGAATCCTAATCGGTTCGTTATATCTTGAATCCTAATCGGTTATATATATAGCTTGAATCCTAAGCGGTCATATATATAGCTTGAATCCTAATCGGTTTGTTATGTAGCTTGAATCCTAATCGGTTATTTATACAGCTTGTCTCCTAATTGGTTAGTTGTAAAGAATATTGTATTATATCCCTGTGTTCCGTCTATTAGCTGTATATTATTTAAATATCCCTAGAATATATGTATCTCGGCAGGGATAATACCGGACTATTGATTTCTCCCCTCTCCGCCAATCTTTACAGAATTAAATATAAAGAGAAAATCTGTCGAAAACACGTGTTTGAATATGAACACGTGCCTCAGTGTTTGCAGGTCTAAAATCTCAGTCTAGAGGGTGCTGGAGATAAAGGTTGATGTACTTACATGAAGATTTATACAAAGGATATATTACCAAGGCAAAAAAAGAGGCTTCAAGTACTTTTCCAAGGGGCAATCTCCCAAGTGTGATCTTTTCCCAATTATGACTTTTTCTATTAGATGACAATTTGGTTGACAGGACAGATGTTTTACAGCTTAGAAGGATAGGTTTAGACTAAAACTACGATACACTCGGGGGGCCAAGCACTGCAGCTTAGACATTTTGGAAACTGTTGTTTGGAAATTGTACATTTAGGAAGCTCATGCTATACCTTTATTAAAGGAAAAGTAGAGCTAAGTACCTTCAAGGAATAAGAATTTTAAATGTAAATTAATTATTAATTTCAAAACTCCATATGAACTTGCAAGTATACACTACCATACATCGATGTTTCAACAATCATATAATTTGTGAACATTTACAAGAATAAATTAAATTACTGCAAAAAAAAAACATTATTCATCAATAAAACTTCAATTATTCATTTAATGGGTACCAAATGCCATGGATGTTCTTTAGGTACAGAGTGTCCCACGAAACATAGGACTTAAAAGCAAGACGCATTGAAAGTCGCCTTTTAACTTTGAAGTTATTTGTGACATTCAGTCTTCAACCTTCTTTCACATATATGATTCCTGAAACAATATCCACAAAATTCGTCTAGTCCTGCCGTTTCCAAAATGTGCTCTGCTTTTTTTGTGCTGTCAATATTACCGGAGATATTAAGAATTTCGTTCAGATTTAACTTTTATAAATAAAACCAAAGTTGTCGAAATCTGAAGGTAATATTGAAAGCACAAAAAAGGCAGACCACAATTTGGAAATGCCAAGACAAGGGGTATTTTGTGATTATTAATTCTAGAATTTTACTCCTAAAAAAGTTTACGAAAACATTCCGCAAATTATTTCAAAGGTCTGAGACGACCTTCAAAATCGTCTTGCTATTGTCTTGTTTCGTGGGACACCCTGTAGTATAGTACATTGAGATATTGTCCTCCAGATTCCATGATCATATATTAGTATTTCTCTCTTGTACCGTTGAGTACACGTCATTTGGTGTTTAGTATTTAGGAATTTACTCATTCTGTTGCACTATTGCAGTGGGACCTACAGGGTGTCCCACGAAATATGACAGTTGATGAATAGTTTAGAATGTCGTTTTCCAAATACTGGATAGGATTTTAAAGACTTTTTGCAGTGTAATTCGGTAGAAAAATCTTTTACTCCAATATATCTTAATCTGTGATCGATTTTACTATAATAAAACTGCCAATATAATGTTTATTATTATTCTCTTTGGTATCAAACAACTTAAAAAATTAGGGAAGAAGACATTTTAAAATATTCACCAACTGTCATGTTTGGTGGGACACCCTGTATGTCGTTCATTTTTTTAATTAATGGCAACTATATCTTTCAGATTTTTTTAACATGGTTTTGTCATTCGTTTCAAGCAATTGAGATTTCATTATTGATCTTTTTAAAATGTCGTTGGGGTTTGCAACTCTTATGTTTCCATCATTTGTATTTCCCTTTACTCCAACATAGAAGTTAGTCTATAAATATAAGGATAAAGTACAAGTAAATTATGAAGAGGTTTCGTGATATAAATTTGGACAGACAGACGAGGTTTAGTGATTCTAGGAAAACATTTCCTTCCGAATAAGTAAATAAAGTTTGTCAAGTGTGTTCCACTTTACATGAGAACTTTTTAAAAGTAGAGAATGCCGTAGTCTTTAAGATATGTGAATGCCTGAAGTCCTAGTATTTCAAACATGTAGTCATCTTTTTCTTTGCGTTCAAAATTACAGATTCATTCTTTTCATATTTCAATTTCTTCGATAAAAGGTATTTTTTAGAGGTTTATTCGTTGAATTTGGGTAAATAAATGATATTTAAGGATATCATGTTTTGTGTAACACACTGTTAAATTCGTTACCCAAACTTTAAACATCCTCCGTCGAAACCGATTTTTTAAATTTTCTTTGTTAAAATTATTCTAGATTTTAAAATGAGATTTATCGTCGTATATATCAATGCAGAGAAGACGACTTAAGATTTTAATTTTGATTTCCACAAAGCAATTAAAACAGCATGGATAGAACACAAACACGGAAACTAAGAGAAGCTGAGCTGTAAAATATAATCTTCTCTTTGTTTACTTGTAAACTTGTAATTTGAAAAAAGCTTATTATTAGAAATCTGAACTTAAATAGAAAAGTCGTCTTCATTGTATTGATATAAACGCCGACCATGGTTAAAAATATGAGACTTGCAAACACGGAAAGAACTAATTTTTCGAATTAGCATTTTGAAAAATAAATTTATTATTTCAACCAATGTTAAAGCGTTAAATTTCGACAAATATTAACAAAATACAGAATATACAAAGACAAATTAAAAAAACTAAATCACAGTGTATAAATTTGGTTTTGTTAGTGATGACATAATAGATTATATAGTTTCCATAAAACATATACTTTACACCATATATAATATATACAACCTTTATGCAATTTATACTTTGCTATCTTTTATAATTAAGCTTTGAGAGAAATTTTGTGATATTTTTTTAATGCAACCTTTAAAAACTGACAAAATTTGGAATGCGAGATTCATGAAAATTAAGGGGGTACATATTTCAGTGCTTAGGATCTGGATCCGTTGTGTACACAACATTTTGGCTTCCACGGGTCCGGATCCAAGGAGCAAAAAAAAATTACAAAAACCTGCTAAATAAAATTTTTGCTCTATAAAACAAATGTCAACTGACGAGAGTATTAAAAACTTCTGTTTCAAGTTTCAGCATAAACATCAATTTTTTTTCGACATTTTTTCATTTGTTAAAAATTCAGTAAATGATTTTTTTTTCAGAGAAAATCTAGGATTCAGATCAGTATTATTTAGCAAAAATTCTCTTACATTTTTTTTCTCCCAATAATGTTTATTTCTTATTTCCTTCTTATTATACCTCATTTTCCCAAAAATAATTACAAAACAAGATTCTCTGAATAAAAAAACTGCACAAAAAAATGTTGTCAGAAAATTGTACTCATTCTTTTTTTATATCGTCTGATGTTTATAATGTAAATTAAAATCTGAACGAGTTCTTAATAAAACACAATAACAATGAAATATATATTACATAAACAAAATATCATCTAATATGCTTGGTTAGGATAGAATTAAATATGACAACCTTCAACCATAAACATGAACCCCTAGAATAACCTGATCAAAGCTCCGATCTTTAAATTTTATACAAACCTTGAGATATATATTTAAAACCTTCATTTATCCCTTTAGCTCAAAAAAGGGAATTGTCGACTGGATTTAATAATTTTTACGTTAAAATAGTTACATGACCGATTCACGATGGTATCCTTAAAAACCTTTTCTGGATAACTAGCTCGCTGTAGTATTTGATTACACCATGATCCACGAGTCGGTCTGCCAGAGTAGAGCATATATTTTCTCTGTCTCCAGTTCCTCTGTCCCTGATGATGTACAGAACCTACTGATCAGGTTCCTGTATCCTCGTCCTATACTCACCAGGCACTGCTTCCCAGACATTGGGCTGAAGCTGACCAGGCTCTGTATCTCCTCCCCGAAGGGTCTGAAGACGGTTACAGGTCGGAGATTAGAGGTTTCAGCAACTACTAGACAACCCCAACAGGTTCCTATATAAAGCAGGTTTCCAACTACCTCCAAGGTGGAAACTTGACATCTACCTGGAGAGAACTGGTCATCAATGTTGATAGTTTTTAAAGACTCTGAGCAAGGAATAAGTTTACTGCAATCTAGTTTGGATGTAATGGATTTAGTTTCGACGTCCCACTGATAGATCAAACAACCTGGATACAGGTAGCTAAATACATGATTGTTATCCTCAGTAGACACAACCTGCATCACCTCCCCTAGCTCCAGGTTATGGTTCATGATATCCTGGTTTGTTACTACACTGTCTGTCAAGGAGAATATTGCAACTGCTCCCTGAGATTGACCGCACCAAACCTCAACCTTGTTCTCCGCTTTCAGTATACTTGTGACACAATGAACACAACCTGAGGTTCCCAGCTCGGTGAGGATAAAGGTTCCTTCTCCACCTGTAGGGTTCACAGGGATCATGTCAGACTGACATAAGAATATTCTTCCATTGTGGAGAGCAACCACTACACGCCCTGAAGATTTTATAAAGTATAAAGATCGAATGGGAGACGGGTTTTCAGCTCCAGGGTCCATATGATAAGAGAAAATCTTCTTGTATGTTGATGAGCTATAGGAATGTATTTCTCCCTGACTAGTACCAACCCAGATAGCGTCCTGGACAGTTGTCATGCTTGTGACAGAGTCGACCAGCTTCTCCTTTTGAATGAAATGATTCAACCAACCTCCTTGATTTGCGTCCAACACATTGAGCTGGGTTTCAGAGCTTATCATACTATTCAGTTTAGAAGCTAGCCAGAGCTCCTGGTGTCCATTTATACTACCTAGTTTTAGGCTGGTGGTTGAGCTAGAGGCAAAGCAAGATTTCTGATCCAGGAGTATTGTATCCAATAAATGAGTGAACTCGGGAGCTGAAGCAATGGAAACTATCTGGCTGGCGGTAGGTCGATCCCTGGAGTGATGAGACCAACATGTTACCATTAAATCCACAAAGTAGGACGGATATGAGAGTTCACGTTGAGTGAGGGGAGGTCTACCACCTTCAAGAATCAATTCTTTTACCGTCTCCTGTCCTTCAAATGGTTGATGAAGTGTTAACAATTCATACATAAACATCCCAAAAGAAAAACAATCAACCTTCTCCGTATATTCTTCTTCTCCGTTATACTTCATTATCTCCGGAGCCATGAAACCCTCTGTCCCACCAAACCCCTTGGTTCCGGTCGGTAAGCAGGCTCGGGATATCCCATAATCGGCTAACTTCATGTGGACGTTGGTTGCATCTCCCTCCTCGAAGGGTTGTGGTAAACTCCATACAAGAACGTTTTCAGATTTAAGATCTCTGTATATAATACGCTGCTGATGTAAATATTCCAGAGCTCGAGCTATCTGAATACAGATCTGCTGGATTGATGGGATGGATAGTTTAGCTCCAGATCTTCTGTAATGTTTAAGCATTGAGTCAAGAGCTCCAACTGGAGCTAGCTCTAGTACTATGGCTAGGGGTTTAATACAGATACCCACTAATGGGACTACATGAGGGTGTTTAATATGCAGTAGAATATTAAGCTCCTGTCTTGCTGTACAATAGGCCTTGCAAGCATATTGCATAGGATCACGTTCCCACTTTGTCATCGCAGCCTTGTATGCTGCTAATGATGAAGATCGGGCTCTGGGTCCAGGGTTTACTGGCTGGAGCATTTTGATTGCAACATCTCTGAAACCTTGTCCACCCCTACTCCTGCATGTTGCACCAAATACAAAACCGAATGCACCACGTCCAATCAGAGAACCCCTCTTTATACCCTCTGAGGACATGACTAACCTCTCTCCAAGGTCAAGAAATACTGTGTCAGGAGCCATCTGAGCTAAGGATAGTTCAGCATGTAGAGGACATTCAGCGTTCTTTCCATCAAAAGCGTAGAGAATGCATTCTTCAACCAGAAATGTGTAAACCTTGTCTTCCTGTGCTCCAATACCATGCTTTGCTACATCGAGCTTCCGTTCCATAGATTCAGAAGTCCCCTTTCCGTTCCTGGGACTCTCCCGTCCTACTCCACTATCCCTGCTCTCCCTGGACTGTCGAGATGCTTTGAGAACCCTGTTCTCCGCCAGCAGCTCTTCAACCTGTCTGCTACTCACAAAGTTCCAATCTTTCCAGGGATCATTCTGCTCCTTGTCTGTTTGATTGGTCAGACATCTTGGACAAGGGACAAGCCTTGTTACCAACATTTTCCCTTCTGATGTATGAACAAATCTAGTACCTAGACTGGGATACCAGTCCTCTAGCAGTTGGTCAATATGCTCTACTGCCATAGACAAGAACTGGCAAACTGTTCTAGGACAGGGATCCAGAACCAGAGCTTGGTATCCAATAGATTCTCTTTTCCCAGAATCCTTTACAGGACGTTTAATCACAACTGTATCCTGGGGGAGGGATATTTCTATAATTGCTGAACCTGCTTGATCAACCTTCGCCCAGGTTCCCTCTTGCTTCACCATTAAATTCATGTTGTGATAATCCAGTGTTGCCATAGACTTAGGGAGGACCTCTCTTACTGAGAAGAGAATAGTATCCAGGTACTGTAGCTCCAACCCTGTCTGCCAGCAAACCCACTCAGGTTTATGCTCATTGATAATTCGTCCCAGATGAGGATCCTGTTCTACCTCCTGAGGTATTACAAAATAGGATCTAATTGTTTCCACAACAGAATCATCACCTAGGATTCTTGTCAGCAATCTAGACCAGAATCCAGAGGGGAGATAGGCAAGAAGAATCAATCTATGGATTGCATGATCAGGCTCAGATCTATGAGAGAGATCATAATCTCGAGGAATCTTTTTTGTTTCTTTTCTTGATTGATCGATTGGAGAAGAGATATCTTTAGATCTCAGTAAACGTCGGGCTGGGACGCTTCTGCTCCGATTCTGCATCGTTAGACCTTTATCCTCTAGATCTTGAGTGAAAAATGATGATTTTCCAACAACAGTAGTTGCAGAAGTATTAATAGATCTTCGTCCTCTCTGTGCCCATCCTCTAGATCTAAGAGGGATGGTAACCCTGCTATCTATCCCTGGTATCCCGCTGTACAACATGGTTTCTGTAGGTAGAAGACAAGGTATGAGAAGGGTTCTGCTATCCCAGGTCAATCCAACCTCAAACTTGTTAAGTAGATTCACGATGTAGGATTTAGCAGAGAGAGAAACGGCAGTTGAGGATTTAAAAACATGTTTCAAATCTTCAAGAAGCATTATACCATTTTTCACAAAAGGATTGATCTCCCGAATTGTGACAACATGTGAGAGCATGTCACACAACCATTGTGGATCCAGGAAGAAGAGATCTCGTAGGGTTGCATCATCATAGTGGAGCAAGACTCCGTTCTCATGTAGGAAAGTTGTCGCCTGGTGAAGCTCCGCACTATCCCTGAAGCTTGTACTGTATTTAGACTTCATATGAGATGTGACCAGTTCCTCATATTCCACTTGTCCTAGGACAGGATCGTGTCCAGTGTGTCGCATCTCTACGCACAGATCTCCAACTATCTCCTCCAGGTAGAGGTAGGTTGCGGGGATTTTCTGCTCCAGGAGCCTTTGTTTACTCCCTTGGGACTTGAGACTAAATGCAGTATCGTAGATAAGGTTTGCAAGATGTTTAATATTATATTTGGTTTTACAGCTCACTTCTAGAGAGTCTAGGACTCGAGGTAACCCACATTTCTCCGGGTCCACAAGGTTAATAAACCTATCCCTAATCTTATTCTGTAAATATTCACTAAACGAGGGCGGAAACTGAGTACTAGTCACATCCTGATGGGTTCCTATAATTATAACCGGGGAGTTGGGTGCCCGGGCCTGGATATTTATCAGCCATTGTTGGATCTCATTTATACCCTTCTCCCCGTCTCCGATCTTCCAGAGAACAAGGTATAGACTCCTCCTGGAGAGGAAGTATTGATGTGTTGTATAGTACTCCTGCTGTCCACCAAAGTCCCAGGTTCGAAACACAACAGGTCCAAACATATTCTGGGTTTTATTCTTCTTCTCATACGTCCAATCTCCGATATCTACTCCGACAGTGCTCATACTCACTCCTCTCCCGCTCTTCATCGTCATGTTCTTGTTTCCCATTCGCCTAGCCCAGTGCTCCGACTGCCTGGTTCTCTTATACGATCCTCCTTCAGCTCGGAGTAGTTCTAAGAGGGTCGTCTTCCCGATACCTTGAACTCCAACAACCATCAGTTTCATCCTGGCGTATGGTTTAGCGTCCTCAAGGACCGATCTGAGATATCCGATAATATCCATCGTCTTGTAGTGCTTTGAGTTCGTCATAGAGGCCAGAGGTTCCTGTAGGTTACATCCCCTAAACAAAACAAAAATACTTAAATAATTATAAAAATATACACGTTGTCACCACTTCAAATAAGAGGTCAGCTAAAGTTTCCTAAAGTCAGAAATTTAGCAAATTGTGAATCTCTAGATTAAGCATTGATCTCCATGTTATTTAATTTAATTCCTCTTCTGTAGCGGTCATACCCTGCAGGGATAACTTTAAATGACGGATCAAGTTTTATCCTTAAATTTTAAAGTGCCCACATTTGATATCGAGATCAACACATAAGTTCCGACATCATATTTTGCTTAGAAATAGAATAAAAAGTAGCTTAAAGGGAGTGTTCGAGAAAAATGAAAGGGGGTATAGACTTGATGCGATAAAAAAGCGCTTTTAATCGCTACAAATCTTACTTCTATCTGTCGTCTATATAAGGAGAAAATTGTTAAAGACGTCTCATACCGAATAACATGGCGTCCATACAAATTGACAAAATTGCAACATACGACTTAGACCGCAAAAAAATCAATTTAATTTCAAACAAATCATTCAGATATTCATCGATATTCATCGATTATCTTTCGCAACATTTGTATATATTTGATATTTCATACTAGTTTTGATTTTGATTTTTTTAAATAATATTAAGCTTACAACTTGTTTTCGAACATTCCTGGAAAATATGGAAATGTCGTCTTCATTACCAAAAATCCTCGAAACAGGAATAAATGTTTTTATAAGTAACTCTCAGATCATAACAATTAAAACATATTATGAAAAATCAACTATATATAAATGTGGCGAAAGATAATCGATGACTATAGGTTGTAATATCTGAATGACTTGTTTGAAATTAAATTGATTTTTTTACGGTCTAAGTAGTATGTTGCAATTTTCTCAATTTGTATGGACGTCATGTTATTCGGTATGAAACGTCTTTAACAATTTTCTCCTTATAGACGCAACAGACAGAAGTAAGATTAGTAGCGATCAAAAGCGCTTTTTTATCGCATTAAGCCTATACCCCCTTTCATTTTTCGCGAACACTCCCTTTAAAGAAATCACAGAAATTGTATCTTGTAAAAGAAAATTAACTTGAGAATTTGCCACTACCTCTAATTTTCAAATTCATATTTCTTTGTAACCTGATGGTGTAAACCTTTGATATTTCAAACAAAGATTATTATAATTTGATCTAACAGAACTCATAGTTTGAAATATCTCATGTTTAAGACTTTGGGTTGCAAAGATTTTGGGATTAGAACATCAGAGTTTGGGTCAACGACTCAATTCCTTAATGAATCTAAGTGACTTTGTGAATTTTTGTTTATTTTAGTTAAACCGTTACAACAAACAAAAAAGCGAAAAAGACATTTAAAAAATAAGAATTTCTTATCCAAAGCTTTTTCCAAAGCTGAAGAAAGTGAATAAATTGAATAATGGATATTATGAATTTTTTATCACGAAACAGAAATGAAATGGACTAGGGTTTGGCATCATATTTAATCCGTTTTTCAGGATACTCCACAAAAAGTCTACAAGGTCTGATTAATGATTCAAAATTAGATTTTCTACAAGTTTTTTTACTTAACATTTTGCATTTGCAAAAGTGGGAGTCTGACAGAGAAAAATCAATGGTTCAGTCTAATATCTTAAAAAATAAACAACTTTAAAATTTTAAATAACGAAAAAAACAACGCTTATCACTAAACTCGAGTAAAACTATATAATATAAATTTGCCTTCTAGATAATACACTTCATTTCTAGATAATACAGTTCCTTACAAGATAATACATTTCCCTCCTAGATAATACACTTCCCTACAAGATAATACATTTCCCTTCTAGATAATTCAGTTCCCTACAAGATAATACATTTCCCTTCTAGATAATACAGTTCCTTACAAGATAATACATTTCCCTTCTAGATAATACATTCCTTTCAAGATAATACATTTCCCTCCTAGATAATATATTTCATTTCTAGATAATACAGTTCCCTACAAGATAATACATTTCCCTTCTAGATAATTCATTCCCTACAAGATAATACATTTCCCTTCTAGATAATACAACCCTACAAGATAATACATTTCCCTCCTAGATAATACATTTCATTTCTAGATAATACATTTGCCTTCTAGATAATACATTCCCTTCTAGATAATACAATCCCTTCTAGATAATACATTTCCCTCCTAGATAATACATTTCATTTCTAGATAATACATTTCACTCCTAGATAATACATTTCACTCCTAGATAATACATTTCACTCCTAGATAATACATTTCACTCCTAGATAATACATTTTACTCCTAGATAATACATTTCCCTTCTAGATAATACATTTCCCTACTATATAATCCATTTATTTTCTCGTATAAAACATTTCTCTCCTGTAAAATACATTTCCTTCATAGATAATACATTCCCTTCCTAGAAAATACATTTCCCTACGAGATAATACATTTCCTTAATAGATAATACATTTCCCTACTATATAATCCATTTATTTTCTCGTAAAAAATATTTCTCTCCTGTAAAATACATTTCCCTCCTAGATAATACATTCCCTTCCTATAAAATACATTTCCCTACTAGATAATACACTTCCCTACTAGATAATACATTTCCCTACTGGATCATACATTTCCCTACTAGATCATACATTTCCCTACTAGAAAATACATTTCCCTACTAGAAAATACATTTCCCTACTAGAAAATACATATCCCTCCTAGATAATACATTTCCTTCATTGATAATACATTCCCTACTAGATAATACATTTCTCTCCTATAAAATACATTTCTCTCCTATGAAATAAAATCCTCTTTAGCATTATTAAACAACATCTAGCTTTTTTCTTCTCTTTTTAACACAATTAATGAACTCAAGGTGAATTCTAAATTGAAATGGAATTGAATATGTCCAAGAGTAAAATACAATGTCTACATAATAATATATCAAAAATATTTGTAAATATCCCAGATGTGGTTAATATGCAACAGAACTCACACCAAAATGGTTTGTGTCAAGAAAAAAATGTTTAATTAAAGATTTTACTTCAAACCGCTTTTTTACGTTTTTAAATATAGATTGGCAAAATAAATGGTTTAAATATATAAAATTAACTGAAAAAAGTATACATTTCTTTCAGTAGTCCTATCCTAATGTTAAGTAATGAATATCAAGGGATGTTAAAGGAAAAACAAGGAAAAAATAAAAATAATAGTCCTGAAAGATATATTATTAAAGAAAAAGAAAAGAAGTAGGAATAGAAGAGAAATTAAAGATTTTTTTTTAATTGTGAATACAAATGGCGATTTTATAATCAATGCCGGGGTTCTTATATGGACTGTAAGCGTAATTTCAAGTGACCCTCCGTGCAAAGATAGCAATGCACAGTTTACAACGGTACCTTAAAGCCTTTGTCTGATCAAGTATAAATTAGTAGTAAATGTTTATTTAGGAAACAACTAATTATTTTTCAATTGTGGTTTCTCTACAGAAGTGACTTGCCCATTTCTACTGATCAGATAAAGGTTTCAAGGGTACCTTTGTAAATCGGGCAATGCCATCTTTGCATGAAGGGTTAATTGAAATTACGCTCACAGTCCCCTTAAATGGTATCAAATAAAGAATATCTTTACCTTGTATTCAGGTTCCAGAGTCTGGAGAGGAGACCCATCTGCGGGGGCAGATCAGTTATACCTTCATTCCCGGAGATATTCAGGACGGAGAGATTAGTTATCTCACTTGTACTCACAGGAATACATTTTAGGGAGTTGTTACTCACATCCAGCATACTTAGGTTACTGAACATCAGTTTAGATTTAGGAGTCAAGATATCATTCCCAACCTCGGTCAGATCTTCAGACGGAGTACTGAAATTATCCGGGTGCGAAACATACAGACAAACCTCACGGAGCAGGTTATCTGCCAGGATCAAAGTTCTCAGGTTTTCCATCCTGATGTGTCTCCGGTGCGGACAGAATACTCTAGACCCTTGTCGGACAGGATATCTGCCAACCTTCCTAGGCTCCGGAGTACTGCATGAACTTCCTGTGGTTGGGTTCCCCTCCTGAAGAGCATAACAGTTTCCATCTGTCTCCATGTCCCCTGGCCAGGAATCTATCTGATTGTGGGATAAATCTAGATGTTTCAAGGAGGCTGGATATCTTGATAAAGGTCCAATCGTTGATAATGAGTTATATGAGAGATGAAGACGGGTAAGATGAGGAGCTAGACATGGTAGACCTAGAGGGATCTCACGGAAGGAGTTGTGAGAAAGGTTTAGACTTTGGAGCTTGCATTCGTCTTTATCTATTGTTGGATCCAACTGCTCCTTCTCTACAATGACTAGACTAGACTTCCACTTGTTGCAGTGGTTTACTTGGATCTGATCCAGTTGGGAGGTTTTCTCCTCCAATTGTTTAGCATCGTCTTCAATATCTATAGAATCCTCAGGATCTGATTGGACTGAGACATTATCCGATCCGACATCACTGTTAACAGACGAGGAATCGTACATCTGGCTCTCCGCCCCTAGTGAAGAGACGGATTCGTGGCGGAGCATACTCAGTGAGGTCGGTAGATCGGAGAGCATGTTCAGGGACAAGTTTATATCCCGGATAGAGGTGGACGTCCAGAGAGCAAATGGAACATTCTGGAGCTTGTTGTTAGACACGTCAAGAATGGACAGGAGAGGGAGTTTGAATAGATTAGTAGGGATGTATTCTAATCTATTATCCTGCAGTTGTATCTCCTCTAACCATGGAGAAGAGTAGGAACAGTCGTTTAACATCTCCAACTTATTCCCAGCCAGACTTAGGAACTTCAAACTCTGCAGGGACCAGAGAACCTCTGGGAGCTGGATAATCTCATTGTTAGATAAATCTAACCTGGTGATTGCATGAAGAGCCATTGGTTGATATTTCGGGCTCAATCTTAGCTTAGGGTTCTGTTTTACGGCACATTCTGTGAGCCACTGCTCTTTAACAACAGTTAGTGCTCCGGTCTGATGCCAGTTAATCATAACAGGGGTGCTTGGACACATTGAGTTGTAGGTTAGAGAACTAACAGATGACCTACCTTTCATTGATCTTCCCATATGCATTTCAGCAATAGCATTCTTGTTTACACTGGACTCCTGGTCCTGGTGAGCCTTCAGAGCAAGCAGTTTAGACATTACTAAGAAATCATCCGTCTTAGCGGCAGCAGCTAGTGCAAGGTTTTGATCATCTCTAGCGCCATATCTCAGAAGAAGATCTATCATTCCCATATCCCGGTTCTTGGCTGCCTCCAGCAAACAAGTCGAGGACTTGGAGAAGGTTTCTCCGTCAACACTACTCCGACGGTTCTGCATTGCAAGATTAGGAACAGCTCCGGCGGCTAAGATATGGGAGGCTATAGCATGATGACGATTCCTCACTGCAACATGAAGAGCTGTCTCCGAACCCTGATTACAGTACAGGTCAAGGTCTACAGGTTTAATCCAGGTCTCGTTAGACTTGAGAATTTCCTCTTTTGATTGAAATTTTGAAAGAAGAGCTTGCAGACCGATTCCACGGGGTTTTGGAGCTCTCTCTGTTGGTTCCTCCTCTGAATCTGGAGGTGGAAGGGTTGTACTAGTTGCTTTAACTCTAAACTCCAGGAGAAGATCAACCATCCTCAGGTTACCGATACAACAAGCCAGGTAAAGAATAGACTGACCGGAAAGATCTCGCTGGTTTATATCAAACGGAAGTTCATATTTCCAGCATCCTGTTCTATCTTTGAAATTGATTAATATATCATCAGGGAACTTGTACTTTAACAAGAACTCCAGAACAGCTGCGTGTCCGTTGAAACACGCCGCATGGAGTGGCAGCCATTTTTCTACTGTCTGCATGTTTATTAGTTCAGGGAACTTTTTTAATAATATCTCAACAATATCCTTCTTTCCATTATACGCTGCTATATACAGAGGAGAGTATTTAGTTACAGGATGAATCTGTGCTCGGGCTCCTCGTTCCAATAGATACTTGACCACCTCCCTCTGCCCATGCTCGGAGGATTTGAAGAGGAGACTGCTGCTACCGTTGGGTACATAGTTAACCAGGTCTGCGGCATAGCTGTCAGTTCCTACAAATAAACAGATACTTTCACAATCTCTCATTACTGAACAAGGGCATATACATTATACATGATTTAATCCAAGAGTGGGTAATTTACCAGTTTTCCTTCTTTCTTATCCTTAAATTTTCTTTTACTCTTTATCACTCTCAGTCTTAGATTATTTTATCTCTTTTTCTTACCTAGAATAGTTTTAACAGTGTTTATGTCACCAGCAGCGCAGGCGTCTAACAAATTATAGAAATCTTTTTGTTTCTCTTGTTCCTTCTTATCCACAGCCTCCCTGAGAACCTCCATACACTCAGTGTGATCCATCTTGTCCGCGAGGTCGAGGGGTGTGAGACCCAGGGCGTCCTTGGCCAGTAGGTCAGCTCCAGCCTCAACCAAAACCTTGCAAAGAATTGTTGAAATTCAAAAATATTATATCCCCAAAAAAATATCTGCATCAAATTTTGTCATCAAAAGTGTGGTTATAATTCATCAATTAATTGAAGACATGAAGTCGTCCCTGGCCTTACTTTAAGCGGCATCTATTTGGCAACAAAATTTTGGCAATATTTTTATGAAAAAATAACTAAATAGCCCCACCCCAGGCCTGCAATCTCAAAAATATGATCTGCCTTTTTTGTGCTTTCATAATCATTAAAGATATGAATGATTTCGTCCAAAATTAAACATTTTCATGATATAATCAATTGAAATTTCAAAAAAATTCTTAATATCTCTATATTCTATAATTATAATAAAATATTTCGCATATCTTTGCAACCATGATGTCGAAAACCTTTGATATTTAAAACTCTAAATTTTGATAGATAACCCAACTTAAACTAAAAAATATTTAAGGTTTTCACAATCAGGTTGGAAAGATATATGGATTAGAAAATTTGAGGTTGTGGCAAAAATTCGTATCTTTTTAGTTTTCTCTTAATATGAACATAGTTTTAGAAAAAGAAAAAAAATGCCGAGTTTAGAAGTGTAAAGTTTCCATTCCTGGTATAAAAACTTCAATTGAGAAAAGTATTAAAAAATGTAACCTTTTAGTCACTTGTTCAAATTATATTACATTATTTTTATTAATACTAAATCATAATATACATACATACATAAATTAGGAGTCGTTTTTTTTTTTAAAGTCTGTACAGTGAACAGACTCTGTATCTGTACTAATCCTTTTTGTTCTATAGGCCTAAAGAATAATGGACAAAATTACTTACTTGTACATTTTGTACATTTCCATGTTCAGCTGCTATATGTAAAGGAGTGCGGCATTCTCCCCTAGGCCCGCATGGCGCATTAATATCTGAACCTGCTTGAACAAGTATCCGAAGACATTGCGAAGTTTCTGTGGTAGCAGCTGCATGGAGAGGAGTCCTTCCCCAGGAGTCTGCAGAGTTGATGAACTCCAGCTCCTCACCGTTCAACAAGTCCTCCAGCAACTCTGCGTTATCCCAGAGAGCTGCTTGGTGGAGCAACCTAGATAATGATACCGGGAGTTATATACACATATTCAAGAAATTAAGATTTTAAAAGCTGATTTTTAACCATCAAATAATTCAAGGACGGTTAAATTTTCAAGGAGAGAGAGGGTAAGAGAGATATTTCGCAAGGAAAGTCGAAAATCTATTTGTAAGGGGGGGGGGGGGCTATGTGATGAGAGCTCTTTCCCCCCCTAGATCAGTGAAATCTATGGTTTCCATGGAGTTTTGGGGCCCAACGGGTGCTTCGCCCCCCCCCCACTTGAAAGAAAAAACCAAAACCCCCCTACAGGACAAATTTCTGAATTCCTAGATGAAATGTCAAACTTGGAGGCGCCTGATTTACCTGCCGGAGAAATCTTCAATATCAATTAAGGATTCCATCTTGCTTTTTTTTATTTAATCTTCACCTCCTCCCGCCCACATTCTCTAAACACAAATAAAAATTAAGTATTTTTAACCTCAATCGTGTTGAAAACTTTTTACCAGTTAACATTTTTGGAAAGAGAAAAAAAATTGCCTGATAAGTGGCTTTTATACAGGAAGGGCACCGTCTTTGCCATTTTTACACCGAGGGATATGCCCTTGCTAAATGTAATAAATGCAAACTTGAAAAGAGAGAAAAGATTGTGAAGCCAATTATGCAATATGATAAATTAAAAGGAAAAAGAACAACAAAACGATGTCCTACAGACAGAAAGGACATGGAAAGGGTTAAACAAACATATATAAATAGTAAATACTGCCAGGAAAAGCTATTTCAATTTAAAGGCAAAATATCATAGTTGTTATCTATATAATCCAAAAACCGTTTACTAGGAAATTACCGAAATTTGTTTATATACGTTTTTTTTACCACGGGCAACGCCGGGCCTTCAGCTAGTGATGTATGAAAATGTAAAAAATTGTTAAGGCTTAATCAATATTTCTGTAACGAGCATTTAAATTAAGTTATGATCTTGAATATAATACACGAACCACTGTATAAAATATCTCTTTAGTCACTAATGACAATTTAATTTAAGTTAAATGAGTTAAATTATCTCATTATTAGTAAAATTCTATGTATGTATGTTGTATAGTTTTAGATAAAAGATATATAACTAAATTTACATTTTCATATCAGCTGTTTGTGTTACAACCAACCCCATCTAGTGGCGAAACTTAGCAATATTAAAGAGAAAACTTGATTTATTTCATCCTATATCATGTATATAATAAATCTATCATTTAAATTTAAGGCATCCAAACAAGGGCGTATACAGGGGGGGGGCAGTGCTCCACCCTAGACCTGTGAAGGGGGGAGGCGTAGCCCCTCCTAAAACTCAGAGCTTACACTTTTCAAATCTTAAACTCAAGAGTAAGAATCCAAAGCACCCAAAATGACATTCATTTTGTTAAAAGTATCAATTTTTTGTATGCTTTTAATGAAAGGAAAGGTTTATCAATATACAATCAGGCCCGTAGAAATGAGAGGCAGAGGCGGATACAGGGGGGGGCAGGGGACATTCGCCCCCCCCCCCCTGACAGATTTGCCTCAAACTTTGATAGGTAGAAAACCATGCAAGTCAATATCCTTAGCTTGGGTTAAGATTATGGATTCAGTGGGCTGACTTTTTGTAGAGAATTGTTAGTTTCCAGGCAAAGCTGGGCTCCCAAGCTAGTATTATATAAATCATTAAGAGCTGAAAGGAAAGATTGATGAAGACGGTTTTAGTTTAGAAAGTTTTTGATCGAAAGGAATTCTCGAATTGTTGAGGAAGGGTGGGTTTTGACAAATAAAAGAGAAAAGAAGAAATTTGTCCAGATATTAGGGCAATTAAACTTATGAGGAGAGTCTCGATCGAGGTAAGTCTCAGAAAAAAGTGGTTACGTGAGACTAAAGAAACTATTCTGTTGTTCTTCAATTTCTGGAGAAAATGTTTAAAAAATGTTAATATTTCAGAAAAGAATTTTCCTGGGAATTTGTATTCTATTAAATACCAGGTAAAATTGCTGGACCACAAAAGAAATTACTCGGGAAAAGAAACAAATTAAAAGCACTTAGCAAGGGAAGAAAAATCGTTCAAGGGCACCATAAAGTAAAACTCATAGTAAAACAGTGTGAACCAAAAAACTCTGGAATAGGAAAACGCAGTTCCAGGAGCTTTGTTAGCAGAAATAAGAGAGAACGAAAGATCAGAAAGATGAACCAAAAGAAATTGAAACTTTGTTCGAACTACAGCTCAACGAGTTTAAGTAAAAATAAAGGTTTACATTTCTGTCCGATGCGCAGAACAGTGAATAGAACTAAAGTAGAACTAGCCTATCAGAGGTACTCCAGAGCATGCAGATGGAAAGAGTTTTGGTTTAGCAAAATCAGGAAGCAGAAGAAGATGATAGAAGCGGAGAAGATGAGGATGGGATTCAGACCCAGAGTATATTTCAGGACAAGGCTATTAAAACTAATTTTCCCAGAAACCACCCTTGTCCACCAAAACTGCAGGAACATCTAAGTGCCGTACATGCATTGGCTTATATCAGAACTTTGCAGCGTAAACAAAAGGAGTGTGAGATAATCATAAAACCCTCAGATAAAACTGGAGGAGTATGTGTGCTGGATTATGGTCTATATGTAAAAGTTATGGAAAACAAGCTTGGTGAGACCTACATAGATATAACTGGAAACTAGGCACCCAAATACATTGAGGTGAAGAAGGACTGTTTAAAGAGGTACTGGGAGATTGTGAGGGATTTAGTGAGTGAGATAGTAAGAGAAGAATATATTTCGCAGAAGGATGCTATTTTCATGGTTCCAGACAAACCTACTCCAGGTAAACTTTATGATCTTGAAAAAGATCATAAACCTGTTGAACCCAGTTCAAATTTACCTCCCTTGAGAGAGGTTGTATCTGGGTCTGGCTCTATAATACAGAGTTTTTGTCAACATTTGTTGATCATCATCTGAAGGCAGATGTAATGAAACTCTCAAGCTATATTGAAGATACATCAGGTCTGTTGAGAGAAAAAGATAAGTGAAATGATTTGGGACTTCTACCTCATTATGCTTTTCCAATATCCATGGATGTTGTAGCTATGTATACCAATGTTCCTTGGGAAGAAGGACTGGTTGCTGCAGGAGCTGCAGGAGAGAGGAGATCAGATAAATCAGTACGGACAGACTTCCTCACCAGATTAATGACAGTTGTCCTGGGTTCCGATATTTTTGAATTTAGAGACAAACCGTATTTACAGAGGGAGGGAACAGCTAGCGAACAGCAATTGGAACCAGGGCAGCTCCCACACTTTGGTTGGTGAGAGAATAAGATGCAGCAAGAATGGACTGGAACTGCAATACAGTTTTACAGAAGATTTACTGATGAGTTGTTTTTTCTCTGCCTTGGGTCTAGAGAGGAGTTGGAAAAGTTCATTATCTATGTAAACCAGACTAGACTCCCAAGGTTTTCTGAAACTCTAAAATTATCCTGGAAGATTCTAATGGAAGATCCAGTAATGAAGAAAATCTAACCTTCTCCTCCTATGGTATGCTACCAAAGAGTGGAGAATTGTAAGGATCACTTGGTTAAGTCTAAACTTCCAAGTAGACATGATTGACAAGGTAAAAGAGATAAGGCTGGGTTTAAACCCTGTAATAAATCTCCCTGCCCTGTATGAGAACAGATGGGAAAGAATACTGTTGAAGAGGTGATAATCTTTTCTACCGGAGAAAAGATGAGGATTAAGGATAAGCTGACCTGCTCCTCCTCAAATATTATATACATGATTACATGTAGGAGAGGAGGCCGAGTTTGTCCTTCCCATCCTCAATATATAGGAGAGACATGGAAGGAGGCTAAAGAAAGGCTGAGGGGTCACAGAGGCATCATTACACAGCCAGGAGTTCCCTTTCGTGCCCCTGGACACTCCTATGCAGATGTATCCTTCATTCCTATATAGAAGATCAGGTCCAAGGACAGCATGGTCGGGAAGATCAGGTCCAGGGATAGCATGGTCAGGAAGGTCGAGGAATCATACTTCATCCAGATTTTCAACTCAGTGAGATCAGGACTGAACAAGAAAACATAATGCTAATTGCAATCTTTTGAAAAATGAATAATGCGTATTACCAACAGTACGTTATAGTGTTGATCGAAATCATGTATTTGACCGTCAACTAGTCAATCCTTTCCAGTCATTCAATACTCTTCAAACGAGTAAGGTACGTTTTCTAGTTTTTTTCTTGTGTTTTTCATTTTATATGTTTTGACATTATTCATTTTAAAAATTCCGTATTGTAAAGGTTACACAATTTTCTTTTTCTTTTCTTCGTTTATTCAAGTTGTTTTGCTTGTATTATTTATTCTATATATTCTATTTTTATGTTTTTGCTTATATTTGTAATTCAAGTGATAGAGAGTAGGATTGGGATTTGTTTAAAAACGATCTAAAGATCATAATTGTGGACCATCTTTTATCAAATTTTGCCAATTATAAGAGGAAAACAGGAAGACCCTTGCTGGCAAACAAGGACAGAGGGACTTCAATCAGAAAAAGACTATTATGGATTATGGACAGACAAAATATTGTCAAGTACTGCCAGGAACTACTTACTACTTAGGACCTACGATACTGGATGACTTATAAAAAGCTGCAGTAGACTGTAATATGTTTATTTATTTATCTATGGTAATATTTGACTTCATACATACAAAGTGAATATGACATTATAAGACATATAAAAGAACAGAAATTTGTTGCCGCTTCGCGCCATGTTCAATTGATTTACTCATGTCATTCATTTTAAAGGTTTTGGAAGTAAATTTTTTTAAACACAAAAACAATAATTTGGTATATTATTGAGCACAATTAAAAAATACTGTTTTTTATTTCAAATCATGAAAACAGCGCTTTTTTGATTTTTTTTTGTCGATAAGGGGGCTAGCCCACTTGTACACCCCACTGCAGCCCCTCAAAATTAAATTTCGACCCCCCCCTCAGAAAAGTTCTAGTTGCGCCACTGAAACAGACCCTTTTTAAGTGATTTAACAGTTACTAGTAAAACTATTTCGATTTCGATTTTCGGCAAAATTTTCTCGTCAAATTAAAGTTAATTTCACAAACATCTTTAAGATCTAAGTACAGAAACATATAATACAGATTTAGTTATATTACATGTGCTGCATTGTATTGCATTGTACTGCATTGTACATACATCTTTTGTAAATTAAACACTTTTGAAATCAAAAATCTTATTTACTTATTTACTTATTCACTTATTCACTTATTTACTTATTTACTTATTTACTTATTTACTTATTTACATATTCAATTCAGTTTCACAAATTTTTACCTTGTATTCCCTTCTCATACTTCTAGTCCATCAAAGAATTGAAAAAATGCTTTGGAATAAAATTTACTCAGAAATAGAACTTATTTAATAGTTTAAGTAAAAAGTTGGAAATAAAAAAAATGTTTAATTCTTTAAATGTGTTGAAAATAATCTAATATCAGATGAAAAGAATCTCAAATATGAAGGATTCATCTAAAAGTTTTCTTTAAATGTGAATTGAAACGGATCAAAGAATTTTTATTAAAACTCGAGAAAACAGAAATTGTGGAGTCAAATTGAAAAATATTTAAAACATAAAGAAATATTGTCGCCGTAAGTTATGTTTGAAGCACGGGAAGCCGTAGTACATTTAAATTTCCGAGCCGGGTCAACCTTTCCAGTCCCAGTTTGTACTGTACCTAGCTCTATGGACAGGACTAGCCGGTGCAACAAGGTTGGCCCGGTCAGACTTTTGCTTCATAAAGGTTGAATTTACTTTCACTAAAGGGGCAGATTTGCGTGGAATGTCTTTGCAATATGCTCAAACTTTGAAATTTCAAAGGTTTACAAAGGAAAATTAAAGTTTTAGCAAGTATTTATAGCATAGCCATTGGCCATTGGCCTTCCATGTCCCTCGGTGTTTTGTTTATTTACTAAGCATCTAAAAAATCCTGTGTAAACTAAAATATGCAAGATCTCAAGCAAGAATCAAACATGATTTGGTCAATTACTCCAATCAAACTGAAGCTAGGGACAAGAACATTTCAGTTTTGAAAAGTACATGTCAAACTCCAAGCATTCAAATATTATTTGTCCTGGGGGAGGGGGAAATTTTTTTGTCCCCCCCCCAAATGGTGAGTTTTGCCCCCCCCCCCTCCTGGCCTTATATTAAGTCAACTACATGTCTCCTATGTATAGCCCATTGTAGCCCCAATTCAAGGACTATATATAATAAAGTATTCCTCTGTATAGTTCTGTATTACTTTCTGAAGTCCTGAGTAGTCTACTGATGACTATCATTAGTCTTCCGTCCTCATTATTCTCCCTTACGTAATCTCCCCCCGACTTTTATGGGGGTTGCGGGAAGACATGCTAAACAATTGCATATACGGAGCATATAGCTATTGTTTATCAAATAGGTGGGGGGAGAGATAAAAGGGAAATACTAAGTAAAATTTAAAAATAAATGGCGCAAAGCGCCAAGAAAATGTTCAACTGTACTTTTTAAAGAGGACATCCCAGGGGGGGGCAAGAGGACTACTGCCCCCTCCCTTGTTTTCGCTCCTGCCCATTAATTGTAGACTTTCGTGTGTTTACCCAAAAAATTGACTTTTAGTTTAGCTAACGGTTTGTTACCGTTCATCAACGATTTCTATTTTTACAGGTGCTAACGGTAGATATTCCTAATGTTCGTTAACTTTTCTTCAGCTCGTTAACGAAAGCCGTACTACTATCTAATAAAAGGTTATGGATTTAAATTTACGAAAATATGTAAGTCGACATTCAAAAACATTAAAGATCAATAGATAAAAAAAATGAAATGTTTTTCATGCTATTTAAAATATTAAAATAATTTTGCTGTTATTTTGAAACTGCATCCATCCATTCATTTTTAAAAATCGAATTCTACAATAAGAAAACTTTATGAAGAAAATATCCAGCAACCCTAAGCCCTCACATGTTTAATGTTTCTATAATTTGACAAAGAGACTTGGAAAACTTTTAATTTTCTCCTAAACTCGAGATTAAATTAGTTTAATTGGTCGGAAAAAAGTAATAAACGCATTAGATTTTCAGATATATATATATAGCGTTTAGACATTAATGTTAAATACAAGAAATAAAACACAGTAAAAAGTAATGCGTATACAAAATTAAATTGTTTAAATTTATTTCGTATTATTGTACAGCTCTTTAAAATTACACGTATAATTACAACATACAGCAGTACGGCACAGAATAAACATTAAAATTTACAAGTTTTGATCTTCAATAATTATTTGTTGTATTACATGCACATATACTCTAATGAAAACAAATATTAAGAGATTTAATTAATTCAGGAATCTTATCATCTTTCTATAACATCTTACAATATATGTAAAAGAAAAACTTGAATAAAAGAATCGTTTAAAACGATTGGTTCAACCCATGGAAAAGTGATTGATAACATAATAACTAATATGGATTGATAACATAATAACTAATATGGATTGATAACAAATCAATTATAAGTAGAAATAATTGATAAAAAATCTATCATAAGATTGGTAACAAATCAGCTGTAAGTAGTAAGGGTTGATAACAAATCAATTGTAAGTAGAAATTATTGATAACAAATCAACTACAACTAATAGATATAGATAACAAATCAATTGTAAGAAGTAAGGATTGATAACAAATCATTTATAAGTAGTAAGAATTGATAACAAATCAATTATAAGAAGTTAGGATTGATAACAAATCAGTTATAACTATAAAGGATAACAAATCAATAACAACTGGTAATTATTGATAACAAATCAAAAATAACTGGTAAATATTGATAAAAATCAATTATTTTATCAATCAACTATTTTATATATATGACAAATCAAATTTAAGCAGTAAGGATTGATAACAAATCAGTTATAACTAAAGAGGATTCATAGCAAATCAATTTTAACTGGTAAAGATTGATAACAAATCAATTACAACTAATATAGATAGATAACAAATCAATTGTAAGTAGTAAGGAGTGATAACAAATCAAATATAATTAGTAAAGATTGATAGCAAATCAGCTGTAAGTAGTAAGGATTGATAACAAATCGATTGTAAGTAGAAATTATTTATAATAAATCAATTACAACTAATATAGATAGATAACAAATCAATTGTAAGAAGTAAGGATTGATAACAAATAACTTTGAAGTAGTAAGAATTGATAACAAATCAATTATAATTAGTAAAGATTAATAACAAATCAATTATAATTCTAAGTAGAAATGATTGATAACAAATCAGTTATAAGTAGTATGGATTGATAACAAATTAGTTATAAAAAATATGGATGGATGACAAATCAATTTTAAGTAGTAAGGATTGATAACAAATCAATTATAAGAAATATGAGTTGATAACAAATAAAGTAGCTGTAAGTAGTAAGAATTGATAACAAATCAATTATAAGAAATAGGAATTGATAAAATAAAGTAGCTGTAAGTAGTAAGAATTGATAACAAATCAATTATAAGAAATAGGAATTGATAACAAATAAAGTAGCTGTAAGTAGTAAGAATTGATAACAAATCAATTATAAGAAATAGGAATTGATAACAAATAAAGTAGCTGTAAGTAGTAAGGGATTGAATGACAAATCAATTAAAAGAATGATAAAATTCGAACCAAAATTCAATTTCATTTTTTTGCGAACACTTCCTTTTAAAATAAATTTATATTACGAATATTTGCTCGCTCAAAAGTATTAAACCATGACTTGTTGTACTCTGGTTTTAAAAGTTTAGAACAGTTTTGATATGTTTTATTTTTACAATTATTCCAAGGTGTATTTTGGTGGTTTTTATATAAAAACAAACAATACATTTATGATACATTAACATTTATAAAAATAGTCTTTGGCAATTTTTTTAAACTTTGAAAAAACGTTCAAAGTTTTGGATTTTGTCACATAATGTTTAGTTATATAGGGTTTCTCACAAAAGGTTCCAATTTATAAGTAAATCTTTTACTAAAGGTTCAGATTTATGGAAAAGGAATTGAGTTCTTTCCCCAAAAAAAATTTTCTAATTCTTAGATCCTGCCACCTGATGGTGTAAAACCTTTGATATTTCACATTTTGAAATTATTTGATCTAACAGAATTTATAGAATAAGATATCAAAGGTCTACGACATCGGGTTGCAAATATATTGGGAATAGAAAATAAAACTTTGTGGCAATCTAATCCCCGTAATCGGGTTCCAAAGATATATTGAAAATTAGTTCTATGTTTACGACAGATTGATATCCACTGGTAAATGTCTCTCACGAAAGGTTCAAATATTTAATTCATGTAGAAGAGAGGGATACAAGGTCTTGGTTGAAAACAATCACATCCTCCCTTCACTATTTATAAAAATAAACAATTGTACATTTTTTTCCGGGGGGGGGGGGTTAATGGATTTATTTAAGATAGTTAGAGGGATGCCATAAAGAGTAATGGGAATTTATCTGCACTTTTATCTCACTCAGCTCAAAGTGAATTGAGAGCAAAGGGAGATAGGTACCATTTTTAATCTTAATCTGGCAGCATTTTGTTAATCAATATTAAACAAATTAATTATGAAAAAGCAAATATCTTTAAAATTATAAATCGGGTATTTTTCTAAAACTCAAATTTTTTTTTTATGCTATTATTATCTAGGATTTTGTAATCAAGAAGGTTGAGATATACAGCTGACACAACCCTGGCTGTTACTATTCTCCATCTTTTGTTGAGAAAACCTGTTCTTGAAGCAAGTGTACGGCATACAGTACACTAAACAGTGTACAGTTGAGTTGATCTTGAGAACATCATTTTCAGATTAATCTTTAAGAATTGTAGACTCATGGTAAACCTCCTAAACAATACAAATTTTAAGCCAAGTTGTTTATTAAACTATTCAGATATTACAAGTTATGATTGTCAAATTCAATTCGGCGCATTCCTATGTAGTTAATGTATCATTATCTTTTATTTTTTTTTATATACAATGTATTTTGGATGTTTAAAGTTAGAAATGTCAAAGGTTTACACTATCAGAGTATCATATGTAGAGATTAGAATATTAGAGTTTCTGTCCAGTCCTGTTACAATTACTGTGCTTTATAAAAGATTAACTTTTTTTCTTTCTAAATTTGTTTATCCTGTCGTGAAGATTAAGTCTTGATAAACAAGCACTAGTGATTACCTATAGGACTAGGAGACATGTTCGTTAATCCTTTAATTATAGAACTGTCAATACCCTGTACATAATATGTATAGATCTTTTTATGTAAGCTCAAAACAAGTTTATTTATTTTTTGGCTTGACACGGCCATATGATTTGTGTATATTTTTATTCTCATATATATAGTGCTAAACTCAGAATGAATAAAAATGGCTGTGAATGGTGGGTTGAAATTTGGCTTCTAAAGGTAAAAATGGGGTTGAAAGTGAAGACTTAATACCATCTGAGTCCCCTCCAATTTAAAGGGACTGTAAGCGTATATTTAAGTGACCCTCCATACAAAGATGTCAATACCCGGTCGATTCACCTCGGTGGTACCCTTTAAAAGCTTTGTCTGATCAGCTATGAATTAGATATATATATGTTTACAATTTTGTAAACTGATTATTTTCAACTGAAGTTTCTTAATGAATTTTTACTGCAGCAAAACATATAGGAATTATCAGAATTAAACCACTTTTAACATAGAAACACGACAATATCTTCCACATAATTGATCAGAAAAGGGTTCCAAGGGTGCTGTTGTGAAACTGACATTGCCAAGAATGTAAGGCAAGGAAAGTCAATTGCGGTTGTGTGCACTCTGTGTACATATTGAAACCAACGATAATATATATATAGATATGCAGGCAGTGAGCGTACTGTCAAATGACCTTACTGCCTGTTAATTGAACTGCCTCAATAGGAATGTTATGCAACGAACTTCATGTAATGCATGAGAACTTCCTTATAGAAAGATAAATCATCCTGCGAGGAAGTGTGACATTCAACTCTACATCTTAAATTCAGGGGGAAATTTTTCTAAATCGCGATCTTTTAAAATGTCAATTTTGAAGAAAACTGGGTTGGGTTAAAATCCCCCTGCATTTTGCAAACTATATTTTCTAATTTGGATTAAAACTTGGACCGAACCTAATTCTATTTATAAATGACAAAAGTGTAAATTGTATTGATGTCTCGAGAGATCTAATCTCATCCTTATTAATCTTATCCCATTATTAATACACCTTTTATCTTTTTATAAGTCTACAAATCGAGTCCCTCAATGATTTAACAGCCCTTTGTTGAATTATTTAATCCCAAACCATGGTTTGTCATAAATTTGTAAATATCAAATATCAAACTATTTAAAAGATTATTAAAAATCTTAATAACATACAAATACAAGGTGTCCATTTAGTCTTTTTTTGAATTTTTCATATTGTTGTATATCTTAGTCGCTGAACTTTGAGTGTTTTGTGATAAACACAGAAAATCTGAAAAGGAGCAGAGTCTTTGCCACAAACTCAGATTTTCTAAACCCTATGTCGTAGACCTTAGATATTTTTAACTAAATTTTGTAAGATAACAAATCTAAGTTTTTTAGGTTGGGAAGATTAGAAAATTTTAGTCTGTAGCAAAGACTTAATTCCTTTCAGGCTCTATCCCAATATGAAGGTTGTCCAGGCAGCCAACATTAGTTGGATCTATTTACAATGGGGACTGGGAGGCATTTCAGGTACTCAATTGTTTACAGGGATAGTGGACTTATTTTTATGATAATTTAATTATCAAGTGGCATGTCTGATTCACAATGGTTCCCTTTAAACCTTTTGCTGCTCATGAATGAGATAGATATACTTATTTTTTTAGCTAGAACATTTTAAAAATATTGACCCGACAAAGCTAGGATTGACTTTGCTCCGCTTGCTTCAGCATCACAAACACATAAGATGGTTCTCGCTGTAGAAGGTTTGAAGCCAGCAAAAAAAAAATCCAAAGATGGGAAAACATGAAATGAAGCCATTTAAAAATTGTCAAGATTCAAAGAACAACCAGTAATATTAAAATGTTTTTATTATAAATATAAAATTAAGGATGAAAGTAAGAAAATACTTATGGTCTTTCATTTATTTTCAATTTCAGAAAAAATCCTTGGTCTTTTATTTATTTGTAAACATTATGTTTAAGGGTTCATGATTAAATGAAACCCTGGTTTCCGGAATTCCATTTTCTGAACTAGGTCTTTAACATCTAATATAATCTTGGAAATGCTAAAAAAAGAAGTTAGAAAAAATAGAATAAGATGGTACAAGCGTGAATTGAAGATCTTATATAATTTGTCCTTGTTGGGAGAATTGGGTAACTCAGTACTTTTCCATAATAGACACGGTAAAAAAAATTCTCAAACCAAAATCAGAATTAATTTGACGTCACTAAATTGTTAAATTAAGATATTCTTAAAATTAAGCTAAGTTTGGTGACGAGACGATCCTATCCTTTCAACATAATATTTGACAAGGATAATTAGTTTCAAGAATCAAATATTTTTGGAAAATTTTCAGAGACTAAAATGCGTTCATTTTCAGGGGTTAATTCTTGTATAAAAGATTGTGACTAGTACAGATGTGGCTCAAAAATGTCTCATTATTGTAACGGGTCAAAGAATTCATCTTAAAGGGATTGTCGGCGTAATTTCAAATGACTTTCAATTAAAGAGATATCTGACAGATTCAACCCACAATCTGATTAACGATGAGGATTTTTATTGAATGCCCTTGAATAAAACCGCGAGTCACTTTTAGAAATATAATCTGCAATTAAAGTTTATAATTATTCAGAGAGAAAACAAGAATATCTCTTCTAAAGGATTTAAGGGTACCATTGTGAATCGTTCATGTAATTCTTTCAATGAAGGAAATTTCGTTGACAGTCCCTTTGAGATGAATTTGTGTGGAACAGAGATTATTATCACGTTGTAATATAAGGGATTATTATCACCTTGTAATATAAGGAATTATTATCACCTTGTAATCTCAGGGATTATTATCACCTTGTAATCTAAGGGATTATTATCACCTTGTAATCTAAGGAATTATTATCACCTTGTAATCTCAGGGATTATTATCACCTTGTAATCTAAGGGATTATTATCACCTTTTAATCTAAGGAATTATTAAAATCTTGTAATCTAAGGAATTATTATCACCTTGTAATCTAAGGAATTATTAAAATCTTGTAATCTAAGGAATTATTATCACCTTGTAATAAAAGGAATTATTAAAATCTTGTAATCTAAGGAATTATTATCACCTTGTAATATAAGGAATTATTATAATCTTGTAATCTAAGGAATTATTATCACCTTGTAATATAAGGAATTATTATCACCTTGTAATCTAAGGAATTATTATCACCTTGTAATCTAAGGGATTATTATCACCTTGTAATATAAGGAATTATTATCACCTTGTAATCTAAGGTATTATTATCACCTTGCAATCTAAGGGATTATTATCACCTTGTAATCTAAGGAATATTATCACCTTGTAATCTAAGGGATTATTATCACCTTGTAATCTAAGGGATTATTATCACCTTGTAATCTAAGGGATTATTATCACCTTGTAATCTGGATGGTGGGTGGCATCTTTCACCATATCCTTCAGCAGAAAATACCTATCAATTTAGAAACTATAATTTTACAATTATACAAAAATGAAAAAGAAAACAAAATATATAAATGGTAAGTATACTGCAGTTTTCATTAATTTTTTATATGTTTCATGTCAGGAAAAGGTTTAGTACATCAAAATATATATTGGACTTCTTCAACTTTACAGTATTTCAGTTTTTAAATGTTAAAAAAACCATTTAGTAAAAAGGGAAATAACTTTTGGAATGCTGCCTCTTTAGAAGTTGACTGTAGGGTACCCCCCCTCCCCTTGAAACGATTTCGAACCCCGGATTAAAAAAAATTTGTTATTCGCCTTGCAAATATTCTTACCTTGGCAGAATAGGGTAGATTTTACTGTCCTTAAACTCAGTCTAAATTAAAAAATTTTTTTAATTAATTTCTACAAATAAATGTCATATTTGTTTTTTGTTTTCTATTTAAAGTTGTTCTCGTGCCTCCCCGGGGACAGCTGTTTCATTTTAAACAGACATTTAAAAGTTAATAAGAACTGTGTCATAAATATTTAAAAAAAATAATTTTTATAATTTCCCCATTTCAGACACCCTTAGAAATATAATTTACCAAACACACTGCACTGCAGTCCTTTATTATCATACAGGGAAATTTTCATTTTTCTAAATATCCCAGGAAATGAAATTTTTGACATGGGTTCTTTGGGATTTCTAAATTTCAAAGTTGAGACATTTAAAATTTTCTTTTTATAAAATCGGCTCGATCAGTTCATCTGTTTTTACGTTGATTGAATACCCAGCCAGCCAACTCAAACCATACAGATTACAGGCAGACAGAACAAGTTTTTGTATAGATACGTGATATGTTTTAACTATAATTAATTTTCTTTTTTTGCTCGTGTGCACAGCGAGAGAAACTTGAACCAGTTCCTTGCATGTTTAGTTTGAGAGTCACTCTCTGCTAAAACTAGCTTTTCTTTTGGTCATTGTATTACTGATAACTGCAGTTTAGTTTAGGGTGGAGTGGAAAGAAATATTCTAATTTTTAAAAGCACGAAAATTGTTTTTCTTTTCAAGAATACGTAATGGAAGCTTTTTAATTTTTAATCCTCTGAAGAATGCGCCAAAAATACTTAGGTTAAACTTTAAATTTCAAAGTGTACTCTAAACCTCGTATTTACATTTAAACTTCTAAAAAAAATCCTTGAAAAATATTTTACATTAAAATTTTTTTCCTATCATTTAACACATCATTCTAGGTTTTAATTGAGATTAAACTTTTTGACTTTTGAGAAATCTTTAAGTAAATAAGAAAATTACACAAATGACTTTTTCTTTTCTTCAGATTTCAATTTAAACTTTATGCTTAAAATAAAATTTGTCGGCTCGTAAAAAATACCTTTTAAGCTTTGTTTAAGCTAGCTAGATGGTTAAGATAGTTTATACAGACCTCTGGCTAACCAGAGCAAAATACATTCGGTTTCTTCTATTTTAATTTAATCACGTGTTCGTCTATAGTTCAATAATCTTAAAACTTACGGAGTTGTATTTTTGTACTTTTTCGTTTAAAACGCGTATGTCGACAAAAAAAGAGATAAGGCGAAAAGATGATGTTTAACAGGTCAAATTGTAATCAAAGGTCACTGTTCTCTAGGATAAAGACTAAACCGTTAAAAAAAAGAGATGAGGCGAAAAGATGATGTTTAACAGGTCAAATTGTAATCAAAAGTCACCGTTCTCTAGGATAAAGACTAAACCGTTAAATCCAATAATGACTAGTTTTAAATCGTCTTTTAATCTACCAGGTATTTTTACGTGAACGCACGGTAATGGCTGGTGGTATGTATATTCATAAAAAAGTTCAAAATGTTAAATGGATATATATATATTAAAAAATTCAGGTAGGTTTCCTTTTGTTAAAAAAAGAATTAAAATTGTGTAAATATTTTATATCTATGTGGATTGTGGGTTCATGAAGACTTCATTAAATATTCAACATTTATTAAAGTTCTAAATCAAAGACATTTTTTAAATTGTCTACACATTACCATGCTTATTGCAATACCTTGTAATTTAAAGGGACTGTAAGCGTAATTTCAAGTGATCATCCATGCAAAGATGGCAATGCCCGATTTACAATGTACCCTTAAAACATTTATCTGATCAAATGCGGAAGATTATATCCGTCGTTTTCCTGATTCAAAAAGAGTTCATTTCTGAAAACTCCATCGATTCTTAGAAGCAAAAAGAAGTCACTTTCGCAGAGAATCCGGAAATGAAAACAAAAGCTTAAATTAATAAAAAATGGATATCTCTTACTTGATCAGACATAGCTTTTAAAGGTTAATCGTGAATTAACATCCTTGCTCGGAGGATTACTTAAAATTAGGATTACAGTTCCTTTACGAGTATATTATCATTTAATTCCTTTAACCCCTTACACCATGGACTGAGATAAAAGAATCTTTTCAACCTGTATCCGAATTTAATAAATTTAAGCCACGTCTCAAATCTCCCAAAAACCGGTTTTAATTGACCGCCGGCTTAAATCTTGAAAAATTTTATACAAATTTAAGCGGAACCAACCATATTTGAGCTGTGGCTTAAATTTAAACCGCGGCTCAAATTTCTTAAATTCGGCCTCTGATGTTTAAGTCTTCGATAATTCAAACTTAGATTATCTGATCGAACAGAATTCATAATTTGAAATATCTGAGGTGTAGAGATTGGGTTGCAAAGTATAGGGATTCTAAAAATAGAGTGTGTGGCAAAGGACTTGAGTCTTTGTAACAAACTCTGATTTGCTTATACCTATATTTTTTCCACCTGATGGTGTAAACCTTTGATTTTTCAAACTTAGATTTTTTAATCTAACAGAATTCGTAGTTTGAAATATCTCAGGTCTACGGCATTGGATTACAAAGATATAGAGATTAGAAAATCATAGTTTGTGACAAAGACTCAATTCCTTTATTAAGAGATTATTTAGAATGACATCACACATATTAAAAAATCTCCGAAGTTTGTAAAACTAGAAGTCGCCATTTTGTTCCAATTTCTATCGAAACTATTCTTCGAGGGGAGGAAGGCCAGCCACAACAATTTCTCATCCTAGCCACATTCTCCTCATTTTCTCGTCCGAGCCACTTCACAATCCTTATCCTTTGATTATTATGTGTTTTAAAGTTTCCCATTATCGAAGATAAAACTATTTTTTTAAATCTGGCCAATGCAATTATCACTTCATGATGGAATCTTCAAACCCATGAGAATTATATAAAATTTTATTTCGGTAAAACTTAAATCTCTTCTTCCTCCGCAATGGCTAACGTTATAAAATAAAAATATAAATATATAAAATAAATAAAAACATTTGGCATACCTCTGCCTATCATTTTCCCCGTGGAATCATCAGGAAAAATTCTATGGTTTTCACTATAGTTAACAAAAAAGATTGAAGTTCTATAAACTCGGAATTATATGCGGCATTCTTCACCAGGAATACCTGAAAATGCGCGTAAAAGAGTTGAAGATTTTTAAGGACATTAATCTTGAAAACTTTAATTCAATTGAAACTTTTTTTTTGATTTACAAAATTTCGATATATCAGTAATGCCCAAACGTGGCCCAATTCTTAAAAAATTGTCTTATCTGGGAGGATTAGACAACTGAAAAAAATAATATTGAAAAAAGAGGATTTTGAGGTGGCTCGGACGAGAAAATGAAGAGAATGTGGCTCGGACGAGAAATTATTGTGATTGGCCTTCCTCCCCTCCCTCTTCTAATCTACGAACTTTGTCTTCAATATCTATAAATCATATTTGAGAGACGTTTTTCAATTTCAACTCTTTATTGATTTTATCACTCTGTCCTGAGGACATGACAAAAACACTCTTTTTTCGTTTCTCTTTGAAGCAGCACACATGATTTATATAAATATTTATACCTAATTCTGATTTATTGTTGGGATTTAATTCTTAATTATGTATTCTAAGCATATTAAAAAAGGAACTTAAAGGGTCTGTCGACCTAATTTCAAGTGGTCCTTCATTTAAAGAGATATACATGCTCTTTTAAACCTTGGTCAGGGCAGGTATGACAAAATTATTCTTGTTTTTTTATCTGAAAATAATTGATAATTTTGTGGTTTCTCCATAACAATAAGTTTCGGATCTATGCAGCGGTTTAAAAAAATAGATCAATCATTCAACTATTTCCTAATTAATTGGTTAGTTCCATTCAAACTCAGTCTTAAAGTATTTTAAAATTTTCTTTAATTTAGCTTACGACAGGGTGACATTTTTGTAGATATCATCCAGAGGTCGAATTAAAAGAATTTGAGCCGCATCTCAAATCCGCCAAAAGCCGGTTTTAATTGAGCGCCGGCTTTAATATTGAAACATTGAACACAATTTTAAGTGAAAGCAACCATATTTGACCCGCGGCTCAAATTCTTTAAATTATTTATGTTAATACTTTAAGAATGTATGCACCAGAAAAATTGGATTTTCTTCTATTTTTCGTTTTCCATAAATTTTTTTAATTTCCAACCTTAAAATCTTTATAAATGTATAACAGTGTAAATGTACACAAAACATTATAAAACAATATAGGTAATCAATATTAGAACATCAAGACACGAAACTTCAACAGAAACTCTAAATAAATATATACAAACCCTCAAGCTACGGACAATGTTTCTGAGCGCGAGGTACTTCTTGATCAGCTTGTAGAGGTCATTCACGAGGTTCATGTTCATCTCATTCAACTCCTTCGAGGTCTCGCCTGAAATATTGGAATAGTTTTCATCATATTTTACAAAATCTTAACAGAGTCTAGAAATACAAATAAAGGTTTAGGTCCTCCCTCTGTATAGAAATATAGGTTTAGTTCCTCTCTCTGTATAGAAATATAGGGTTAGGTCCCTTCTCTCTGCATAGAAATATAGGTTTAGGTTCTCTCTCTGTATGTAAATTTAGGTTTAGGTCCTCTCTCTGTATAGAAATATAGGTTTAGGTCCTCTCTCTATATAGAAATNATTAAGGGTTTCACTGTATGATACCGCTTATCAACGTCGTTTAAATTTAATATATTTCTCAAAAATAAAAAAGATCATCATGAAAAAATGCTTACTGAATTTTTTTAACTTAAAGTTTATATATAATTTTGTTAAGTTTAGTATCTTCATAGGTAAATATTTCATTCATTTTTCTGGATTTTTCGTCAGTGAACTGTTTTGATCAATTTAGAACTTTATCTAAGTTTGCAAAGATATAAATAATTTCTTGATTTGATTGATTATTAATGCACTGTATGTTTTTTCCTGTGCTCCGTAGGATTAGTTTACTTGATCTCTCTATATACTCTGGTATGGACTCGCATCTAAATAAAACAACACTTAATTCTAGCTTTAAAGACTACTTGTACTTTAGATAGACTTTCTATTCTAAAAAAGGACTACCCGTGATAATGGAAGACTGACTTGACCAAAGAAAGACTACTTGTTCTGAAGAAAGATTATCTTAACTAAAGACAGACTCCTTGTACAGAAAATAGAAATACTACCTTGACTAATAAAAGACTACCTGTTGTGAAGGAAAGGAAAAACTGACTTTACCAAAGAAAGACTATCTGTTCAAAAGAAAAATAATCGTAACTAAAGACGGACTACCTCTACTTAAGAAATACTACCTGTACTAAAGAAAGACTACCTGTACTAAGGAAAGACTAACTGATCTGAAGAAAGACTACCTGTACTAAGGAAAGATTACTTGTACTAAAAAAAGACTATCTGTACCAATGAAAGATTAACTGTTGTAATGACAGACTACCTCTACTTAAGAAATACTACCTGTACAAAGGAAAGACTAACTGATCTGAAGAAAGACTACCTGTATTAATGAAAGACTAACTGTTGTAAAGAAAGATTACTTATACTAAAGAAAGACTACCTTTACTAAAGAAAGACTACCTTTACTAAGGAAAGACTAACTGATCTGAAGAAAGACTACCTATACTAAGAAAAGACTAATTGTTGTAAAGAAAGACTACTTGTACTAACAATGAAAGACTTATACTAAAGAAAGACTACCTGTACTAAGGAAAGACTAACTGTTGTAATGATAGACTACCTCTACCTAAGAAATACTACCTGTACTAAGGAAAGACTAACTGTTCTAAATAAAGACTACTTGTACTGAAGAAAGGCTACTTGTAAAAAAGAAAGACTAACTGTACTAAGGAAAGACTAAATGTTGCAAAGAAAGACTACTTCTTCTTATAAAGAAAGACTTCATGTACTAAGGAAAGACTACCTGCGCCAATGAAAGACTCACTGTTGTAATGACAGACTACCTCTACTTAAGAAATACTACCTGTACTAAGGAAAGACTAACTTATCTGAAGAAAGACTACAAGCACTAAGGAAAGACTAACTGAATTAAAGACTAATTGTTGTAAAGAAAGACAACTTATACTAAAGAAAGACAACTTATACTAAAGAAAGACTAAATGTACTAAGGAAAGACTAACTGTTGTAATGACAGACTACCTCTGCTTAAGAAAGACTACCTAAACTAAGGAAAAACTAACTGATCTGAAGAAAGACTACCTGTACTCAGGAAAGACTAACTGTTGTAAAGAACGACTACTTGTACTGAAGAAAGACTACCTGTACCAATGAAAGACTAACCGTTGTAATGACAGACTACCTCTAATTAAGAAATACTACCTGTACCAAGGAAAGAATAATAGATCTGAAGACTACCTGTACTAAAGCAAGCACTGCTTGTACTGGAAAAAGACCGCTTTTACCATAGACAGACTACGTGTACTAAAAAATGACTGCTTACACTAAAGAAAGACTAAATGTGTTTAAAAATACTGTCTATACTATAAGCAGACTACCAGTATCAGAGAAGACGACATATAAATCAAGGAAGACGACTACCTGGATTGAGCAGAAAGGTTACTAATGGACCACCACTTAGATTCTGCTACGAGAAGAACCTAGAAATTTTACAGGAGGATTTTTCACTGGAACCTTTATTTTTTAAGTTTTCATGAACTATGACAAGAATGAATATATTTGTATTTATTAAAAGTTTTAAGGAAGTGTTAAGGATATATTTTGAAAAATATGTTTAGTTTGAGCCTGCAATTGCAACTATGCAGGGTTTAAAGGTTTCAAAGCAGCAATGAAGTACAATACTAGTTGCTCATTGCTCATGAGCAACATCAGAACTTGAAATTGAATCCTGTGTCGGATGAAATATAATTTTTATAAGTTTGAATGTTTGACGTCGAATGTCGCAAAAATGCGCTAAATTTTCGATTTGTAGTAAAGCATTGATTCAAGGAGTAGGTTTATTTGAACCCTTTTAGAATAAAAAAGTTCTTGGATAGATGTTTTAAATGGATTTCTTGTGAAAAGGACTGTCATTCTAATTTTAAGTAAACCTGCATCTTAAAACAAGGGGGAATGCCTGATTCACAACGGTACTCTTGAAACCTGAATCAATAATGTGGAAGATAATGTCGTATTTCTAGTTTTTTATAAACTGGACAATTCTTTAGTTCTCATTATTCCTCCATTGTTTTTGAAGTGAAACTAACTTTTTGCAGAGAAACCACAAAAAAAACAGTTTAAAAACACAATGATATCTATTTTATTCTTTATTAAGGCTTTAAGGGTATAATTGTGAATCAGACATGCCACTCTATCACTGGAGGGTCACTTGAGATTATGTTTACAGTCTCTATGAATCCTATGAATACAATTAGGTAAATGGATGGAACAGATCTATAACTGCTAATATTAATGTGATATCCTTTCAGTTTTTCGTCAACATTTTACATTTAAAAAAGACGTGAAAGAAACATAAATTATTTTTTTATTTTAATAAAAAATATTTTTTTCAATCAAAATTACTGAAACGAGCTAATTTTATTACATTTAATATTTTAAGGTTTCATCTCAGAAAGCACGAGTAATCAAAACTTAATTAATATGTTTCTATTAATAGAATTGGGATATTCTTTCCTTGAAAGGTTTTATTGGAAATATTTTTCTTTTCTTTCAGTATTTCCTTTTTTAACTTTATGGTTTCGAAGGTATTTTGTTTAAACTAAAAAAAAACATGAGATGAAGTAGAAATTTCGCCAAAATCGATCTGTACATTTATTTCTTTTAGATGTTACTATAAAAAGAACGTTTGCCATTTGTAGCCAAAAGTGTAAATGTATTGTAAATCTCGGGATTAATGATGGGATCAATCAGATTTCAATCCGGTTTCATAGTTGTCACAGTGGATATCAAAATCAAACATCTTGTTCAATGCAAGGATGTATTTTAAAGAACATTTTTTTCTTTCTAGGTTCTCATTTTGGGGTCCGTTTTTAAACATTAAAGATTGTTTGAATTTTAAGAGGTCAACAAAAATTTGATATTATATTTAACATAAAAAATGTTTTCTGGATAATTTGGCTCTATGACATTATGCAGAATTTTTTTCTGAACTAAGATATCAACCAACACGATTTACCATAAGGATTTATCAAAACAATCATCGCCGATCGTTTTTAAAAATCCTTTTGCTATAAACACACACACAGAAAATAACAAAAAATTTGGAATTTAATTTTTCCCTAAATCAAAAAAAGATTTTATGAAAAAATATATAATTCTGTTTTAATAGAAATTGTTAAAATAAAAAGGGGGGTAAAATAAAAGTTTAAATGTTTCCCAAAATATTCTTTAAATAGAATCTTTTTCTAAACTTAAATTGAACTGAGAATGATTTCGTTATCTTATTCAACCAAGTCTTGACAAGAAGTTTTAAACAAAGATTAATTCAAAATCTCTTCCATCAAAAATATTGACTTGAAGTGTGAGAAATAATATTTTACTATTTTATGGATGACGTCTACATCAGAAAATATTAAAATAACTAGTTTTCAAATTAGAAATTTAATGAGGAGGGGGGGGTCCTAAGTTAATTTTATGCTTTAACTGACTTGGAAACCAAGTGTTGTCTGGAAATCTATACTTTCCCTCTACTTCTAACAATTTCTCAAATCAGAATTTAAGGCAAATCGGTCGATGGGTTCATTAGCTTTGATCGGACACACAAACAAACAAACAGAGATTAGTAATTTATAATTTACTATATTGGGAACACAGCTTTGCCTGAAAACTAATCTTTCTCCATAAAAGTCGGCAAACATTCTCCACGTAGAATTTTAAATCAAGAAAATGGTTCTACCGAGTTTTTCAATAAAAAATTAGAGGGAATTCAGTCAAAGGGTTCAGGAGTCATGATTCATTCCTTTTAGATATGCCCAAGGCACTGAGTTCTACAGGGATATTCTCAAAGAAGCGAAATTCTTAAAATTTACACTATGATAATGGAAGATTACTTATAGTGTGAAATATCCAAGGTCTATGACTTTGGGTTGCAAATATTTAGGAATTAAAAAATCAGTGATTGTAACAAGAACTCAGATCCTTCAAGGCTGAAAAAACAAAATGCCAAAAAGAAGTTTTGATACAAAAATTCTAAAAAAATTTAAAGCTTACCTTTATCATTTCCCTCAGCTTAGAGTATCTCTGGAATAGATTCTTAAGACTTTTAGAATCCAAATATGCATTTTGCATAGTTACCAGACTGTTTAGAACATCAAGAAACGACTGAAAAAATGTTATAAAATCGTATTTTTCTGTTTTTTGTACAAATTTTGTATATCTAATCAAAATTCAATCAAAAAATGCATTTGTTGGGCATCAAGCTTTTAAAGAAAGAGAAAGAAAAAACACAGAAATAAAAAATATAAAGGATGATTATTTATTTTCATTTTTAATCAAATCAGATTAAAAACTATATTTTTTTTTGGTAAAAACATGATATTTTTTTATTAAGCTTAAAGAAACTTCAGATGTCATTCTAACTGCACAACAGTATCCGCTAAACCATTGACGGACTTATTGTTAATTAATCTATGGAATTATTCTTTACTGAAATTCTTGCAATTGTTGCAGAAAAAATAGTTTACGTTTGAGTTTTTAAACTGCGTAGAACATCGAATATTCTGGATTTTCGAGGACTCCAGTTTTACGGCAATTTAAACACCAGTTTGGAGATATACACACGGAGTTCTCTGCCCACGATGATCAGTGAAAGGGTTAGAAACCTTAATTTTCAATCTTACAGTGCGGGGGGTCTAAACCCAAAGCCCCCCCCCCGCTTTTGGGAGCACAGACAAAAATGACGAAGTGTCCGAAAACTATTTAGAACTTGCATTAAAGGTAATTCAATTTAGATAGAAACGTTATTACAAGTAGTTAAAGGTAACCATTCTATTACAAGCAGTTGAAGGTAGCCATTCTATTTTATTGAAAATACTTCAAGGGCGAGAAAACCACCAGAAATTTATTTTCTTATACATCTAGACAAAGAATAAGAACACACTGAACACAATACAAACCTCATGAACTAACCTCTTGAACAAAATACAAACCTCATGAACTAACCTCTTGAACACAATACAAACCTAATGAACTAAACTCTTGAACAGAATAAAAACCTAATGAACTAAACTCTTGAACAGAATACAAACCTAATGAACTAACCTCTTGAACAGAATACAAACCTCACGAACTAAACTTTTGAACAGAATAAAAACCTCATGAACTAAACTCTTGCATAGAATACAAACCTCATGAACTAAACTTTTGAACAGAATACAAACCTCATGAACTAAACTCTTGAACAGAATACAAACCTCATGAACTAAACTTTTGAACAGAATAAAAACCTCATGAACTAAACTCTTGAACAGAATACAAACCTCATGAACTAAACTCTTGCACAGAATACAAACCTCATGAACACAATACAAACTTCCTAAAAACAATTCTAACCTTCTGAACACAATACTAACCTCCAGAGCACAATACTAAACCTCCTAAACACAATACAAACCTCCTGAACACAATAAAAACCTCCTAAAAAATAGAAACCTCCTGAACACAATACACCCTTATGAACACAATGCAAACTTCCTGAACACAATAAAAGCCTCCTGAACACAATACAAACCTCCTGAACACAATAAAAACCTCCTTAACACAATACAACCTTATGAACACAATACAAACCTCATGAACACAGTACTAACCTCCTGAACACAATACAAACCTCCTGAACACGATGCAAACCTCATGAACTAACCTTCTTAACCAATACAAACCTCATGAACTTAATACAAACTTCATGAACACAATACAAACCTTTTGAAGACTATACCAACCTCATGATCCCAACTCAAACCTCATGAACACAATACAAAAATCAAGAACAAAATATAAATCTTATGAACAAAATAAAACCTCCTGAACACAATACTAACCTCCAGAACATGATACAAAACTCACGAAAAAAATATAAACCTTATAAACAAAATACGAACCTCCTGAACACAATACAAACCTCCTGAACAAAATACAAACCTCCTAAACACAATAAAAACCTCATAAACAAAATATAAACCTTATGAACAAAATATAAGCCTTATGAAAAAAATATAAACCTCATGAACATAATAAAACCTCATGAACACAATATAAATCTCATGAACAAAATATAAATCTTATGCACAAAATACAAACCTCATCAACACAATACAAACCTCCTGAACACAATAATAACCTCCTGAACACAATACAAACCTCATGAACAAAATATAAACCTTATGAGCAAAATACAAACCTCATGAAAAAAATATAAACCTTATGAACAAAATACAAACCTCCTGAAGAGACTCTTTTGTGAGTTGGAAGAGAACGTTCTTACTGACTAACCGTTCCCTTGACTCTTCAACTAAACAGGAGAAGGTTAGATCAGATATATATATAGATAAATAAATATATTTAGATGAAGGTACTGTGAACCTGATCTAGATTACTATTTTATAGAGCTAGTATAAGCTAAGTAAGTAAGTGGGTAGGAGTTATATATTGGCAAAGTGAGCCAATGTCTAGGTTCATGAGAATGTATATAACTAAGTAAGTATAAGTGGCTAGGTAGAATCAAATAGATTATTTAGTACAATATTTGGCAATAGAGAAATGGACCAATCATACACAACGTCTCAAGTATCAAATATAACAAGGAAAACGAATTTTTTTTATCACATTAGTTGACATGTTTTCCAAGATTATATAAAAAAGCGTAAAAACAGAAAATAAAGAACATAAAATTGCACTTATTTCACTTTATGATAAGCACTCTTTATTCCATAATTATCACTATTATCAATAATTTTGTCGGACACAAAAACTAAATTGACACTTGTGACGTCAGAATACAGCTGTACTGAGTGTGTACAAATTCTACGTTGCCATCTATTTTACTAGAATCTACTTGGGTAGAATGTATTAGCTGAGTGCAATTAAGTGGATGGATAGGTGAAATGTAGTAGCTTAGTTCAATTAAGTGGACAGGTGAAATGTAGTAGCTTAGTTCAATTAAGTGGACAGGTGAAATGTAGTAGCTTAGTTCAATTAAGTGGACAGGTGAAATGTAGTAGCTGAGTGCAATTAAGTGGACAGGTGAAATGTAGTAGCTTAGTTCAATTAAGTGGACAGGTGAAATGTAGTAGCTTAGTTCAATTAAGTGGACAGGTGAAATGTTGTAGCTGGGTGCAATTAAGTGGATAGGTGAAATGTAGTAGTAGCTTAGTTCAATTAAGTGGATAGGTGAAATGTAGTAGCTGAGTGCAATTAAGTGGATAGGTGAAATATAGTAGCCTAGTGCAATTAAGTGGCTTGATAGAATGTATTAGCTTAATGCAGTTAGGTGGCTAAGTGGAATGTATTAGTTTAATGCAATTTAGTGGCTTGGTGGAATGCATTAGCTTTAGGCATTTTATTCTATTTTAATTAAATATGTATTAATCGCCAGTGAAAAAGTGCATCTCATTCAAAACAACCAGCAATGGTTGGAGAGGTCCTGGCTAAACTAAACTGTAAGAAATATGTAATTTATATTTTTCAAACATTCAGTCAAATATATATATAAGATTTCGCTATGCTGGTCTTCAACATCTCAGATGCATTTAGAGTACCTTGACAGGGGCAAAAAACCTTGATTTTGGAAAAGTACCTCAAACCGATGCCAATCACTATAATAGCGTAGAAAATGCAAAATTGGGAATTAACCGATCAGAGGCCGAATTTAAAGAATTTGATCCGCGGTTTAAATTTCAGCCGCGGCTCAAATATGGTTGGTTCCACTTAAATTTGTATTAAATTTTTCAAACTTAAGCCGGCGGTCAATTAAAACCGGTTTTTAGGGGATTTGAGACGTGGCTTAAATTCATTAAATTCAGACACAGGTTTCTTTTCTCTCCAAACTTAGAGAAGCAAAGAAAACTAATTTACTAAATTGGTTCATGTATGCTTCTGTATGCTTCTGTATGCTTCTGCATGGTTTTGCATAGTTCCAGGTCAAATTACCAAGCTCAAAGATTCTAAAAAAAACCGATTAACTTACTTTTAGACTTTCATCAAATAGCTAAGAATAAAGGGACTGTAAGCGTCATTTCAATTGACTCTCCAAACAAAGATGACAATGCCTGATTCACAACGGTACCATTAAAAGCTTTGTCTGAATATATCAATGTGTCTAATTTTAAAACTGATTATTTTCAATTATAGTTTATCTACTACAGGATAACATGAAGAAATTATCAGAATTAAACACTTTTAAACCGAGAAAAACTGCATTATTGATCAGATAAAGGTTTCAAGGGTATACCATTGCATTGTCATCTTAGCGTAGAGAGTCACTTTTATAGGAATTTATATCTGTTAATTGTAAATGTAATAATCTGTTTGATTTACGCTATTATAGAAGAAATACTAAATATGAGAATTTTCAAAGGTCACGAGGACAGATTGATATTTTGATTAAATATTGAATATTCGATGTTTATTGTATATTATTGTTCTAGTCGATTCATTTGCGCAAAACGGAACAAACCCCAACGTGTAAGGTTATCCGTCAAAAAGTTTATTTCTACAACCAGACTGGATTCTCCGGAAATTCCCAACCATATTTCATTCCAATCCCTTTATTCTTTCACAAATAAATAGTGAGATTTTTTTCTCATTATAAAGCAGACTGAACTAAGCAATGAGTCTGCAATGGGGGTTTCTTGAATACGTAAATAAAAATTACGGATTACGCCGCGATATTTTATTCTGCAATTACTTGTTCACAATTAAGGGTTCCCGAAAGTATAAAAAACTTATCCATGACCTGAGCTGAGAACTTTTGAATCGTGGATATCGGGATTAATGCTGGATCCACTCTTTTTCTAAACCTCGAGATTAAGTAATGCTTGTTCTCCTCTTGTTATTAATCTCCAGATTAATTAATCGATTGAGATTAAGGATATCCCATTCTAAAGTTTTCAGAGCTGGGAACTTTTGAATGGTGGATATCAGGATTAATGCTTGATCCACTCTTTTTCTTAATCTCCAGATTAAATAAGGCTTGTTCTCCATTTTATATTAATCTCCAGATTAATTTACCGATCGGGATTAAGGATATTATTGCATTCTAAAGTTTTCAGCTCAGCTTTGGTAAAACTTGAAAGTCAACCAGAGCTGAAAACTTTAGAATTGGATACCCCGATAATAATCCCGATCGCTAAATCTGAATATCCATTGTGGACACTTTCAACTTTTTCTTTTTGGAACTTTGTTCCGACCAATGAGAGTTCTCTCTGATTGGATTAATTTTATACACTTTTTTAGATACAAATTGAAGATGAAATTAATCTTGAGATTAGTAAAAGATTATATCCTCTATCCTAAAATTTTCAGCTCAGATCTCATGATATTTATAATTTTTGAACTGCATAAATATTTTTTTCGGCATATTAAAGATAGTCTGAAATAGATTTCTGAATTCAAGCAAATATATAATCTCAAATTTCAATAAGACTGCAGTTTTCTTGTTTATGATTAATGATAATTTTTTTTAAAAGGTTTTCATTAAAACATTATGATAAAATAATAATTGTAAAATGTGAAAATATGTGAAAATTGGCATTTAAATTACAATTTAAAAAACCCCAATTTTCTAAACATGATTAAGTATTAAAAAAAGACTTTTTCCTAATTTTTTTTTAAATCGCTAAAAATCTAAAAAATTCGTGACATTTTTTGTGTTTTAATGTATACATAAATGGCGGTTTAAAAAACATTATAAAGCTTAAAGGAATTGAGTCTTTGCCACAAACTCTGATTTTCTAATCACTTTATCTTTGGAACCAAATGTTGCAGACCTTAGATATTTCAAACTATGAATTCTGTGAGATCAAATAATCTGAGTTTGAAATTTCAAAGGTTTACAACATCGGGTTCTAAAGATATTGAGGTTTAAATATTTGATTTTGTTCCAAATACTCAATTCCTTTTACAAGAATAAGAGGCGGAAATATCGGAATCAAACTTTATATAGCGCTGAAAACCTGTTATGAGATAAAAAAGGCTTCATTTATGAACGGCCATGTAAAAGTATGTAGTTATGCAAAATGTTTGCTTAAACCTCCCATTCTTATTCCATTGATCATCGGTCTAATTTCCTGTGAAAAGAATTCGCCAAGAATACAGGAAAAAAGTATCTCAAATATTTCTGTAAAGGTATACATCAGAATCCATTCAATACTCTCCAAACTCAACAAACTACACTCCACCATTCAATACTCTCCAAACTCAAGACTCCATTATCCACACTCCACCATTAAATACTCTCCACACTCAACAAGCCACCATTCAATACTATTCACACTCAACTCTCCACATTCCACTCTCCACCATTCAATACTGTCCTCACTCCACCATTCAATACTCTTTGTACTTCACAAGTCCCCAATAAATACTCTCCACACTCCACAAGCCAGCATCCAATACTCTCCAAACTCAACACTTCACACTCAACACTCCACCATTCAATACTCTCTATACTCCTCAAGTCCCCAATAAATACTATCCACACTCCACAAGCCAACATTCAATACTCTCCAAACTTAACACTGCACATTTAACACTCCACCATTCAATACTCTTCGAACACCTCATTCCACACTCCACCATTAAATACTCTCCACACCCAACAATTAACCATTCAATACTTTTTACACTCAACACTCCAACATTCAAAATACCTACACTTAAAATTCCACACTCCTCTAGCCACACTCCACACTACAATACTCTCTACGATCCACCAGCAACACTCCACAACGCATCGTTTAAAAAATTACCACACTCCAAACTCTTATATTATCTACATAGCACAAGCCACACTTCAAAATTCACTATTCAAAACTCANCCATAAACTTCATCATCCAGTACTATTCACACTTCATATATCAATACTCTCCACACTTAACCACTGCACTCTCCAAACTTCATCATCCAGTACTATTCACACTTCATATATCAATACTCTCCACACTTAACCACTGCACTCTCCAAACTCCATCATCCAGTACTATTCACACTTCATACTCCAATACTCTCCACACTTAACCACTGCACTCTCCAAACTCCACCATCCAATACTATTCATGCTCCATCATCAAATACTCTCCAAACTCCAGAATCAAATTCCAGGTAGTATTTCAGGAATGAGAATGGAAAGGAAAAACCATGTTTATAAAGTAAGTTTGGAAAGAATCCGGGAAAATGTTGAAATAACTAAGGATTAAAATAGGACATTTAAAGATGGAAAAAGATTAAAAATATTCATAATGCGAGAATCGTTTGAAAGAAATTGAGTCTTAGTCACAAATTCTGATACCTGTATCTTTGCAGATTTCAACCCTATGTTGTAAACCCTAGATATTTTAAACTATGCTTCTGTTTGATCAAATAATTTAAGTTTGAAATATTAAAGCTTTACAACATCAGGATGCAAATATATAGAGATAAGAAAGTTTGAGTTTGTTGCAAAGACTGAATTTTATTGTGATTTGTGAATGAGAGAGTGCTTAAAAATGAATAAACTGGTTCGGGAATGACGAGAATATTCTGGGAATGAGAAACAAATCAAATATGTTTAGTTTTGTTTAGAACTGGAAAGGATGAAAGATTAGTGTTGAATGGAAAACGGATTATGTAGAATTGTTCAGGAATTAAGACAAATATTTGTTTGTACATTTAGTTTTCAAGTTATAGTGTTATAGGTTATAGAATATACTTAATAAGAATATACTTAATACTACAGGGTTTACCCACAACTAAACTATAGGTTATAGAATATACTTAATACTACAGGGTTTACCCACAACTAAACTATAGGTTATAGAATATACTTAATACTACAGGGTTTACCCACAACTAAACTATAGGTTATAGAATATACTTAATACTACAGGGTTTACCCACAACTAAACTATAGGTTATAGAATATACTTAATACTACAGGGTTTACCCACAACTAAACTATAGGTTATAGAATATACTTAATACTACAGGGTTTACCCACAACTAAACTATAGGTTATAGAATATACTTAATACTACAGGGTTTACCCACAACTAAACTATAGGTTATAGAATATACTTAATACTACAGGGTTTACCCACAACTAAACTATAGGTTATAGAATATACTTAATACTACAGGGTTTACCCACAACTAAACTATAGGTTATAGAATATACTTAATACTACAGGGTTTACCCACAACTAAACTATAGGTTATAGAATATACTTAATACTACAGGGTTTACCCACAACTAAACTATAGGTTATAGAATATACTTAATACTACAGGGTTTACCCACAACTAAACTATAGGTTATAGAATATACTTAATACTACAGGGTTTACCCACAACTAAACTATAGGTTATAGAATATACTTAATACTACAGGGTTTACCCACAACTAAACTATAGGTTATAGAATATACTTAATACTACAGGGTTTACCCACAACTAAACTATAGGTTATAGAATATACTTAATACTACAGGGTTTACCCACAACTAAACTATAGGTTATAGAATATACTTAATACTACAGGGTTTACCCACAACTAAACTATAGGTTATAGAATATACTTAATACTACAGGGTTTACCCACAACTAAACTATAGGTTATAGAATATACTNTAAACTCCTCTAGTATAAAGTTTGAACTGACCTAAACTACTCTAGTATAAAGTTTGAACTGACCTAAACTACTCTAATATAAAGTTTAAACTGACCTAAGCTTTTTTCTTCAACCTCACGAACGATCCTTTTGATACTTTGACCAAATCTTCTGAGGTTGCTGCTCCCTGTAAAAATAAAATTTGAATTAACAGGGTGTCTCTAAAAACACTGATAACCAGAAAAAAGTGGAGTTGGAAAACGATATTAAAGAAACACTGAAATGTATTTGATATTGTTACAAAGCATCCTTTGATGTTAATTCGTTACTTACAGTTAATAGACAATTTGTTGATACAAGGTATTTAATTGAACCTTTGTATCGGGAATTTTCAGAAAATAATTTTTCATCAACTACTCGAAAACATCAACTACTCGAAAACATCAACTACTCGAAAACATCAACTACTCGAAAACATCAACTACTCGAAAACATCAACTACTCGAAAAAAAACTTCAAATCTTGAAAAAATTTTCAAAAGATCAAGTGCAATTAAAATTTCCTTAAACAAGAACATAATCCAAGAAAACATTTTATATAACAAATTTTGTATTTTATTTATTAATCAAAATATCAAAATCATAAAAACCATTGATCAAATTTGTGTGCCTAGTTTGTGCCTAGTGTGTGCCTAGTGTGTGCCTAGTGTGTGCCTAGTGTGTGTCTAGTGTGTGCCTAGTGTGTGCCTAGTGTGTGCCTAGTTTGTGCCTAGTTTTTGCCTAGTTTGTGCCTAGTTTGTGCCTAGTTTGTGCCTAGTTTATGTGGTTTTCAGTTACCAACACTAAATACAAAACTTTTGTTTTGTTTGTTTGTGCCTAGTTTGTGCCTAGTGTGTGCCTAGTGTGTGCCTAGTTTGTGCCTAGTTTTTGCCTAGTTTGTGCCTAGTTTGTGACTAGTTTGTGCCTAGTTTGTGCCTAATGTGTGCCTAGTTTGTGCCTAGTTTGTGCCTAGTTTGTGCCTAGTGTGTGCCTAGTTTGTGCCTAGTTTATGTGGTTTTCAGTTACCAACACTAAATACAAAACTTTTCCCATTCTAGCTTTAGCTGTCATTTCTTTTTTATACAACTTTATTTCTGCAAACTTTTCTGATTTTTGCACTCAAATCTTTTTAGAAGCAATAAACACTGCTCAAGTTTGACCCCCCCCTTAACTGACACACCCAGATGACTAATAATTATTCATTGGCAATAAAATTTAAGGTTTGTTTACTTTAAAAAAAAATCCTCCAGTCCAGGGACTATCAATAATTGTTACTAAATTTTATCATCTTCCAGTCCAGGGACCATAAAAAATTGTTATTTTATTTTATCTTCCTGCAGTCCATGGACCATAAATGTAATTATTTACATAGTCCATCATACAGCTAGGTATTATAAAATCTTTGAAGGGATGTTATAAAATTTTATCTACCTGCTTCCTTGAAGCTTCCCTTCTTTGGAGATTTCCTCTCAGTAGAGCTTTGTCTTGATCGGACCATGATTTCAACTTGTTAATCCTTTCCAGAGAAAACCATTATTTATTCATGATCAATCTAAAATATATTTATACATGATCAATCTTAAATATATTTATACATGATCAATCTTAAATATATTTATACATGATCAATCTAAAATATATTTATGCATGATCAATCTAAAATATATTTATACATGATCAATCTAAAATATGCTTATGCATGATCAATTTAAAATATACTTATGCATGATCAATCTAAAATATATTTATGCATGATCAATCTAAAATATATTTATGCATGATCAATCTAAAATATACTTATGCATGATCAATCTAAAATATATTTATGAATGATCAATCTAAAATATATATACATAATCAATCTAAAATATATTTATGCATGATCAATCTAAAATATATTTATGCATGATCAATCTAAAATATATTTATGCATGACCAATCTGAAATATATTTATGCATGATCAATCTAAAATATATTTATGCATGATCAATCTAAAATATACTTGGAATGGGAATTCTGGTGAGAAGAAAATGGAGATAATGAGAATTCTGGTGAGAAGAAAATGGAGATAATGAGAATTCTGGTGAGAAGAAAATGGAGATAATGAGAATTCTGGTGAGAAGAAAATGGAGATAATGAGAATTCTGGTGAGAAGAAAATGGAGATAATGAGAATTCTGGTGAGAAGAAAATGGAGATAATGAGAATTCTGGTGAGAAGAAAATGGAGATAATGAGAATTCTGGTGAGAAGAAAATTTAGATAATGAGAATTCTGGTGAGAAGAAAATGGAGATAATGAGAATTCTGGTGAGTAGAAAATGGAGATAATGAGAATTCTGGTGAGTAGAAAATGGAGACAGTGAGAATTCTGGTCAGAAAAAAATGGAGATCATGCAAATTCTGGTGAGTAGAAAATCTGTGACATGAAACCAAAATTATTAAGTCAAAAAAAGTAGATAAAACAATTTATTTATAAGTCTTTAAATTGTTTGGGTTTTATAAAATAGGAATCAAACAAAAGACATTCTTTAATTTTTTTTAACCTATGTTACTCCTAGGGTACCCAATACCCATGGGTTCCCTAAAAACATGTCAACCCATTTGGTCCAACCGTTTAGCCAGCTATAACTAAAATATAAATATAAATATGGTATATTTATATATGTATATATGAGCGAAGAGCTATAATATGTAGATATATATATATATATATATATACATATCAACGAATTGATTCCCATATTTTCGATTGTGTTCCTTTCCTTTAAACATTTTAATAGAAATATCTTCAGATAATGAATTTTGATTTAATTACAAAAGAAAAAACTAGGATTTCCTTGAATTTAAAATTCCAAGAAAACAAACAATTTCATTGTTAAGTCATGAAACTATTAACAAACTGTTAATATAAAAACTTTTAAAGCTCAGTGTTTTCATCAGAGAAGGAGGAGGAAGTGGGTAGAATAAATCCGGCTTGCATTACAAAATGGCTTTCAGGGCGAAAACTGTCGTGAAAATAAAAAAATTTTGAAAAAGAAAATGATATGATTAAATTGTGACATTAAATGAAATTTTTATTGATAAAAATGGTAATTTTGTGACAAAACTGATTTTCTTCTGACAAAGCTGATTTTCTTGTGACAAAGCTGATTTTCTTTTTAAGTAATGAAATTAAAGAGACAATAAATGGAATTGTTGGGACATGAAAGTATAATTGCTGGGCCAACAAACAAAATTTGAGACAATAAATGAAATTGTTGTGATAATAAATGGAATTGTTGGGACAATAAATGAAATAATTGTGATAATAGATGAAATTGTTGAGATAATAAATGAAAATGTTGAGATAATAGATGAAATTGTTGAGATAATATATGAAAATGTTGATATAATATATGAAAATGTTGAGATAATATATCAAATTGTTGAGATGATATATGAAAATGTTGAGATAATATATGAAAATGTTGAGATAATATATGAAAATGTTGAGATAATATATTAAATTGTTGAGATAATATATTAAATTGTTGAGATAATATATTAAATTGTTGAGATAATATATTAAATTGTTGAGATAATATATTAAATTGTTGAGATAATATATTAAATTGTTGAGATAATATATTAAATTGTTGAGATAATATATTAAATTGTTGAGATAATATATTAAATTGTTGAGATAATATATTAAATTGTTGAGATAATATATTAAATTGTTGAGATAATATATTAAATTGTTGAGATAATATATTAAATTGTTGAGATAATATATTAAATTGTTGAGATAATATATTAAATTGTTGAGATAATATATAAAAAAAGTTTTAGACAGAATATAAATAAATGTTTATTGAGACAAATCAAATTCAGTTGTGATAAATGAAAACAAAGTATCAACTGTCTACTCCAGTTTTCAGCTTACATCCAAGAAAATTCTATTAAAATTCTAAAATATATTTCTATAACAAATATGATTAGGACGAGATAAAGTGTTAGATTTTTAACCAAAATCAATTGTGGTTTAGTGTGGCCGTGGCTGCAAGTAAAGGCTTACGAAACAAGATCACAGGAATTGAAGTCCTACAGAAAATGTATCCGAAGAAAAAAAGTCTTGGGAAAACGGGTCAAGTCGAATGCATTTTCATAAAAAGTGAATAAAATCATACTGGAACCAGGAAAAAGTCTTAGAAAATAAATGTTAAAATGGTAGGACTGTATTTTCAGAGATTTTTTATTTCAAGGACTTTTTTCCACAGGACTCTTGAGTGCCAAAATTAAGGACTTTATTACCAAAAATATTTTTTCAGAGAACAATGGAACACCCTTGCAGAATTGCCGTATTAGTTCTCTGTGTACATCTTCGATATAAAAAATATTTTAATAGGTGGAATCAAAGTTCTAATGAAAGGAAAGTTAATTGCGGTACACTACTCTGCGTACATATTGAAACCAGTTCTCTTTGGGCGGAATTTTGTAAACAAGAATAGATGCATCAGTGTTCGTCTAGTATCCGAGGAGGATAAAAGCATTTAATTTTGATAATTTTGAAAATTCACATAAAAGTTTCCTATGACAGGAATATTTCATAGATTATTTTTGTGAAAATTGATTCCATGTCAGGCTGTGACATCCGTACACCTTGAAATAACTTTCCTTGCATTAGTACCTTGTAAAGTAATGTACCTTACTCTACACCTTAACACTGTACAGTATACAGTGTACAAAGTGTACACTGTACAAAGTACAGTACGGTATCAACCGACAGAGCCCCAAATTTAAAAGAGTAACGTTGAACGAAACTCTCGAGTTTCCTGTTTGGGGTCAATACATTTTTGTAGATTTACATCAAGAAGTAGAAAATACAGAGAGAACATAAAACTAATTCCATGTAAAATAATATCTCCTAAGAAAATATTTTGATATCTACAAAATTGCCTAACTCTGTTCGTGAAACCCGGCTTCCGATACTGGGTTTCATGACGATACCCTGGTTTGAGTTTTAGGCTGAAAATCAAATTCAAAGTTTTCTTTAAAATCTAAACTTGATTCCGAGAAACCGTAATGTTTTCCAGAGAATTCTAGGAATTTATGAAATTTAGATAAATTCATGATTAACTCAAAGCCAGCGAGTGGGTTTCTAAATATGAAATGAAAAAATATATTTTCTTTCAATTAAATTTTTAAAAAGAAATCTTCATTTTACTTTTTCATGTCAGGACCCAGGGCAGTTTAATTTAAAAATTGTTTGTTTATATTGTAAGATTTTAGAAGTGAATTTCTGAATTCCTAACCTTCTTAACATGAACCATGCAAACTCGGATCCCTGAACCCTGGAGCCTAGAGCCTGAATCTTGAACCCTGAACCCTGAACCCTGAACCCTGAACCCTGAACCCTGAACCCTGAACCCTGAACCCTAAATCCTGAACCCTGAACCCTGAAACCTGAACCCTGAACCCTGAACCCTGAACCCTGAACCCTGAACCATAAACCCTGAACCCTGAACTCTGAACTCTGAAGAACCTAAGTATTTCAGTTATTTTTCCTTGCAATTGCAGAATGATTTTCATAAAAACCCGTCGTCAACAGAATTTTGTTCAATTTGTGTAAAACAAGCATAAAGTGACAAAAACTCTAATTAAACATAAAACATACAAAAATATGCAAAAACACTGTTATATAATCCCTGAGATTTCTTTTACATAAATGGAGGCAGAATCATCGAAAAAAATCACAATAGAGCTACAAGGTTACCCTCAAAGGATGAGACTCAAAACTCCTAGAAGATGACGATTTGCAGTTGGATATTGGTTTTCTGCTTTCATTTTAGCATTCTAATAGTTTACGAAATGATTTAGAAAATTAGAAAATAAAGCAGCTGGTTTTGGGCTGCACGAACCAGGAATATAAGAAAAAGGATTAAACACATTCCGTACAGTCGTCTCTGAAGTCTCATCCTTTATGAGTAATCGTGTGTTTTTTCTCGAAAAAATAGAGATTATATCAAAACATATTTAATTATGAGTGCCCGGCATTGCCCCGGTTTATTCATAGTTCCTCCCGCCGTTTACCCGCGCTTGGTATTAAATCACGATTGCCGTTGCCCGTGGAATTAAGAAAATGTTTAAGCTACGTCACCCGTGGGTGCCAAAAAATCAGCCAATTTGGTTGGACCGTTTGGCCAGCTATGATCAAGCTATAAGGGACATGCATATATATATATACACAGGAGCGAAGAAGCTAAGAACTGTATTAAAACTGATCTGTCTTGTAATAAAGTATTGGTATAAATGTAATGTAATCTAAAATAGGTTTAATGATGACGTAATAATATTTCGTGCTATGATTAACATTGAATGTTATTTTACATCTTAACATATATTATTATGTTAAACTATACAATTTAGAACTTAATAAACACGTTTTGCTTAAACAATATTTTTTATAATTTTGACTCTTAAAGAGAGATGAAATATGAGATAAGCTGGATTAAAACAAAGATATCGTTTCACCCCAGGAAATGGGCTATATACATAATAGTACCCCCGCCCCCCTCCATATTACAAGGATTCACAACGGAACCCTTCTAACATTTGTCTGCAATCAAGACTGAATTATATAACCTTGTTTTTTTCATTTTTAATGGATTATTTTCAATTGTGATTCCTCTGTAGAAGTGATTTACGGATTTTTGCAGCATTCACAATGACGGAAATTATTAGAATTTACACATTTCAAGACAGAAAAACGATGATATCTCTCTCGATCATTGTTACCCAAATTAAGGTTTTGAGGGTACCGTTGTGAATCGGACATGTCACTCTAAAAATAAACACGGAGAAATCAATAGAAATTATGTCACGACTCGCTTCTAACGCCTCCCATCCCTAGAAAATAATATATTTTGAGAGATTGAGGTCTTTAATTGACAAAATGTGAAATAGTTAAGTTTTATACGATATCTACATGTAGGTATAAGATACATGTAGAAAGCTATATTATTGTACAATGCAAGAAGGTTTAGAACTAAGGATAGTGAATAAGTGAATAGGGTTGGTTTACATTTTACTCTCATGTATTAGGACAACTAGCTCTAGAACTAGAAACAAATAAATGTAAATGTTCAGGCCTGGTTCTCCTGTCCTGTTCATTTATACCTATCCTTGTTCAGGCCTGGTCCTCCAGTCCTGTTCATCTACACCTATCCATGTTCATGTCCTGCTCAATCTTATCTATACTTATCCTTGTTTACAATCATTGCTATTGTTTACAATAAATCTACATATTTATTAAGCTGTCATAATAAAACGTCGCCGTAGGATGTAAACAACTCTTTTACTCTTTTTAGTCACACAAAATGTCATGGTCGGGACTTAACAACCAGAAGAAAGTAAAACATTATCTTGGAATCGGAACAAAGTATGAAAAGTTTATTACGGTAAGTATTTTTTGAAATAGTCATCCAAGAGGGTAACTGAACTGTAATTATTTACCGTTTTACGCAGAAAAAAGTTCAAATGGAATTGAGTCTTGGTCACAAACTCAAATATTTTTTAATCCCTTATCATATCAATCTGATGGTGTAAACCTTTGATATTTTAAACTTACATTATCTTACAGAACTCATAGTTTGAAATATTTACGGTTTACGATGTTAGTTTACAAAGATATAGGGTTTGGAAAATCAGAGTTTGTTGCAAAGACTCAATTCCTTTCCTACCAACCTAGCTATAAAGTTTGTTGACTGATAACCAAAATCCGCGGATTATTGTTAGTCTACCGAACCTTGATTAAACTGACTCAGAGACCTTCGTCGGAATAGAGAGAGGAGAGGGAATATAAGAGAGAAGAAGAGATAGGGGTATTTTTTATAATTTTGACTCTTAAAGATAGATGAAATATGAGATAAGCTGGATTAAAACAAAGATATCGTTTCACCCCAGGAAATGGGCTATATAAATAATAGTAGCCCCCTCCCCTCCATATTACAAAGATCCCTTTATCATATCAACCTGATAGTGTAAACCTTTGATATTTTAAACTTACATGATTTGATCTTACAGAACTCATAGTTTAAAATATTTAAGGTTTACGATGTTGGGTTACAAAGATATAGGGGTTGGAAAATCAGAGTTTGTTGCAAAGACTCAATTCCTTTCTTACCAACCTAGCTGTAAAGTTTGTTGGCAGATTACTGTTAGTCTACCGAACCTTGATTAAACTGACTGAGAGACCTTCGTCGGAATAGAGAGAAGAGAGGGAATATAAGAGAGAAGAAGAGATAGGGGTAGAGAGGACGGAGAGCGGCCCCAGAGCAACAGGAGGTTTTACTGTTAAGATCATCAGGATAAACCAAGAATGTAACTCTAGGTCTAGACAACTACGGAGTAAGAAGGATCAGGATAAGCCAAGAATTTGTCTTCTAGGTCTAGACAACCACAGAGTAAGAAGGATCAGGATAAACCATGAATGTATCTTCTAGGTCTAGACAACTACGGAGTAAGAAGGATCAGGATAAACCAAGAATGTATCTTATAGGTCTAAACAACTACAGGGTAATAAGGATTAGGATAAACCAAGAATGTAACTCTAGGTCTAGACAACTACGGAGTAAGAAGGATCAGGATAAACCTAGAATTTGATAAAATTATAACTTCTAGGTCCAGACAACTATCCAACTATCCAACTATCCAACTATCCAACTATCCAACTATCCAACTATCCAACTATCCAACTATCCAACTGTCCAACTATCCAACTATCCCACTATCAAAGTATCTAACTATCCAACTATTCAGCTATCTAACTATCCAACTCTACTGGGATCCATTATCAACTTTAAGGCAACTTTTCTCTAAAGCAAACTGGTTTCTCTGTTTTGTTTATTCATAAAAAAGTTGTTAATCTATAAAATATTAATGTGCATGAATTTACAAAGTAGTGTAATTCTTATTATTTTAATCCAATTAGGGTTTATTAATGGAGAGTTAGAACTTGATGTTTGCTAGATTTTAAATTCTACTTTATTTACTACTTTTATGCATAGACGAAAAAAAATGTTTATTAAGAAAATGTCTACCATTAACACATGAGCTGGCTAGAGACTGTATTTTATACGAATACTACCCAACGTTCGTAAAACAAAACAAATTAACAGATTTGTAACCTTTAACATGGGATGAAGTTCAGAGATATATATATGTCCTTACATTGACAGAAAANTTGAGTAAGTTTAAACAATAAACACTGCTTGCTCTTGCTCTAGCAGCTTGAAGGTGACCCTGGCACTTGAAATGAACTGGAGTTTTCGATGGTTTGAAAAATTTAAATGAATAATTGAAATGGAAAGGTTTCCCGCATTCCCAATCTATAAGTTGTCAAATACAAAAATTTACCAATTTCTCTCCAGCTAGCCGGCAACTTACTTTAAATCAAATACCATAAACTGGTTTTTCACCCTCCTCACAATGGAAACTGGATTACTCGTGGCAGACCTCTGACAATGATAGGCAAAAGACGCACTCCCCGTGTTTTAAAGCGATGGGACAGCATGCTTAGCGGGTTATTTTTTCTTTAAAAAATCTGTCCACGTGGGAATACACGTTAAAAGTAAGGGCTATGGTATTTCTCATACCTGTTACCCTTACACCCCCATCCTCATCCGCCTACCTCCTAAATTCCAACCTTATCCTACTTCACGAGCAGATATAGTGGAACTCAGAAACTGCTTTGCTGTGGAATCTTAATTAAAACTTTCTGAGAGAGATCATCATTGGTTTCATTGTGTGTTCCTTTCCTAGGGGGTACATCTAAATCACCTTGAACCTAGTCGAATGCAGTTAAGACTAGGAGGTCTTTTAATTTCTTTCTAAATTACTGCAAGACACTGATACATGTAATGCAGCTGACAAAGGTAAGTTCTCATTACAAGAATGTCAGCAATAAACCTGCATAGATGGCCGATATCAAAAACAACTGGAATAAATATAGAAACTCAAGAGCTGATATTGAAATACTACAAATTGCCTGATCAGCATCTCGAAACTGCATATTAACCATCCTGGGGGGGCGGGGGTATGCAGCTAATTGAATGAGCAAAACAGGACAGCCAGGAAACAAGAAGATTGGAAAAATGATTATCTGCATTCTCCATTAAATACATGTATCAAATAATTTGTTTCATAAAAAAATTAAAAATGAATAAATTGATAAAGTTAAAAAATAGGTAAAAACCTCTGTACAAAAATGTTGAACAAAAATCCATCCAAATCTTTAAAACAAGAATATATAGACTCTTAAATTTTTATCTAGACTATTGAATAGTGCTTATTAAATATAAAGTGAATTATAAACTTGCTCTTCGGTAAATCTTGAAAGGATCTGAGTTCATGTCACAAACTCAAGTTTTCTAATTACTTTATCTTTGCAACCTGATGGTGTAAACCTTTGATATTTCAAGCTTAGGTTATTTGATCTAACAGAATAAATAGTTTGAAATATCAAAGGTCTACGACAAAGATATAGGGATTAGAAAACCAGAGTTTGTGGCTAAAACTCAGTTCTTTTACCAAAGAAATTTTCAGAAGCCTCATTTAGAAGCTAGCTGAGCCCTCCCTCCTCTCATTTAGAAGCTAGCTGAGCCCTCCCTCCTCTCATTTAGAAGCTAGCTGAGCCCTCCCTCCTCTCATCTAGAAGCTAGCTGAGCCCTCCCTCCTCTCATCTAGAATCTAGCTGAGCCCTCCCTCCTCTCATTTAGAAGCTAGCTGAGCCCTCCCTCCTCTCATTTAGAAGCTAGCTGAGCCCTCCCTCCTCTCATTTAGAATATGAGTTTAGGCCCTCCCTCCTCTTATTTAGAAGCTAACTGAGCCCTCTCTCCTGCGAATTTTCTTATTACAATTTTGCGATTTTTCTGTGGCAAAAACTCAATTAATTTTGTTACGGCTCGCCAAAATAAAGCTTTGCGAATATATAAACTAATTCACCCATTCTAAAAGTATATTTATATCCAAGGAGAAAAATGGGTAGTTCTTCTCTTGGAGTAAATTTAAACAATAAACAGTACAGTGCAGGTACTGAGAAACTGCAGTACACTGTGTTGATAAACAAGATAAATCTTCCTAATGTACAGGGTTACCCACAAAGAATGAGATTGTAAAGACGACCTGAAACTCTTTTTATTTAACGATTACGGGGTTAAATTAAGTCTTCTGTCCTGAATATAATCTTCTTGTGGCTTATTCAATGATTGGAAAAAACACAAGTTTAGAGTTAACCCATTTTAACTCAGAAGGCTCGAAACAAAAAAAATATATTACCTAAAAATTAGAATATTTATTTTTTGTTTAACATTTACAATTTTAGTTGGATTATTTTATTGAATAAATATATGTAACAGTCGTATATTGTATTTTTAAGGCTTATTAAATGATTCAGAGAGTCAAAGGGAATTTAATGCAAACATATTTTTGAAGTTTCAAAATGGTTTCAGATGTTCATCGTACAGTGTACACGTAGATATTTTCTAGATATTTAAATATTTTCCTTGAAATGGACTGTTATTGTTATTTTAACTGACTTAACATTTAAAAAAGGGTCTTTTTGCAGCGGACACGCTACTCTTTAAATGGAGAGACAATTTAAATTTCGCCAAGAGTCCCTTTAAGTTAAAATTATGAATAATTGTTTATCACTCCAACCAGGCGGATGCAATAGATGACGAGGTTTGGAACTCTTCTCCGGAGTAACCCTTCAACTTGTCATCCTGTCTCCTATACTCAGATCTATCGTTCTTCATAGTTCCACCTCTCACATTCTGCATTAAAAGGAATGTGCATGAATATTTGGATATTGTTTTAGGTTCCAAATATGAATATTTCCAAAAAAAAATCTTAAAGGAATTGAGTCTTTGCCACAAACACAAATTTTTAATTCCTATATCTTTATTCTTTGCAACCTGATGGTGTAAACCTTTGATATGTCAAACTTTGATTATTTGAGATAACAATTTATTGTTTGAAAGTTTAAAATATAAAAGGTCTACGACATCGAGTTGCAAAGATAAAGGGATTAGAAAATAAGAATTTATGGCAAAGACTTAATTCCTTTATTTTGTAAAGAGTTTCATTTTACTACAGTCATTACATTAAATTGAATATATTTTTAGAAAAAAATTGTTTTATATTTATATTCAGTTTTGTCTCAATATTTTGTGTGTAGGAAGACGACGGAAATCTTAAATCCGGGAAATCTTTCAAAAAATCTTGGAACAGATTCACTAATATTGTTTTGTAATCTCTTCAGAGCTGAAAACTTTAGAATGAGATATCCTTAATCCCGACTACTTAATCTAAGTATCCAATGGACACACTTTTGTTTTTCTTCTTAAACCGTTCTTTCTTGGATAAAGGAGAGAAAAATCAAAAACCGGTTTTTTCCATTAGAGAGTCCCTCCCGTTTCTGTATGTTAATCTTAAATGGCGCGCAAAATTTCAAATTTCCTGGCTCTGATTGGTTACATTTTATACACTTTTCAGGATACAAGTACAAGATTAGGTTAGTCTCGAGATTAAGAAAAAGAAAGGATCAAGCATTAATCTCAATATCCACCATTCTAGAGTTTTCAGCTCAGTATATGCAAATATAAATGTAAAAGAATAGGCAACTCTCTCTTTAAAAGCAAGAATAAGTTCTAAGAAAACTGTCCTCAATGGTGATTAAATCAAAGACTTTTCAAAGAAATTGTTAAATCTTTATTGGATTTCTATATAGTTTAGATAAAGCAAAAAAAATATTAAAACTATTATTTTTTTGTGAGTGAAATATGATATTGTGATAGATTTGTATGTAATACGACCTTACAACGATAAATTTCTGAAAAATTTTTAAAATATGATAAATCTTTTTTTTTATTCACATGAAAAGTTTTTAATAAATGTGATGATTTACAAAAAAATAACAAGTTTTCAGATCTTTAATATATTGCCATTTTTTTATGTTTGCATGTTTTTTATCTTATTTGTCTAGTTGTGTACATGATTTCATCTTATTTGTCTATCCTTTAACATGTTTTTCATCTTATTTGTTGTTTCCATCTTCTTTGTCTTGTTGTGTAGTGTACATGATTTCATCTTATTTGTCTATCCTTGGACATGTTTTTCTTTATTGGGTTTGTACTGTCAGGGGTTTATCTTTTCGGAGTTTTCTTTCCGGGGTTTGTACTGTCAGAGAATTGTCTTTCCGTAGTTTTCTTTCCGGGGTTTGTACTGTCAGAGAATTGTTTTTCCGTAGTTTTCTTTCCGGGGTTTGTACTGTCAGAGGATTGTATTTCCGGAGTTTTCTTTCCGGGGTTTGTACTGTCAGAGAATTGTATTTCCGGAGTTTTCTTTCCGGGGTTTGTACTGTCAGTGGTTGGTCTTTCCGGGGTTTGTAATGCCATGGGTTTGGTCTTACCTTACTTACTTTCTGGGGTTTGTACTTTCAGAGGTTTGTCTTTCCGGGGGTTGTACTGTCAGGGGTTTGTCTTTCCGGAGTTTTCTTTCCGGGGTTTGAACTGTCAAAGGATTGTATTTCCGGAGTTAATCATAAAACCCTTAAATGTTTTCTAAAATATTTAAAAATCTTCTCTTTGCAGTGCAAAATTTCAATTTTCCTTGGTCTAGAGAATAGAACTGAAAACTCAGCTAGTTTTTACCAACAGAGCTTTACTATTTTAAGCTTATTTATTTATACGTCTAAATCTTGCGGAGAAGTTGGCATAAAAACAATTTTCGAATAAAAGAATTTGAATCTCATTTTCCGCATTATAAAGGTTTTATAATAGTTTTGTGTAACAAATTACATTTATAGAGGAGAAATCATTGTTAGACAATTCTTCTAGAGTGTTCGATAAAATATATCGCCGACTGAACATTAAACATCTTATCTATAGCTAATTTCAAAGGATCTAAACATTTGCTCCGAGCTCTAAAGTTTTCTTGTATTTTTTCAACTTGATTTCGTAGACCTTTGATATTTCAAACTGAGAATTTTGTTAGATCTAACAGTGAAAGTTTGAATTATGAAAAGTCTACACTGAATATCATCAAGTTGCATAGAGAAAGGATTGAAAAGTCAGAGTATGAGGCAAGCGTTCAACTCCTTTGCTTTGAGTTTGAAAAAGGAACAATTCAATTAAATCATCATTTTTCAGGTTTCAGGTTTCAGGTTTCAGCAGTTTTTTGCTGAATTATAAATACTTCTTTAAGTCTTTTTAATCTGTCTCTTTTCCCCTTTTATCTCTTTTCACAAAGAAGTTGAGTTTTTGCCACAAACTCAGATTTTTTCTAATCCTTGTATCAATACAACTTAATGTCGTAGACCTTAGATATTTCAAACTGGGAATTCCGTTCTAGATAAATAATCGAAGTGTGACACATCAAAGGTTTAAACCATCAGGTTGCAACGATATAGGGATTTGAAAATTTGATATGGTTCCGAAGACTCTTTATTGTTTAAAGAAAATCAATGCATTTTAAAGGGACTGTAAAGGAAAAATTAAAGGGTTTATAGGCTGAAAGCTAATCACTTTAGCTCTTGATCGCGGCCCATGCAAGTTATATCTGACGTTCCTGTCAGGAAAAATTGATTTATACGAAAAATTTATACGAAAATTCATATATATACAATTTTGTATAGAAATAGTAGGTTTAAACAGATCGTATTCAGCAAATACGCAACCAATCTGACAAAACAGATATCCCAGTCTTCAGATAAGAAAATATATTTATATCTAGGTATACCTTGGTATCCCTGGTATACTCCTCGTACAATCTTCAGATAAGAAAATATATTTATATCTAGGTATACCTTGGTATCACTGGTATACTCCTCGTACAGTCTTCAGATAAGAAAATATATTTATATCTAGGTATACCTTGGTATCACTGGTATACTCCTCGTACAGTCTCCAGGTGAGAAAATATAAAATCTCCAAAAGAGAAATTAAACTTAATCCCGTGAGAAGAGAGAACACAGCTCCACACCTTTACACAAATATTAAAATTAAAATTATCCCCCCCCCCTCCACTACCCTACTTAAATCTAAAGATCTTAACCAAAAACTTGGTTAAGGACAAATATTTAATTAAAACTCCATCTTTTCTTTCATACAGATAATCCCCATATACCAGTCCCCGGCCGCGATAATTGATGGCTCTCAAAAATAACTTGCCTCAAACTTAAATGTTCTAATTCCTATATCTCTGCATCCGGATGCAGAGATTTGGAGATTTGGAGATTTCAAACTTAGATTATTTGATCTTACAGAATTCATCGTTTGAAATATCATTGGGTTGAAAAGATATAGGGATTGGAAAATCTGAGTTTGTGGCAAAAACTCAATTCCTTTGAACTGTTTGGTATTACTTTTATGTCCATCCTATGCTTCTGTTAAGATAATTTTATAAAAACTGTTTTTCACGAACTACGAAAAAGAAACAGTTCGTGGAATAAATCAATATCGATTTACAGAAATAACACGTTCCTATTCATTATTACTTTATTGTTCATTCTGTAACATTTTAAAATTTTATTAAGGATAATTATATCTGACCTGACAAGATCATCTATCCATGTTGAGCGTCTAGCCACCCTTCTAGAGACGGTGCTGGTAGGATCTAGAACCATCTCCAGGCTAGTCTCAGCACACGGTTTCTCCCAAATCTAATAGATTGATCAAGGCTGGGAAGAGAACTGATAATGTTAAAATCATGTTCTTGCAACAAAAGAAGAAAAACTTTTCTATAGATTAAATTTTTTTTCATTAATTTATTTCGATCTTGACAAAAATTAATATCAATTAGTAATATGTATTTATCAGTTTGTGAATAATTTTTTAAAGGAATTGAGTCTTTGCTACAAACTCTGATTTTTTAATCCCTATATCTTGACAACCCAATGTAAACCTTTGATATTTCAAACTATGAATTCTGTTGGATCAAAGAATCTAAGTTTGAAATATCAAAAATTTACGCCATAAGATTGCAAAAATACTTTGCTTTTGGAGTCTGTGGCAAAAACTCAATTTCTTTGCTTATAACTATTTTTAAAGAAAGTTAATGGCTTACAATTACAAAATGGAACACCCCCCCCCTTCCCTCGTCTGCTTGATATCTGAGAAAAGAACTGTGTATGGGACCCCCCCCCTCTTCTGCTTACTATCTGAGAGGAGAACTGTGTATGGGAGCAGGGAGGAGGACATGAACAATAATCTTGAACCCCGGAGCAGGAACTCTCACCATCTATACCAGCTGCTCCAGAAATCCTGATTATAAAAACACCATAAATATCTGAGAAGCTCAATTTAATTCAGTAACTCATCAAAATTGTTTTATTATGAAAATGCAAAAATAGTTTCTAATATATAACTAAACTAGGTTTATAGTATTCTGTGACAAAAACAAAAAAGTATTTTTATGTTGAATCAAAATATTTTCCGCATTCTGAGGCGGGAAACTTCAAACATTTATTTTTCATGGAAATCCCGGAAAAAATGTTCAGTAATGCAAAGGATTTTAAAAATTAACTTTAATCTTTTACATTACATATGTATATGAATATATATATATATATAGCCGGCTAAGCAATAGCACCTCAGATCTACTCTCATTGGTAAAACATAACTCCTTTACCTCAGATCTACTCTCATTGGTAAAACCTACCTCTTCACCTCAGATCTGCTCTCATTGGTAAAACATAACTCCTTCACCTTAGATCTACTCTCATTGGTAAAACCCACCCCCTTTACCTCAGATCTACTCTCATTGGTAAAACATAACTCCCTTCACCTCAGATCTACTCTCATCGGTAAAACCCACCCCCTTTACCTCAGATCTACTCTCATTGGTAAAACATAACTCCCTTCACCTCAGATCTACTCTCATTGGTAAAACCCACCCTCTTCACTTCAGATCCACTTTCATTGGTAAAAACTAACTCCTTCACCTCAGATCTACAATCATTGATAAAACTAACTCCCTTCACCACAGATCTACTCTCATTGGTAAAACATAACTCCTTACCTCAGATCTACTCTCATTGGTAAAACATAACTCCTTCACCTCAAATCTACTCTCATTGGTAAAACATAACTCCTTCACCTCAGATCTACAATCATTGATAAAACCTACCTTAGTGCTAATGGTAGATTGTACGGAGCTAACCAAACTATACAGTTTCAACATTTTAAATTATATTTAATACAAAGGAAAAACATGTTTTTAAAGAAAGTTCCAATAAGCAAACAGTCGTGGTTAGCTATTTACTAGATTAAATATCTAAGAAAAACGCGTCGACAAATATGACTGACTGCATTGGTAATGCATGATATCTTTAATTAGGAGAATCGTTATTTAGAATCGGTAGTTGGAATTGATGAACACTATAGCTTTCTCCTAGATTTTATGTTTTATGAAATCACAGCAACATATATATATATATATATATCTTTAATTTAGAAATTATAATTTTAGAATCTAGAATGTTGATCCCTGATTTGTGAAGGTTAGAATAGCAGGTTATATTGGAGCAAGGACGGATGTATCCTGATCCAGTGTTGTGAACCTGGGATCCTAGTAGATGAAGAGGGATCAAGGAGTAGGGAGCACAATCACACAGACACTCAGAGATCCGAGCCTTAATATTCAAAATAATGTAAAACTTTTTAAACCAAATGACCCAAAAGTTGTTAACCGAATAAGTCAAAAGTGTGGAACAATAAATGAACCAAAAGTGTTGAATAAAATAAATCTAAAGTGTTAAACTATATATATGAACCAAAAGTGTTGAATAAAATAAATCTAAAGTGTTGAACTATATATATGAACCAAAAGTGTTGAATAAAATGAATCTAAAGTGTTGAACTATATATGAACCAAAAGTGTTGAATAAAATGAATCTAAAGTGTTTTACCAAATGAACCAAACGTTTTGAACCAAACGATCAAAAGTGTGAAACCAAATGAACTCAAGGTTATGAACCAAAATTTTAATCAAATGAATTAAAAATGTTGAACCAAATAAATCAAAAATGTTAAACTAAATGAATTAAAGCTGTTCTAAAAGTTTTAAACCAAATGAACCAAAAGTGTTGAAAAAAATAAACCAAAAGTTTTTAAACCAAATGAACCAAATGAGTCAAAAGTGTTGATCTTTATGAACCAAAAGAGTTGAACTAAATGAACTCAAAGTGTTGAACTAAATGAATCAGAAGTGTTGAACTAAATGAATTAAAACTGTTGAACTAACTGTTCTAAAAGTTTTAAACCAAATGAACCAAATGAGTCATAAATGTTGAACTAAATGAACCAAAAGTGTTGAACCAAACGAATCAAAAATGTTGAATCAAATGAACCTAAAGTTTTCAACTAACTGAACCAAAAGTGTTAAACCAAATGAATCGAATTTTTTAACCAAATGACCTAAAAAAGCCCTAATTTTGTATATATAATTTTGTTATATGAAAAATTTCCCAGTCACAAAAGCAAGGTTTTAATGATGATGAAATGAAATAAAAAAGACGAAAGTAAAAAAATCCATGACTAAAATTATGAAAAAGGAATGCTCGGAAACTCTACAAGAGTAAACTAATTCAAACATTTTCTTTAACTCCAAAGTTTTCGTGAAAGATCAACGAAGCCCAAATAATTCCCTTTGTAGTTGCAGAAACTAAAAACATTTGTTTGATGAAATATTTAAAATTTAGAAAAAAAATAAGCTGCCCAGAATAGATGGAAAGATGAACATTAAGAATATCGATTTTCGATCCTATTTTTACAAGGAATTCAGAGTCTTGAAACTATGCCCTAAAATCTTGCAAAAATAGGAAATAAAATCTTAAAATATAGGGAAGGGTAAAACCGAACAATCAATAATCGTAAAAAGACATAAAAAAGGAAATTGCAAACTTTTGTCTCAAACTCTTTGCAACTTCATGGTGTAAACCATCGACATTTTAAATTTTAACTTATATTTGATCTGGCAGATTTCGTGGGTTCAAAAATCAATGGTCTATGAAACCAGTGGCCGGATTTAAAGAATTTGAGCGGCGGTTTAAATTTAAGCCGCGGGTTAAATATGGTTGGTTCTACTTAAAATTGTATCAAATGTTTCAAGATTTAAGCCGGCGCTAAATTTAAACCTGGTTTTGGCGGATTTTGGCGGATTTAAACCGCGGCTCAAATTCTTTAAATTCCATCTCAGATTTCAAAAATGTAAGTATTAGCAAAGTTGAGTTTGTGACGAGGGTTCAGTTTCTTTACAACAAATTCGATTGAAGGACATGATGATAATAATAATAATAATAATAATAATAATAATACGAGAAGCACTAGAAACTAAAAACACATAGTTATGAACTACACACAAGAGAATGGTTATTGGTTACAGAAACTGGAAAGAAATGTTAGAATGGAAAGGACAGCCTTTGTCATAAATAAAAAAATATTATATTATTTGATCTAACAGCGTTTGCAAAGTTATAAGGATTTGAAATTCAAAGCTTTAGGCAAAAACTAAATTTCTTTGAAACTGGAATATTGCTGAGTAGGTAGATACATACATACATCTGGAATTTGTCGAAACTAGATATTATAATTCTTAAAATTATAATATAGTTCATAGTGTTCATGGAATTCATAGAGACCATACAGTTCTTAGAGTTCATAGTTCAACAAGTTTATATGAATAGAGTTAAGAGTTAATAGAGTTCATACAGATCATACAGATCCTACCGTTCCTAAAGTTCCAACAGTTCCTACAATTAACACAGTTCATACAGTTCATACAGTGCTTACAGTTATACTGTTATACAGTTCACACAGTAAACACAGTGTTTATGGTTATACAGTTAAACAGTTCACACAGTACACACAGTGCTTAAAGTTATAGAGTTAAACAGTTCACACAGTAAACAGTTCACAAAGTACGCACAGTGGTTACAGTTATGCAGTTATACAGTTCACAAAGTACACACAGTGTTTACAGTTATACAGTTAAACAGTTTAAACAGTTCACAAAGTACACACGGTGCTTACAGTTATACAGTTAAGCAGTTCACACAGTACACACAGTGCTTACAGTTATACAGTTAAGCAGTTCACAAAGTACACACAGTGTTTACAGTTATACAGTTAAACAGTTCACACAGTACACACAGTGCTTAAAGTTATACAGTTAAACAGTTCACTAAGTACACACAGTGCTTAAGCCTTACAGTTATACAGTTCACACAGTAAACACAGTGTTTACATTTATACAGTTATACAATTCACACAGTACACACAGTGCTTACAGTTATACAGTTAAGCAGTTCACACAGTACACACAGTGTTTACAGTTATACAGTTAAACAGTTCACACAGTACGCACAGTGATTACAGTTATACAGTTATACAGTACACACAGTGCACACTGTACTTTCAGTTATACAAATATGCAGTTTACACAGAACGTACAGTGCTTACAGTTAAGATCCTTATATTTGAATTTGAAATTTTATCTTGATTTTAGTTTTTGGCTTTAGATGAAAGATTTTACTAAAGGTTAAGATGATATATATTAAATTTTAATTTATTCATTTTATTTCTGTCCTGAAAATTGAAGTATTCACATTCTATGCCTGTAGCCAAAGAGCATAGACTTGTGTAATTAAGACGAAAAAAGTAAAAAACCGCCATTTTGTTGTACTGTTTTCATACTTTTGTCTTATTCATTAAACAGATGTGATTAGCTTTGTAATTACAAATATTGCCTTCATAGAGGGATAAATTGTGCTATTGAGATCCTCCCCCAAAAAAACTTAAGAACAATTAATCTATTTTTGAAATTTATGAAATACTAGACATTTAGAGGGTGTGGTAACAGTTCGCCCAATAACTTTTTACCCAATCACGTTTCACCCAAAACGTTTCACCCAATAACGTTTCACCCAAAATAATGTTTCACCCAAAATAACGTTTCACCCAATTCACGTTTCACCCAAAATATATTTCACCCAACACACGTTTCACCCAAACTACACTAACTTAAGAGTTTCCCCCCCCCCCCCCAAAAAAAAAATCTTGCAAATTTTATTTTGACTCTCCCAGTATATAGACTCTCCCGTTTCAGATTTGAGTCGATATTCATGGCTATTTTGATCAATAAGAATGGGCTTCCCACTTTTTGAGGAGATGTACTTAGCTACATGTAACTGTGCCGCCATGGTCAGATAAAATGTGGTTTTGCATATTTCGAACAAAAAAGTTGCGGATTTACAACAATTTGCATTAATATATTTGTATATATGAGTCGACCCACTCAGATTAGATTTTTTTAAACCAATCTAAAAACATTCCCACAATTCTCTTGTTTTTCCCAATCAAAATTTGAGGCAAATCGGTCCAGGGGTTTTTGAGTTATGATCGGAAATCATAACTCATCGGCAATGTATGTTTTAGTAGAATAAAAAAATTGGGTGAAACTCTTTAATAAGTGTAGATTGGGTGAAACATAATTTGGGTGAAACGTAATTTGGGTGTAACGTAGTATTGGGTGAAACGTTATTTTACCTAAAATTGGGTGAAACGTGATTGGGTGAAACGTTATTGGGCGAACTGTTACCACACCATTTAGAGCGTTTCGTGTCCTTGAATCAAGTGTATACACTGTACAGTTTACAACCAGAAGTAGAAAATCCCACGAAAATATAATGGTTTACCTTACACTGTTGTTGACAGATTCTTTGGTCATAGTTTTCACTCTTCTCACATCCCACTTCCCTGGTATACAAATTCATGCTAGGGTTTTTTTAATTAAAAGCTGAAGAGTAAGGGGCTCAAATACTTTTTGAGTTATCGCAAAAAAACGATAGGGAGGGGGGGGGGGAAGAAATCTAAATTGACCAATTAAGGAAGAAGAATCATCCAAGAAAACCAGAAAAAGAGAAGAAAATTCATCTCAGTTTGATTTTTAGGGGGTAGACTTTTGTAGGAAAAATTCCAGGCAATCTGGGTTCCCAAGCTAGTATATATCTCTGAATCTCAAATGGTTTTCATTTTTGTGAATTTCAAATTATGATAACTGTGAATTTTGACGAGTTTAAGATAAAAATGGAAATTTCTTAATATCAGATATTTGCTGAAGACTAGAAAGCCAAAATATTGGATTGTTGAAACCGGTTATTGACGTAAAGGTTTGAAGATTTAAAGATTTAAAGATTTAAAGATTTAATGATTTAAAGATTTAAAGATTTAAATATTTAAAGGTTTAAAGATTTAAAGATTTAAAGTTTTAAAGTTTTAAAGTTTTAAAGATTTAAAGATTGAAAAGAAATAATTTCTGTCAATTTTAATGTTGTCTCTGCTGAATGTGAATTCAAAGAAATTAGAAATTAGAAATATTAGATTGAAAAACAACTATTATGATCAGACAAAGCTGTTCGGAGGGTACTCTTGTGAATAGGACATGTGTTAGTCTTTAAATGGAGGATTAATTAAAATTTTCTGTAAAGATACCTGTCGGTTGAGATTGTTTTAATGTTTATAAGCTGAGATCTTGAATCCTGGATTCTAATTTCATTACTTGCTTCATCTACAATTATACTCTACATATAGTGCATGAATTGTATTTAAGAAGTCGGATAAAGAACTGATTACACTCCTCAAACTCTAATATTCTAATCTGTATATCCGTAGATATTTGATATTTTTGCTTGATCAATGAGGCAATGTTAGAAAAAGAGAGAAGAAAATTGAAGTTTAAAGTGAGTGTTTAGTTGCCTTGATAACTTTTGAAATTCCAAACCTGAATGTATGAAAGCTTTGAGGAACTTGTTGTTACACTCATCTTTACTTCCAATTGAGTTAAACCGAACCTTCAAACTCCTGGTTATATCTCCAGTTGCTCCTAAAATAGAGATAAATTGATCCTCTAAACTCTTGTTTATATCTCCAGTTGCTCCTAAAACAGAGATAAACCGAACCTTTAAACTCCTGGTTATATCTCCAGTTGCTCCTAAAACAGAGATAAATTGAACCTCTAAACTCCTGGTTATATCTCCAGTTACTCCTAAAACAGAGATAAATTGAACCTCTAAACTCTTGGTTATATCTCCAGTTGCTCCTAAACCAGAGATAAACCAAATATTTAAACTCCTGGTTATATCTCCAGGTTCTCCTGAAACAGAGATAAACTGAATCTAAAAACTCTTGGTTATATCTCCAGGTTCTCCTGAAACAGGGATAAACTGAACCTTTCAACTCCTGGTTATATCTCCAGGTTATCCTGAAACAGAGATAAACCGAACCTTTAAAACTCTTAGATATATCTCAAAGACAAGACAAGACACAAACGTAACCTTAAAACTCCATCTCCAGGGTCTCCTGTAACAGAGATAAACTGAATAAAAAACTCCTGGTTATATCTCCAGGTCTCCTGTAACAGATGTAAACGAAGCCTTTAAAATCAAGATTATATCTCCAGGATATCTTGAAGTATCTACTTCCTAACCCTCCTTTCTTCTTTAACATTGATATTTTTGTATTCAATTTATCTTCCATTACCTTTAGAAGATAGGAAAACACATTCTTGGTAGAGAGGACTCTCCTGTCAAAAAAAGGAATAACATGAAAATAACATCAGAGCAGGGAACTATTGTGTAGGATTCTCATAATCCCTTTCGCTTGATCTCAATATCCACTGTGGACACTTTTAATTTGAGGATTTATGCCTAATCTCTTAATTTCAGTTCCCTTTAAGGGTCCGGGATATCGATTAAAGATTAACAAAAGATAGAGATCAAGCATTGATCTTGATATCCCAGCTCTGTTCAATTAAACAGAGTTTTTTTTCGAAAGTTTTAATATTAAAAGATTATTTTGAAATTAAAGGGATTGTACGTTCCGTTCATTTCAGAAAGTTGCCTATTTTCTCACTTGACGAATTTTCATAATACTTTTTCCAGATGCAATTTTAGCATGTGATTTTTACCATTTAACTGTACAATGATAACCAGAACACAATAGGAAGACGACATTAAATCAATACTAAAGTTCATTTGATGTGGTTACAAAGAAAAAAGCTTTACTAGTAAGTTTTTTAATCGCTTATCAAGTGAAGTGAGTCTGTCTACACTGCACAATTGCTGTGTCTCATGCTCATTGGACTACTCAAAATTATGACTTGAATCTAAAAGTCGATTTTCTGTTCTAGCTTAATGAAATGTGTTATATATTTTTTCCTTATTGATGCAGGTGATCGAAAGAAGACGATCATCTCCACAAGAAGATGACAGCTGTACATGGCATTCTTTTAAGTTTTGCGCATTTGCTCCACAACTTATTTCAGAGACGACTGAAAAGAGTTTAAAAGGAAATATATATGTTTATATTTATCTTAATGATTTACAAGAATAATACTTGAGCACCATTAACCTGATATATTTTGAGTAGTGTACGTTTTGTTTGTGTTGATGAACCCACAATGATGTCCTTCCTGTTTACAAACGAGCTCGACCAATTGTAAACTCGCCCCAAAATTACAGATCGGAGCTACAAGAGTTCCAAGTTTCACAATGGGGTTAACTATCCTCAGATCTAAAATAGGTATCGGATACAGAATTTTTAATCGTCTTGAAAAAGTGATTACTAACTTCGAAAAAAATGTAAACGAAAGATGGTTGATTTGGTTAAATTCAAAGCTGAAGAATAATTTTTTTTTTTTTAATACAATTAAACCTGGAGTGTTGAAAATATTTTGCACTCTGTTAAGAAGATTGGTCTGGACGGGTTCGGTTTTTATCTCCGGGACTATATCTCCCACTGAAGAACCATTATAGCACAGCACTGTAAACAGATCCTGCAAGGAGAAAACGTCATACATCATTTGCAATTATTTTCTTACTTTTTACTTGAGATTGCAGTTTGATTTGATACGTTGTTTACGCTATAGCTTAACCCAGATATATCTTTTGTTTGAGACCCTGCCAATTTGGCATATTTTTGTCTTATTATGAAGATCATCCCATATCAAATTTGGTTATTTCCAAGCTTTAACGGCAATATACTTACAAAATTCTCAAAGAAAAAAAATTAAACTTATAAAATTTAAAGGTTAAATATTCTATTCAGTTCCAAAAATACAAATTCAAAACTAAACACGATCCAAAAGGATTTTGGACGCCCTCTATCATCATATCCTTTTTAAAGTTGTTTTGTTAAAAATAAGTATATTAGAGGATTTTTAATAGATATGCTGAAAACAGGGTATTTATTTGGCTTACTATATTGGATTTCTTTAGTTTGATACTTCAGATTTTCATAATTTGTTATATAATTTTAAGTTAATGAACATGATTTTGAGGTCTTGGAAAATATATCCGTCTTTGAGGAAAGGGTTTTTTGAATCAATCAGTCAAAGTTTCTTCACAGGAATTGGCAATGTATATAGACCTCCTAACTCTGATATCATTAAGTTTATTGAAATTATGGAATCTATTTTGAAAAAAATTTCATCCGACAAATTACTGAGTAAAGCTGAAGAAATTCAAATTATGGGTGACCTAAATATTAATCTGCTGAAGAACAATTCTCACAATGCTAAATCTAACTTTTTATCAACCTGTTAACATATTCACTTCTTCCGCTAATTACTCTCCCTACACATATTACTCAAGCATCTTCAACATTACTAGATCACATATTTAGTAATTCATATCCTGAGTCAAAAGAATGTGGAATCATCTACTTACTTAAGTTTATCTGACCCGTTTTTTCATTGTCTTAGTGTACACAATCTTAATAAACCACAACCAGAATTTACATTGGGAATATTCTAAAAATGTAGCTAACACCTGGTTTCAAAACTACCTCGTCAATAGGACTCAAAATGTATGTATAAATGGTATTTTTTTCTAAAGAAAAAACAATTTTATGTGGTGTTCCCCAGGGAAATGTTCTTGGGCCCCTACTATTTATTAAAGTACATTCAGATCCAATATTTTTCAGATTAGAACTCCTAAATCTTGATGATACATATAAACTAGGTGTTCTATCTTTTATGCATAAATAATTTTATGAAAACCTTCCAACTTCCTTCCAAGATATGTTTAGTTCTTTAGCTGAACCAAATAGAACAAAATCATATAAACTTGGACGGGTTCTCTTTAAAACGCTTTATTTCCAAAAATATGGAATTCGATTGAATTAGAGCTTAAAGAAACTAAATCTGCAAAATCGTTCTAAAAGAAAAGTCGCCAAGATCTATTTAGATAGTCATGCAAATCATATCTGTAAAAAAAACTGTGTGTAATTTGGATAAACTTAGTCTTAACTATCTTCTTCACCCTGTAGTTCATAAACATGATTTTAATAACATATGTTACCCTCTGTTCTAACCCTTCCTTTCCCTTATACTCCCTCACCTCGTCTTTATCTTTTTCCTGACTTATCATCATTATTATGTTTAAAATGTACATTGTGCAGTGTTCACCCATTTATTTATTTACAATTCTCATTCCCCTATAATGAGCCAACCAACTAAAACAACCTTCTCTGGTTAAGCGGGTCCAAACTACCTAGTAAATCGTGATTTTTTTTGTATTATCTCGTGCTTTGTAGTTGAATAAAAATATGAATGAATATGAAATATGAACTGTGTATTTTAGACTTTGACCTAAATACTTTTAAAACATCTGAGTAATGAGAAAGGTTTTTACACTTGGGATGTCATTAATCTTTAATCCATATATTTAGTTATTGTTTTTTATTTCAATAATAGGTTTGGTGTACCCACCTCACTTTTACATCCGTGTACACCCCAGGGAGACAGATCACATGAGAACACTGAACTCTCTTCTCCTATAAATTGATTTAAAAAATAAGAAAAAATTACCACTCTCTCAGTCTCAAAGAAATGTTTGATTAAAATGTGAAATTAAACTTTTCCTTATATACATATATATATTTAAATAGATATATAACTCTAATATATATATAATTCTAAGAGAAAGGAATAAGACCGATTGGATCCGTAACTGAAAGGTAAAGTAAAGGGGGCGTACATTTATATTAAGGTGATTATGGTATTGATATGATAAGGACCCTAGTTAATAAAATCAGGCAAGGAAATGATCCTGATTACTGAAAGGGAAAATCGGAGAAATCTTCGTAAATAAAATAGAAAAAAATCCTAGCAATTGAACGAGACATTTGGACGAATCACAATCTAGGAAATCTATAGTTTTAGAAATAAAGTAAAGGAATTCAGTTTTTGCCACTAACTCAAATTTTCTAATCCCTATATCTTTGTAACCTGATGGGTTGACCCTTTGATATTTTAAACTTAGATTATTTGATCCAACAGAAATTTTAGTTTTATATATCTAAGGTCTACAACATTAGGTTGCAAAGATAAAAAAATTAGAAAATCGGAGTTTGTGGCAAATACTCAATTCCTTTGAGAGATCTACCAATTATTAAACTGTGAAAATATGAGGAATCCCAATAAATGAAAGGAAATATGAGAGAAACCCTATCAGTTCAAAGGTAATATGGAAGGAAGTAAAGGTAAATGAAAGGAAATATGAGAGAAACCCTATCAGTTCAAAGGTAATATGGAAGGAAGTAAAGGTAAATGAAAGGAAATATGAGAGAAACCCTAGCAGTTCAAAGGTAATATGGAAGGAAGTAAAGGTAAATGAAAGGAAATATGAGAGAAACCCTAGCAGTTCAAAGAATATGGAAGGAAGTAAAGGTAAATGAAGGAAATATGAGAGAAACCCTAGCAGTTCAAAGAATATGAAGGAAGTAAAGGTAAATAAAAGTGATCCCAGTAATTAAAGGGTAATATGGGAGAACTGAATGTGAGTATAGAAGGAATACTAATAACTGAAAGGTGATATCGAAAGAATACTAATAGTTGAACGGTTAAATTGTACGAATACTTATAATTAAAAAGAAATATGTGAAGTAAGAAGTAAGTATCTGACATAATGAAACATAAACTCACAAAAGCATCTGACATACAGGAACCTAAACTCACTTAAGCATCTGACATACTGAAACCTAAACTCACCTAAGTATCTAACATACTGAAACCTAAACTTACCTAAGCATCTGACATACTGAAACCTAAACTCACCTAAGCATCTGACATACTGAAGCCTAAACTCACCTAAGTATCTGACATACTGAAACCTAAACTCACCTAAGCATCTGACATACTGAAACCTAAACTCACCTAGGCATCTGACATACTGAAACCTTAACTCACCTAAGCATCTGACATACTGAAACCCAAAAACTGGCGGAGTAGTTTCTATTCTCCTGAAGAGTGCTGGACTAAGCCTTGAACCCTGCTGGAATCTTAGAGATCTACAAACTAGACCTGGAACCAGGTGGTTGGTTCCACTGTTGCAGATGTAGACCGGAGCACCCGTAGTTTCTACAACTGGATACCCTGAACAAATAACAAGATCAGAGCTGACACAAAAGTGGACGCTCAAACACAGTAAAGTCGGCTTAATCTAAATTTTTGATGCATAATTTCCACAGCTGTGTCTCAACGTGTGTAGAAGTAGAAATAATAAATTGTGTAAGAGATACAAAAAATCTTAATAAAGTAAATTATATACATTCTTATTCTAGTGATATTACATTCTTTGTTGTCAGGTTGAATCTGTAAATCCAATTTGTGTGGGGGATGTTGAGGAGGCTAACCCCCCCCCCCCCATCTCATTGGATCGGTAAAATCTATGATTTCCAGGGGATTTTCGGGTTCTCATACACTAAAATTTAGAAAACTCTGAAACTTCACATTAATAGATAGCCTTGACTTTAAAGTGTCGCAACGTCTTAGCCTTTGGTTTTCCTCACAAACTCACTTTTCTTTTATCTAGCCCTAGACTGATTTATTTCAAAAATACAAAGCGTTTGTTTCTAGCTTATCTTTAAACCAGGAAATTTGAGAAAAAACATTTCGATTTTTGTCAGAGAACGTGCACATCTTGGTTTGCAGTGAAAGGGGGCTAAGCCTCCCCTTAGAAAAATGCCCCCTGGTTTGTGTACACGTGACTTATTAGGACTGCTTGGAACTAACTCTCATCAAAACAGAGTTGCCAAAGGTAGATTTGGAGATTTTAAATCTAAATTTTTGATGCATAGTTTCCATAGCTGTTGATTTGGAAATACTTCTGGTTTGAGAAAGGAACAGGAAAAACAAATGATGAAAGTATATGAAAAATTTCAGAAGTGTGAAGGAAAACTGAAATTATTCTTCATTACCTTTTTTTTCCTTTTAGGTGAATATTTGAAACTTACATTTTAGGATTTTTTGAGGATGCATGTTCTCTCGGTTTTAGGGGATTTTCAATCCAATCAATCCGGCATCAAAACAAAAATAAAAATTGAAACTAAAATTTGAGTTTTCCTGTGCGCTGCAAGGTAGGAAGGCCGGGCTTAAAAAATCAATGTTATACTAGATGTTTTTTTTACAATGACCAGAAATTAAACAGAATATAGATAGAAAAACTTGAAATGGCAAAAAAATAATAAGTAACTCAAAAAATAAACATTGTTAGGTTCCAATCAATCATTAAATGATGACTTTTAAAGTCTTGAAATTCTGCACCATAATAGATAATTAAAGAGACTCAAAGAGTAGTTTCAAGTAACCCTCCATGCAAGGATGGCAATGCCCGATTCACAACCGTACACTTGAAAACATATCCTGATCAATGATCAATATCTATAAATTCATACTTGATCATACAAAACTTTTCAGGGTTTCTTTGTGAATATGACAGTGCCATAATTGCATTTAGGGCATTTAAAATTACGCTTACAGTCCCATTAAGTCATAAACCCTAATTTGTGTAGCTTGGGGTTTCCTATGTATACATATTGACGTACTAAAGGCAATTTATTTTCAACCTTTAATATAACACATTTTCTCGAGCAGTAGAGTCTGATAAACTTGTACTTATCTCAGAGGGGTACAAACATTGTATACATCACAGCGTTCTCTTATAGCCCGTTAAATGTTTCCAAAGCATGTACAAGACATATGTACAAAATAAACCCTCTTTTTCGTTTTTATTTTAAACATTGTACATATTGTAAAATGTACAATCAACCTTTTATTAAACCTTTTGACAAATATGTGCACTTTATTCAATGTTTCTTTCGATAATATTGAAAGAATTCTTATTGATTTCAGAAATGTTGTAAAGTGAGTAACTATTATTATTACACTCTTGATCCATGCAAGGACATTAAGAAGTGAGTAACTATTATTATTAAACTCTTGAACTATGCAAGGAAATTAAGGTGGGATATGAAAGCGCAAAGTGAGTAACTATTATTATTAAACTCTTGATCTCTGCAAGGAAATTAGGGTGGGATATTGAAGCGTAAAGTGAGTAACTATTATTATTACACTCTTGAACTATGCAAGGAAATTAAGGTGGGATATGGAAGCGTAAAGTGAGTAGCTATTATTATTACACTCTCGATCCATGCAAGGAAATTAAGAAGTGAGCAACTATTATTATTAAACTCTTGAACTATGCAAGGAAATTAAGGTGGGATATGAAAGCGTAAAGTGAGTAACTATTTTTATTAAACTCTTTGTCTATGCAAGGAAGGAAATTAAGAAGTGAGCAACTATTATTATTAAACTCTTGAACTATGCAAGGAAATTAAGGTGGGATATGAAAGCGTAAAGTGAGTAACTATTTTTATTAAACTCTTTGTCTATGCAAGGAAATTAAGGTGGGATATGGAAGCGTAAAGTGAGTAACTATTATTATTAAACTCTTGGTCTATGCAAGGAAGTTAAGGTGGGATATTGAAGCGTAAAGCGAGTAACTATTATTATTATTACACTCTTGATCTGTGCAAGGAAATTAGGGTGGGATATGGAAGCGTAAAGTGAGTAACTATTATTATTACACTCTTGATCTATGCAAGGAAATTAAGGTGGGGTATGGAAGAGTAAAGTGAGTAACTATAATTATTATTACACTCTTGATCCATGCAAGGAAATTAAGAAGTGAGCAACTATTATTATTAAACTCTTGAACTATGCAAGGAAATTAGGGTGGGATATGGAAGCGTATACACATTATACAATTTCCATTATTTTTATACAAAATCTCGGGAAAAGGGCAAAACCATTTAAATTGTTTAAACTATATTGTGACATATTAGGACAGCACTTGACCAGTTTTTTCCTAAACTCTATACCTTGGTTCAAAACGGTTCAAAAATTATATTTTATTATTTTTTTTATCTTTAATTAATGGAGCGGGAAAACTATATTTATTTTGTTTTTAATTTTCAACAATATTTTTCGAGTTTCTCAAAATAACATTTTTTTTTTATTGTTTATACATTGATTTAGGAGAAAAATGTGGCAACAGATGTATTTTGTTAACTCTCTCGTTAATCCAATTTTAACCTCCTCTTTTATATTTTAAGAGTTTCGTACTTCCACAAAGATATGAGAAATTTTACTTTTACGCTTTTTTCTTCTAAACGAACCATTTTTCCTTAGCTTTTTTCCTGGCAAAATTTTACGGAATACAGTTTGAAATGTTGGAATCTTAAACGATTTTGTTGGTGCCTATTTAAAACTTCAAAACGAGACAACGTATTGTCAATGACCATTTATAATTTTCTACCCCGTTTAACACTTTTATTTTAATTTAAAAGAAATTAGTTATTCCCAATCTGGAGGTGGAAATAAGGGTTGACGTTGTTTTCCTGAGAAATTTTTAAAAATAATTCTTAGCTCAGTGTTAGATAAGTTGCAGCCCTAAAAAGAGTGAGATTCCTTAAATGTCCTAAAAATTCTTTCAATCAAATATTTAATGTGATGAGGCCACCATTCTTTTTCTAAGAACCATTAGAAAATTAATTAAGGATTGGAAAATAAATTAATTTGTATTTTTCATGCTAAATTACTTTTTTATTTTATTAGCCGCAGAAGTTTTGACATTGTTGACTTTGGTGTGAAGTTTGTAGCTAGCTATATCTGTACCTGCTAGCTAGCTAGCTATACCTGCACCTGCTAGCTAGCTGCTAGCTATATTTGCACCTGCTAGCTAGCTATACCTGCACCTGCTAGCTAGCTATACCTGCACCTGCTAGCTAGCTAGCTATACCTGCACCTGCTAGCTAGCTTGCTAGCTATATTTGCACCTGCTAGCTAGCTATACCTGCACCTGCTAGCTAGCTAGCTATATTTGCACCTGCTAGCTAGCTAGCTATACCTGCATCTGCTAGCTAGCTAGCTATATCTGCACCTGCTAGCTAGCTTGCTAGCTATATTTGCACCTGCTAGCTAGCTATACCTGCACCTGTTAGCTAGCTAGCTATACCTGCACCTGCTAGCTATATTTGCACCTGCTAGCTAGCTATACCTGCACCTGCTAGCTAGCTAGCTAGCTAGCTATATTTGCACCTGCTAGCTAGCTAGCTAGCTATACCTGCTGTAGAATTCCCGATCCCGAGTCCAACTTCGGAGAAACTATAATTACAAAAACATGTAAAAACTCTGTTTGGCATATTTATTATTTATGATGGTGTTAGCTCTACAATAGAAAACAGTTTTTGCAGCCTTGGAATTTTACAAAAAAATATTTGAATAGATTTAATTTAGAAATATAAAAATTTGGCAATAATATTTGACATATTTGAGTTTTTGAAGAAAATATTTAATATCCCTGATGACAAAATAATTTTACTTTCTTGTCCCGACTGAATTAATTTACATTTTGTCAAACCCCACTTTATCTTTATTTTAAGCTGAAATATAAAAAAACATTTCGTTTGTAATATACTAGGCTTTCAGGGCGTTTCAAGCACATTTTAACTTTTGATTGTTGCTCTATCTGCGGAATTTTCTCTTCGTAAACAATCAAACAATTATCTTCAAACGAGCATTGCTCTCTTGAAATTATGCTTGCAGTTCTGTTAACTTTATCAGTGAAATTGATGTAAAATTTGTAATCAATATCTTTACGAGCAGCCGTAGTACATTTGAATTTCCGAGCCGGGTCAACCTTTCCGGTCCCAGTTTGTACTGTATCGCCCGGACATTGGGTAAATAAAGCAGACACTCAATAGGACTAGCCGTGCAACAAGGTTGACGCGGTCAGACTTAGGTTGAGGTGCGTGTCTTATCATTTAAGTTTTGCATGAACGTACAAAATTTCTTTCTAAAATAAAGTAAATGTTAAATTAATTCAATTCCCCGGTCCTTATTCTTTGTTCCATTGTAATTAGGTAATACGTTAATTTTAAACTCTTGAGAAAATTCGAATTTGTATGAAACAGAACTACAGAAGGAAACTTGGAACGGGTTGGGAAAAAAAAGTAATTCTGAGAAGGAATAGAATTAAAGAGACTTGAGGATCAGTGCATCCCATCATTTTATTTAATTCAAATTCTAATTAATTAATTAAAATGTTTTCAAATCGGAAAAAGTGATTTAAAGGGATTTTCATGAATTTAGACAAAGTAGCAGGTACAAGTTATGCTCTTTCAACTTTGGAAGGAAAATTATTTCAGAGGTGTACGCATCTTTTGTACTGCAGTGTACTGTCACTGGGCGGTAATGTAAACACATGACGGATGTCGAAGCCTGACATGGGATCCATCTTTCACATAAATAATCAATGAAATATTCTGGTCATAGGAAACTATTATGTGAAATATCGAAATTATCAAAATTCAATGCTTTTAACCACATCGGATACTAAACGAACACTGATGCATCTATTCTTGTTTACAAATTCCGCCCAGAGAGAACTGGTTTCAATATGTACGCAGAGTATACGCAACAGCAATTAACTTTCCTTGCATTACATTCTTGCTTCCATCCAACAATTTCTCAAATATCATTAAATTTGGTCACAGGCAACTATAAGAGCTACCAATATAGTTAAACTCACTCTCTAATTGAAGGGAGGTCATGATCAAACCCAAATTGGCCAAATTTTAGTATTATCAATCAGGTATATAGGGTAGATCATTAAACAGTTCTGTAAACGTACTGTCAAAGTACTGTCAATTAAAGACACTTCTGAGGAATTCCGGTTTTGACGGAAATACAATGTGAGTTAAATTAGTAAATAAACTTGATATAAAAATCCTTTGATAAAAAATAAGAAATGTTTAACATGATGTTGTTCCTGAGAGTAGGGAGAGGATTATCAAGTCGGAGCCGGAGAGGAAACCCCGGAGAACATTCAATCCAGACGGAGTCACAGGACAATCCGCTCTCCGTATAGTTGGTCTTACAATCCAGGATATGCGTCTCAGTTCCTGAACATTAAAGAGACTGTATACGTAATTTCAGATGGTACTTCTTTTTACGAGTTAACTGCCCTATTCACCCTTTGATATCAACGCTAAATGAGATGCCCTTGGTGTTCTATCTGAAAATTGGTGGATTCACTAAAATATCGATTTCCAGATTTAAACAACATCTTAAAGGGAGTGTTCGCGAAAAATGGAAGGAGGTATTGGCTTACTGCGAAAAAAAGCGCTTTTGATCGCTACAAATCTTAATTCTATATGTTGCGTCTATAAGGAGAAAATTATTGAAAACGACTCATGCTGAAGAACGTAGGGTCCATACAAATTCAGAAAGTTGCAACATTCGTCCCGGATCGTAAAAAAATCAATTTAATTCCTAAAAAATCATTAATAAATTACACCAATAATCATCGATAATTTTTCGACGCATTCGTATATAGTTGATATTTCATAATATTTTTTTATTTCTTACAATCTGATAGTTACTTTTGAAAACATTTATTCCTGTTTCGTAGATTTTTGAAAATGAAGACGACATTTTCATATGTTCCAGAAATGTTCGAAAATCCAGCTCTAGCGATATTGTTTCGCTACTTAGCGATTTCCCTAAAGACCTAATATATGTACCGTGTGGTATTTCTCAGGACCGGATCGTAAGACTCCCTTCTCTCAACGCTCTTCATAACAAAAGGATGATAATAAGGTTTCGAACGTTTATTTCTCTGAGTCTTCAATCTAAATAAGTTTAATAAACCCACAGAAAAAGCTTTGAGTGATAAATCATACGAATACTTACACTACTAGGGTTCCAGTGTATTGTCTACACACCTGTACATGAAGCTGTGTACACTACTAGGATTCCAGTGTATTGTTTACACACCTGTACATGAAGCTGTGAACACTACTAGGATTCCAGTGTATTGTTTACACACCTGTACATGAAGCTGTGTACAGTACTAGGATTCCAGTGTATTGTTTACACACCTGTACATGAGGCTGTGTACACTGCTAGGGTTCCAAGGTATAGTTTACACACCTGTACATGAAGCTGTAAACACTACTAGGGTTCCAGTGTATTGTCTACACACCTGTACATGAAGCTGTGTACACTACTAGGGTTCCAGTGTATTGTTTACACACCTGTACATGAAGCTGTGTACACTACTGGATTTCGAAGTGTTTGGTTTGGTTTAATTTTCCCAACACTCCAGCCAAGCATTCTTTAAAAATATATTATTTTGATAAAATACACAATTTCGAGTTATTTTCTTTAGAAATATAAATATTTATATTGTGAAGTCAATAAAGGGATTGAATCATGTTTGAAGAGTCTTCTAAAATCTTGACAATATAGATATTATGATTTTATCATAGAGAAATCAAATATTAATAAAGTTTTTCTAATTAAGGCTTTGAAGAAAAAACTGATTACTTTTTTTTTGAAGAAAAATAATATTCTGAATTATAAATATATTGTTGTGGTGTGGCTTGTTTGTAAGTAAATATATGAAAAAATGTGCACATAGATGCATAAGTAGGTAAAAAGATAGTTAGATAGACAGATAGTGTGTATCTGGGTTAGTAGTTAAAGGGTGCTAAAAAAGAAACCTTCACACTTTTTTCTCTCACAGACTTAATTATTACCCGATTATAATAAAATTTATATCACAGTGTCGGATTTGGTCAACCCTGCTCTGAATAATTGCTTTATCTCATGGGAAAGGTACTGATCAGCCTACCCGGCTGGGATTTCCTATTCTCGACACACTGCTTCAGATGATAGAGATTTTCACATTTCTTCCTTGCAACCTTCTTTTTTACCATGGCCCAACTATTCTCAATTATAGGCCGGACATTATTAAACTTCGTGGTTATAGTCAGGTGTAAACCAAACATTGATTTAAACTATTGCTGACAGCTGAAAGGCTGGCTGCGGTGGCTGTTTACAAGTTAGTCCTGCCAGCAAGAGACAATTTACACAAGGAAAAGATTTGGAAAGTAAGATACATGTCTTTATGCAATAAAATATGGTCCGATCAGCTTATAGTAATGGTCCCCAGCAGCTGTTCTCCATGTTGAAGGAGAAGTGAAGGAACTGGTTCTGCTTTTGTCTGGAAATGGTGGGATACAGTATACTCCAGATTAGTGTCCACCCTGAGAGACACCGTGATGTAAATTTCATCATGATCGGGTAATAATTAAGCCTGAGCTGTGAGAGAAAAAAGTGTGAAGTGTATTTTTTTCTCAACACCCTTTATATAGGTAGGTAGCGTGTATCTAGGTTGGTAGTTAGATGTGTAGGTAAATATGTAACTGGGTAGGTAGTTAGATAGTTAGGTAAATATGTAACTGGTTAGGTAGTTAAATAAGTGGGTGAATATGTATCTTGGTACGTAGGTAGTTAGATAGTTAGGTATTGTGTATCCGGGTAGGTAGTTGGATAGTTAGGTAAATATGTAACTGGTTTGGTAGTTAAATAAGTGGGTAAATATGTATCTTGGTACGTAGGTAGTTAGATAGTTAGGTATTGTGTATCCGGGTAGGTAGTTGGATAGGTAGGTAAATATGTAACTGTTTAGTTAGTTAAATAAGTGGGTAAATATGTATCTTGGTACGTAGGTAGTTAGATAGTTAGGTATTGTGTATCCGGGTAGGTAGTTGGATAGGTAGGTAATGTGTATCTGGACAGGTAGTTAGATATGTGGGTAAACATGTAACTAGTTATGTAGTTAGATAGATAAGTAGCATGTATCTGGGTTTGTAGTTAGATAGGTAGGAAGTGTGTATCTGGGTAGGGAGTTATATAGGTAAGAAGTTTTTATCCGGGTAGGTAGTTTGTATCTGGGTAGGTAGTTAGAAAAGGTAAGTAGTGTTTATCTGGGTAGGTAGTTAGAAAAGGTTAGTAATGTTTATCTGGGTAGGTAGTTAAAAAATGGTAAGTAGTGTTTATCTGGGTAGGTAGTTAGATAGGTAAGTAGTGTTTATCTGGGTAGGGAGTTATATAGGTAAGAAGTTTTTATCCGGGTAGGTAGTTTGTATCTGGATAGGTAGTTAGAAAAGGTAAGTAGTGTTTATCTGGGTAGGTAGTTAGAAAAGGTTAGTAATGTTTATCTGGGTAGGTAGTTAAAAGGTAAGTAGTGTTTATCTGGGTAGGTAGTTAGATAGGTAAGTAGTGTTTATCTGGGTAGGTAGTTAGATAGGTGAGTAGTGTTTATCTGGGTAGGTAGTTAGAAAGGTAAGTAGTGTTTATCTGGGTAGGGTTAGTTACCTGCAGAATACTGTTGCTTCTAAATCCCCGAAACCTTCTTTACAAAAATATTTTTCTCCTAAATTTTAAAATCCTGTTTAACAATGATTTCATGTTTTTGCCAGACATTAAACATTAATGTTTCAAAAGAATTAAATATTTTTCTAAAAATTTATTAAGAGGGGGCATGCCCGATTCACAACGGTACCCTACAAAAGTGACCTCCCCCCTTCTTTAACCATAAAAGAAGGTCATTCATTTTCTTAGAAATATGAATCAAAAGTTTTAAAGTTGAGATTGCAATCGACAGTGAAAAAAATGAACATTGACAGAATTTTATCCCTGATCCATATTTTAAGAACGGAGCTCCGCTCGTCTTTGTTTGTTTATGTTCTCCATTTAAACCTCCTGGGTCACACTGTACTGTACTACTGGTTGGTGTACTGCAATCATCTGATTAAAAGTTTGAAATAAAATAAAAATAGTTCAATCTGTAGATCTGTTAAATGGGTTTTATTTCATTACTAAGTCTTTCGGTTGACTTTATGTTTTACGTTTTACGTTTTTTCATATTTTGTTAAACTAGCTGAAGTGCCCGGCATTGCCCGTAAAATTTTAAATTTTTTTTTTTAAATCGAATTTTTTAAGCCTATGTTAACCCCAGGGTACCCATGAGTTTCCTCATAAAATTTCAGCCAATTCGGCCCAGCAGTTTGGCCAGCTAACATATACATTCAAATATAAATATATGATAGAAGGACTTTATCATATCGATAGTATTTCTTAGATTTTACTGATTTCCTAATATCCTACAGTGAAACCCTTAATAACGAATACATCGAAAGAGTTCATCAAATGTCGTATTCTTCACTTTCTGATAATGGAATGTTGCAGATATTTAGTTTTTTAATAAAATGATTATATGGAACTCTTTAAAAGCGTTCCCGCATATATTCATGGCTATTTATTTATTTTCACAAATACTGAAATTTATGTAATATAGTATAAAACAGATTGAAAAATTGTAAGGCGACATTTGATAAATTCTTCCGATGTATTCTTTATTAAGGGTTTTACTGTAATATATTTTATATTAAATCTGGTTATCCAACCCTACCGACCTGTCTTAACCAAACTTTACCTAACCAACACCAATCTTATAAGACACAGGGCACTGTACTCTCCAGTTCATTTCATGTACCGGACCGAAGTTCAGCTAGCAAGAGCAAGCTGTACAGTACAAATACATACTAAATAATCCCATTCTAGTGAAATCATGTAAAGTCACAGGAAAAAATGTTCTTAAAAAACCTGGAAATAAAGTTAGGTAAAGAAGTCATATTTTTTGAAGTCCGAAGACAAAATGTCACTGGAAATAAAGTCATGGTTTTTGAAATTCCCAGGAAACGTCATTCTTAAATCTTGTGTAAAACTAATTAAAAAATTTGCATGCAGAAAATCCGAGTTTTCTTTTGTATCTTTTGTGTTTTGCCGTTTCACGTCAAACTAAATTTAGTTTTCAATCATGATTAACCGGATAAATTTAGTTTTCAATCATGATTAACCGGATACATTTAGTTTTCAATCATGACTAATCAGATAAATTTAGTTTTCAATCATGACTAACCAAATAAATTTAGTTTTCAAACATGACTAACCCGATAAATTTAGTTTTCAATCATGACTAACTGGATAAATTTAGTTATCAATCATGACTAACTGGATAAATTTAGTTTTCAATCATGACTAATCAGATAAATTTAGTTTTCAATCACGACTAACCGGATACATTTAGTTTTCAATCATGACTAACTGGATAAATTTAGTTTCCAATCATGACTAACCGAATATATTTAGTTTTCAATCATGACGAACCGGATAAATTTAGTTTCCAATCATGACTAACCGGATAAATTTAGTTTTCAATCATGACTAACCGGATAAATTTAGTTTCCAATCATGACTAACCGGATAAATTTAAGTTTTCTTACACTTTTTCAAAAAATCAAAGCTACAAGGTAACCAAGTCAAACCAGTAATGTCACATAAACCCTCTCCTTCGGTCTAGTTCACAGTGATTAAGTTTGGAGATAATTCGACCTGGGACAGAACGTATATGTATATGTGCAATTCTCAATGTACATTATACATATAATTTTAAAATTTGACAATCATCAAAAATGCTTAAACCACACTTTTACATGTAAATATAACAAAATAAATCAAATTAAAGATTGCATAATTTGTATGCATTTTTTCGTTATATATGTAAATTCCCCTGGGCTCGTTTGAATTCTTTATGTTTATTTCTGCTTATACAACACAATCATATAACTTGGTTTTTTGTGATTCAGCAGTCTACTAACATTTCCTAACATAGACATAAACTACACATCAGAATTAAAATTGTAAAAGGACATGTATGTATATACTTTGCTTGTATGGGTGGGTGTTTGTCTGTTTCTATCCAATGAACGTCAAAACGTCTGAACTCATCGGGTCCAAATTTTGTGTGGAACCTCACATGACCCCATGAGGGAAGGTTTATGGATGATTCAAATTTAAAAAGTTTTTATTATATTTTGAAAAACCACGAAATATTTTTGTAAAATCCGCGAACTTTGTTTTATTGTTTTACAATGGATACAAACAGAAAATGTTCACAACTGAAATAGAAGATGGGCGAAGCACCCTGGAAGTCTAGTATAGGTACAAAAGAGTAAATATAATTTTGGTAAACGGTGGAGCATTAATGTTTCTGATATATACAAAAATATAGATCATTCAAAAAGGAATAATCTTCTTATAACATTTTATTAATAAACACAATGTTTCATGCTTTATGCAATCGTCAGTAAGAATGAATATATATATTTATATATATAAAACATTCATCAACATACATAATACACAAACACATCAGAATATAACTTATAAAAGTACATACATAAACAAATATATTCAAATGTTTCCAACAACAGTTTCCGTGGTGTAGCGGTTATCACATCTACAATTTTTGTAAACGGTGCAGAGCATTAATCCTTCTGATATATGTATATATATATACATGTTATATATTTATAAACTAGCTGGAGAGCACGGCGCTCCCCAAGTTTATATTATTACTCATAGTTACCCCCACCGTTTACCCGTGCTTGGTTTTTAAATCATAATTTTGAGCCTATGGATTTTCAAAAATGACCTAATTGTTTAGCCTATGTCACCCCAGGGTTACCAAAAAAATCTGCCCATTTGGTCCAGCCGTTTAGCCAGCTATAGTTAACATTATAGTGGACCAAATATGGTGTTTGATATTTCATCACTGATATATATATACAATATATATATCCTAGACAGTGATATATATTGTATAGATACAATAAAACTTCAAATCATGTTTGAATACTTATTTTCTTATATAATATATACATATATAGTGTTTTAAACCTGGCATATATTGAGTATCCCGGATGCAATCTCCAACATTGATCTCATCTCCTCTACAGTTGAACCTACCCAGGAGCTGACCAAACCCAGGACCTGGAGTAGGTCTAACCTCGTCCTTGTATTTAATTCCACCACTAAACCCTAAACTCCGACAAAATACCTGAAAACGAGTAGGATCATCATTCAGATGATGCTCTCACGATCTAGTACGCCCCCCCCTTCCAACAACTTTTTTGAAATCTGAAGTTCGACTTAGTATTTTTTCGGAATTAAAATATCCAAAAATAAAATTCTCAATTACTTTTCCTTGAATTTGAAATATTCACATTTTTTTTTGAAAAGAATGATTTCTAACGATAAGAAAACAAAACTTAAAATCATTCTTCTTAATTTCATTTTCCTTATCTTTCTTATCATTCCCAACTCTTCACTTCCAGGATATCCTTGTCATGGAAACATAAAGATTGTCATAAACGATTCTCAACGATGCCCTTACAACCTTTTATTAAGAAGCTCTGACTGAGATATCTTTGTTTTTCCTCTAAACGCAACATAAATCTCAATACTTAGTTTTATCTAGAGAAAGTACATGAATTTCTAAACCAAAGTTTAAAATATATCTTGAATTTGTTTTTATACAATATAAAAAAAATGAGAATAAACGACAATTTCTCTGCCTTCATTTCTCAAATAAATACATACTGTTGTGAATCGTTGATAGCTTTCCTTGACTAAAGGTTCGCTTTAAATTAAAATATACAAGGTCAGTTCTTTTGAATTTTTAAAGAGATTAACTTACCCGTGCTTCTTTATCTCCCCACTGAGAGTCACAGAGTCCTGAACTAGCAAAATATTTTGCAGAAACTATCGGTGGACCAATTCTCCTTGATTTTACGCTCCCAAGCAGTACACTAGTGCAGTACACATTAAAAACATAGGGGATGAATTGAGATTTTTACGCAAAAAAATCACAATATGTTACAAAGAAAAACTATTTAATGGCGGGGTGGAAATAATGGGAAATCATGTTTTGATAATATTCAAACTTTTATAAAATTGTACAATTCTATAATTTAGAACCTTGATTGTAACATTAGAAAATCAAGATTTTTTTTAATGTCGTTTAAATAAAGGGTTATTGATGATATTTCTGTGAGAAATTATAAAAAAAAACTCGGATCCATCGCATTAAGTCACCGAAGGAAAGTAATGTTATTGGAAGAAAGTCTTTCTCACAAAAACGCCAGAAAAAATGTCCCAAATCCACCAAAGTCTTCAAAAAAAAATAAACATTTTTTTACAAATAAAACAGTCTCTGAAAGAAATGTAAAAATGTTTGACTTTTTTTACTAAAATATACCTAAATATTTGGATACATCTTTTCTTTTAGATTTTTTCCAAATAATCTTTTAATTTGAACATTAATTGTAACCCCTTACCGTGATGTAGAAATTATAAATAAGGTTGTATGGATTATTTATAAGTGTGCCTGATATTGAGATTTTTAGAAACAGTTTTCAAATCTCCAGAGATTATTTTCAAGTTTTCATTTCCTTTTCTATCTCTCTCAGAGCCTAAAATATAGATTTATTAGCCTAGTACATAGTATATTAAATCTATTAGAGTATATTTTATAAATTATTATTCTAATACCTAGACCTTGGATCCTAGCACAATACAGGTTAATTGCAATTCATTAACTAGTTTAAATATACAAAGGAAGAAATCGATTAAAGTACTCAAGCAGTTCTTTAAACATTATAATAAAACATTTCAAGAAAATATTCAAATATTTGTTAATGAATTAATCCTGTTCCTTATACAGGTTCCATGTTCTCCCTCGTACACTTGGGAGGAAGAGCAGCAATCCATCTGCAGGAGAAAACCATATATTAGACATACAGGAGGATACAGGAGGATACAGGAGGATACAGGAAGATACGGGAGGATACGGGAGGATACAGGAGGAAACAGGAGATAGAAACATTGATTGCTTAAAAGTTTAATTTAAGTTTAATTTAAATTTGTTCAATATTTTTTTGGTTTCATCCTTTCCTTTATCCCATCCTTCAAACATTCTTTTACAATATCCGAGCAATCCGACCCTCCCAGCCCTGCTCCAACCCTTAGTATCCTAGAGAAGAGCTGTTGAACCGGCCAGGTTTCGTTTCTCCAGGGTAGGCTATTCGGTTGGGAAAACCCTGCGTTGGGAGCAGGATAACTGTCCCAAAGAAGTTTCATCGGAGGAAGGAGCTTCTCAACTTCATCTTTCTAGAATCCAAGATATTTACGCCAGTTTAGTAAAACCAAATATAGTCTTCATAGAAAACATAAAATCCGTGAAAAAAAGAAAAAAAACTCTGAGCGGAGAGTACAGAATTATGAACAGAAACAAGGGGGTTTTGGCCGAACAACTTCTTAAATTGCATGACCATAATCATATAATATAGGATGTTCAGAGTCCAAATTTAATGAATTTAAGCCGCGTCTAAAATCCCCCAGAAACCGGTTTCAATTGAGCTTCGGCTTAAATCTTGAAAAATTTAATACAAGTGGAACCAACCATATTTGAGCCCGGGCCGCGGCTAAAATTCTTTAAATTCGGCCTCAGATTTCTTTCATTTCTTTCATTTCTCACACGACTTTGAAAACGGGTTTTAATTTAAGAGACCATCAGCGTTATTTCAATTAACCCTCCATCCAATGATAGCAATGCCCGATTTACGGTACACTTGAAAACATAATCTGATCATAAACGTCGTTTTATTTACTCGAAAAGTTTTGAATTCTAATAATTTCTCCATTTTTTCTTATAAGCATGAAATGCAAAAGTCACTTGTAGAGAAAAACCACAAATGAAAATAAACAATTAAAATAAACAAAAACATGGATATCTATCATACTTAAACTGACAAAGCTTTACATGGAACTGTTTTAAATCGGGCCTTGCCATCTTTACATGGACCGGGTCACTTGAAATTACGCTTACAGTCTCTTTAAGCTATGTTGAAGCAAATCAAAATGGAAGTTAAATTCATTCCTTGATTAAATAAATGAAAAATATATAAGTTCCAGTTTGCGGTGAGTCAAGTTTTTGTATCAAGACTCAAATATGCTTGTTAGTAATTTTGTTTTAACGATGTTTACAATGTTATTCTATACTTTTATATATAATTAGATCATCAAGCTATATAGTATCTTAGTATCTACAGTTTTAAGAACTTTATAATTGGTTGAGCTTCACGAATCTTTGTTTAAAAGTTAAAACTTGTGATTCAGCTGACCTCTAATTTGGTTCCAAGTTTAGATTTTTCCTACTCTACATTGTATGTGATGTACAGGGTTACCCACAAAGGATGAGACTTCGGAGACGATCGACGGAATTTTATACTGTCTGTTTCCTGACATACAGACATGGTTCCCAACGGCTGTAAACTTGTTTCTTTCTCTGGAAGATCATGAAATAAGAAATTGAAAGAATGTATTTGAGACTTTATTCAACCTTCGGATCGTTGTATTTTAGGCGTTCAAGTCGTCTTTACAGTCTCATCTTTTTATATAGCTTATATATGTTTTGAACATTCAAATTCTCTTTATTTGACGATTTTTTAATCATCCAAACCGTGACTTATAGTTCATTCAGACGATGCCTGCCCCACATAATTTCGGGATTGTTTATTGCACTAAATTGCGATTTTCAAGACTAATCAGAAAATTCAGAGAGATTAAATTAATTAGAAAAATTGTATACGCCTACTATAAAAATTTGCATTTAGAAAACACTAGGTTTTTCGAGAATTATGTACGTCTTTCAGCTTTAAACCTAGGAGATAATCCAATCTGATATAGGAAGCTCTGTAGCTAAATGTAAGTCTTTAAAAATACTGCAGATGCATTGTATATATCTTTATTAAAGAACTGCAAGGCCCAACATATTCTGAAGATTTATATTCATCTTCAAAACGATGAATATTTAATCGAACTTGCGAAAAATCTGAAATTAAATTATGCATAAAGTGCATTCAGTTTCTGAGGAACCAGTAAGTTAAAGTAAATATTCTGAATATAAATATTTTCGCCTACAATGGTCGCTGTCAAGGGGCTTATAATAATAAGCTAATAGAACTATAAACGGGACGTTCCACGATTTCGTCTTTGAGTTTTGATAGCTACAAAATGAAAAATTGTGTACCAAAACATTTGCTTGACTTGAAATTTAAATTTTGTGATGTACCACTGAAAACTTCTTAGTCTTGAAACCCTTTTAAAAATCAAAGACGATTTTTTAGGCTTTTTCAGAATTAAAATCGGGTTTATCGCTACAAACTTTACTTCTGTTTGGGAGAAAATGGATAAAAACGCTTTATACCCAAAAGAGAGTAGAACCCGTTTAATTATACGGAGTAGCATTATTCCACCAAAGTCAATTTTATTCAATCAGTCAGACAGATATTACACGTTTTTTGGCCGCTAGGTGTCTCTCCCAAGTAATATTCCTGAAAAATTGAGAGCTAAGGAAGGTAAAGCTTCATTTACAGTTAAAATATCGAAGAAAAAACTTTAAGTTCGATCTTTAGAATAAAGTATTGCATATAAACAATTCTCATTCAAATTCATTTCTAAAAGATAGTTTTTCTTTAACTATCTTGATTTTCTCCGAATTAGAATACATACAAATACGCTTTATTATTCTTTAATTATTCTCCTAATTTTATTTTGTTTAATTAGTTTTATATCTCTTGGTTCCCTTGCTAATAGTGAATACAGGACAGAGAATTAGATCAGGAAACCGGGGGATATAATCCTCGGAGATATCCAGGACCACATTATCCGTCCTGAACAAAAATATAATGCTCGGAGATATCCAGGACCAAATTATCCGTCCTAAACAATAATATAATCCTCGGAGATATCCAGGACCACATTATCCGTCCTGAACAATAATATAATCCTCGGAGACATCCAGGACTACATTATCCGTCCTGAACAATAATATAATCCTCGGAGATATCCAGGAACAAATTATCCGTCCTGAACAATATTATAATATCCTCGGAGATATCTTAACCGTCCTTAACAATATTACATATAATCCTCGAGGATATCCAGGACCATATTATCCGCCCTAAACAATAATTTAGTCCTCGGGGATATCCAGGACCACATTAGCCATCCTGAACAATAATATAATCCTCGGGGATATCCAGAACCACATTATCCATTCTGAATAATAATATAATCCTCAGAGGTATCGAGGATAATCAGTCCTGAACAAAAATAAGATACACTAAGAGATATCACTATCCAGTCTCAACGAATTTTAATAAAAGCTATTTTAGATTTGAAATTGGGCATCAACGAAAATGAAAATGAATCTTTGTTAGTGCAAGGGTTTTCTATGAAGGGACTTGTGGATCTCTGGTTTATTGACGAGACGAAAAAGAAATAATAAATGTTCTTAACATCAGAAGAAGAAAAAAGATCAGATAAAGATTTAAAGGTAAATGGTTGATGACACTTTAAATATTTTTAGATATAAGAAATAATTAAACCAAAACAGTAAACAACAAAAAAATACAAATATCTCTGTAAACTCGAAAGGGGTCTTATAGTCTAATTCTAAATATAATATAGAGCTAATGATTTATAAATCCAAACCTGAACTCTGTAGTACCAAGAACCATGAGAACAATAGCAGCAGCTAAACCTGCCAGACACAGGAGGAACCATATTATCCTCTCCGATAAATGCTTCTTGCAGTACACAAGATACCTGGAGTACATACAGTACATAACTATATCCTTACAGTACATATAAATATGTTCTTGAAGTACACCAGATACCTGGAGTACATACATTACATATATATATATATATCCCTGCAGTATACCAGTTACCTGGAGTACATACAGCACATCTATATATATATATCCCTGCAGTACACCAGTTACCTGGAGTTCATACAGTACATCTATATATATATATATCCTTCCAGTACACCAGATACCTGGAGTACATACACATGAGGTGCTAATGTAATTACCTTATGTACTCAATATAAAACATGTCATGCATACTCTATACTTACTTGAAACCATGCCAGGACGAATGAATGCAGTAGGACGAAAATGTTCTCCAGTACCAGGATTCATCCTTCTCATTCTTCTCTCGTCCTGTCAGGACTATGTACTCAACCTCCTGATACAGTAAAGTACGTATTCTACTGATACAGTGCAGTACCTATTCTACTGATACAGTACAGTTTATAGTCTCCTGATACGGTACAGTATATATTCTACTGATACAGTACAGTATATACTCTACTGATACAGTACAGTATATAGTATCCTGATACATTGCAGTAAATATTCTACTGATACAATACAGTATACATTCTACTGATACAGTACAGTATAAAGTCTCCCGATACAGTTACGTATATTCTACTGATACAGTACAGTATATACTCTACTGATACAGTACAGTATATAGTATCCTGATACATTACAGTAAATATTCTACTGATACAATACAGTATACATTCTACTGATACAGTACAGTATATAGTCTCCTGATACAATACAGTATATTCTACTGATACAGTACAGTATAGTCTCCTGATACGGTACAGTATATATTCTATTGATACAGTACAGTATATAGTCTCCCGATACAGTACAGTATATTCTACTGATACAGTACAGTATATAGTCTCCTGATACAGTACAGTATATAGTATCCTGATACAGTACAGTATATAGTCTCCTGATAAGTATATAGTATCCTGATACAGTACAGTATATAGTATCCTGATACAGTACAGTATATAGTATCCTGATACAGTACAGTATATAGTATCCTGATACAGTACAGTATATAGTATCCTGATACAGCACAGTACAGTATATAGTATCCTGATACAGTACAGTACAGTATATAGTATCCTGATACAGTACAGTATATAGTCTCCTGATACAGTGCAGTATATAGTATCCTGATACATTACAGTATATATTCTACTGATACAGTACAGTATATAGTATCCTGATACAGTACAGTATATAGTATCTTATTACAGTACATTATATAGTATCCTGATACAGTACAGTATATAGTATCTTGATACAGTACAGTATATAGTCTCCTGACACAGTACAGTACAGTATATAGTATCCTGATACAGTACAGTATATAGTATCCTGATGCAGTACAGTATATAGTATCCTGATACAGTACGGTATATAGTCTCCTGATACAGTACAGTACAGTACATAGTATCCTGATACAGTACAGTACAGTGAGGTCCATAAAACTGTTGATTTAGGAAAACGACTGATAACTAGTAGTAAAAATTGTAAATAGTCCAATAAACAAGAAACACAGCAATTTTGCAGGATTCACAGACTCAATTCGCTTTGAAAGATGATTTTCAAGCTGCCGGTAAAATTATTTGCTTAAAGACAAAATCAAATAAGCAAAAAACACTTCTTACCAAATACATATTTACATATTCTTATAATAAAGAACCGTACAGAAAACGTAAATATCATACCTTCTTTTTATTAATTTGTTGAAGAAACCTAAGCTGAGTATCTCCTGTATCTCCAGGTATACCCCAGAGATGATCAAACACAAACCTTCTCCGACTACTAGTACTGGGACTAAGGTCACCATCTATTACACTGATGGAACCCATCTCGTCAAGGGAACTTCTTCTAGCAGATAAACTCCTAGGCTCCCCAAGATTCTTCTCTTGACGGTCAGCTGACAAGGGTCTAGGCTGATCTAGTTCAGTTCTCCGACTCATTGCAGACATAGTTCTCGACTCTCTAGGCCTACCTCTGGGACTGGAGCCCGTTTTGTTCTCCAGGACAAACTCTTCATCATAATCTTCTTCCTCTACCATCTGCAGATAGAACAAGGTTACAAATAGACCTCCCCCACCTTAGTTCTTCACACATTGCTTTAGATATACCTCCCCCGCCTTAGTTCTTCACACATTGCTTTAAATATTAGGATTATATAGGATAGATGCAAAAATTGGACAGAATAGATGAGTAGAATAGAATATTGGACAGAATAGATGAGTAGAATAGAATATTGGACAGAAAAGATGAGTAGAATAGAATATTGGACAGAATAGATGAGTAGAATATTGGACAGAATAGATGAGTAGAATAGAATATTGGACAGAATAGATGAGTAGAATAGAATATTGGACAGAATAGATAAGTAGAATAGAATATTGGACAGAATAGATGAGTAAAATAGAATATTGGACAGAATAGATGAGTAGAATAGAATATTGGACAGAATAGATGAGTAGAATAGAATATTGGACAGACAGATTTCTGGAAAATCTATAAGAATATCTGCAATAGACTGAATTAAATAGGATTTCGATGTAAAAATATTTTTCCAGGTAAAAATATTTGTTTTTGAAAATATGTTCAATTCGAGTTTCGATCCCCTTCAATAAGCTTTTAACCTTTATTTTTCTAGTATTAAAAAAAAAACTAAAATAAACAATATTGCGATTGATATTTTTGAATTTATCGAACATTTCTACCTTTCACTGTAGGGTCACGTAAAAATTACGACATCAATCTCATTATTTATGTCATTATCTAATCATATAAAGATTATTCATGTACGCCACACTCTTTTGCGTCAACCATTGTGTGCACCCTTATTGATATCACTGTACAGAATGTCCCAATAAACATGGGAATTCAGTGACGACTTATATATCGTCTTCGATCCATGCGCCTCGTTTTTTCACTTTCTTTGGCATGCATTGAATAAACGACTTTAACACCCTGTATATGCAAATTGTGCATTTTTTCTATATTATTGAACAATTTTTGTCTTCTTTGAAACCTTGGAATTTATTCAAAAAGATTATTTTGTTTAAATCATCTCTAATAATGTGTCCATTGTTAAAGAAAGAAAATAGAAAAATAAAATACGTTTTTCGAAATGTGTAATCTATAATAATAATAAAATATTATATTTATTCTCAATACTTGACTTGTTTATTCATGGTTAGAAACAAAAAACTTGTTTTTTCTAACATGTCTAGTCATTGAGGAATGAATAAACAGACTCAGCAGGACAAATATTATTCTGTTTTTTTTTAACAATGACAGATGGTCGAGTTGTACTAAAGAGTATCCGGACGCACACTAATATTGCACCGATTTTTAAGACTACATTTTTGCCATTGATTTCAACCCCCCACTGACTAATTTTTACTTTTTTGTGTTCTAGCCACAAACTCTAATGCCCATATCTTTGCAACCTAATGGTGTAAATATCAGACTTCAAACTTAGACTATATAGTATATAGTCTTACAGAGTTCATAGTTTGAAATATCAAAGGTCTTCGACATTGGGTTGGAAAGACGCAGTTTCTTTGTCTCAAGGGGGAATTTCTCATGTTATCCCTGGTTGAGCAGGGTGAGCGGAGATTAACGGAGAGATATGTAAACCTTCAAACTGGAGTTTAAACCAGGATATCTGATGGATACAGTGATAACCAGAAAATTCTGAAATAGTAAGACAACTTTAAAAATAAAGTTATAATGTTAAAAAGTCAATAAGCATGAAATACAGCAATTGTACATTGTAAACAGACCCATTTCACTAAGTTAGTGATTTGATAAGTGTCTAGTAAAACTGCTTGCTTTGTAACAACATGAAATACATTTAAGTATTGCTATAAAGTCGTCTTCATATTCCATTGTTTTCTGGTTCTCACTACAAACCAGTAAACTCGGGTTTTAACCAGGAATCATCTCCTAAAGTTCCGGTCCAGAGGGTCGGGTGTTAGAACTGCAAACTTTTAATGAAAATATTATCAACATGAATTATTAATCCATTGAATGCATTGAACAAGTCCAAATCCACTGTTTGAATAGAAAGTAAAACTTTTCAAATATTTTCAACTCTTTTCAACAATTTCGTTATTTCAATGTCAATGCACAGTATTTTTGACACAATGCAAATTTTCAACATTCTCTCTGTAAATTGAATTGTAAGTAAAAAGATCTCTCCTGGAATGTAAAACAACTCGGATTTAAAAAAGAAATTCATAAATTTTTAATCTTTGAAAAAATGGATAAATGTAGTTACAGTGGTAGGCGATTAAATCAATAAAATGGAGACAACTTTCGATTTGAATTTTGAGTTATATCAAGCTGTTAAAGCATAAATACAAATAAACATAGAAGTCAATAAAAGGTGTCAATTAAAAAGATTCTCTTTAATTACTTTGTAAACTTGGAATTCGAAAAACCTTGTTAACAATTAAAACTAAAATAAAAAAGTCGTCTTCATTGTATTGATATATTTGCCTACCGCTGTATGGAGAAGTCTAGACAGTCCATGAATATAGTTTGAAGACAAGAAGCAGTTCATGAATATATGTAGTTTTAAAGGCTATAGACGCTCTCTAAATATAGTTTGAAGGCTATGGATACTGGACAGTCCATGAAAATAGTTCTGAAGACTAGAGACAGTTCATGAATATAGTTTGAAGACTAGAGACAGTCCATGAATATAGTTTGAAGACTAGAGACAGTCCATGAATATAGTTTGAAGACTAGAGACAGTCCATGAATATAGTTTGAAGGCTAGAGACAGTCCATAAATATAGTTTGAAGGCTAGAGACAGTCCATGAATATAGTTTGAAGATTAGAAACAGTCCATGAATATAGTTTGAAGGCTAGAGACAGTCCATGAATATAGTTTGAAGACTAGAGACAGTCCATGAATATAGTTTGAAGACTAGAGACAGTCCATGAATATAGTTTGAAGGCTAGAGACAGTCCATGAATATAGTTTAAAGGCTAGAGACAGTCCATGAATATAGTTTGAAGGCTAGAGACAGTCCATGAATATAGTTTGAAGGCTAGAGACAGTCCATGAATATAGTTTGAAGGCTAGAGACAGTCCATGAATATAGTTTAAGGGCTAGAGACAGTCCATAAAAATTGTTTGAAACACTTCAGACAGTCCATAAATATACTTTTGCCAGCTGAGTCTCTGTTCTTAATGGCAAACAAATATTTGAAGCAAACATGGACTAGTGTTTTTTTTAATAAAAATATTGTTAAAAATTGATTTACAAAAAAAACTGGAAAATACCGGGTAAAGAATTTATTGACTAGCAACATTATAATTATACTTGTTACGTTATAAGGCCAGCAGGGGGGCTCTGCATGGATCACATTCATAAATCATCAATACTTTTACCCATTAGCTGAATAAATTCATCATAGTAATAGTTTTAGTTTATTTCAATATTACTTTTTTTCTTCGAACATTTAGTTTAGTTTTGGAACCTTTTAATACTTTATCTAGAACCGATGAAAACGGATCAAAACTGTAAAAATTGGAGTTTGTTAGAATTAAACCCCTGGGTTGAAAGTTTGTGTAATCTTAATAAATTGTAAATGTAATTTATCATACTTTAAACTTAATCAGGCGATGATCCGGTCAACTTGATTTATTCTCAATATTTCTCTTATGACACATTAAATCATGTGGTGCTTGATCTGGACTTTATACACACAGTAATATAATTCCAGGGTGTCCCAGGAGTAATATAAGTCAAGGGTGTCCCAGGAGTAATATAATTCCGTAGTGTCCCAGTGAAACCAAACTTGAAGGTTAGACATGACATAGTGTTTCAAACTTTGAATAGAGGTGAGAAAAGAAATTCTTTCTCTTATTCAAATTTCTAGTTTTAAAAAATACTTTGATTTTGATTAAAAAAATATGGAATTCATATATATTTTTACTTTGTTTGGAAAACTACGTTTGACATAAGAACATACGAAAACCTTGTTTAAAAATATTTTTCCCACAAACTTATATTTTCTAATATATATCTTAAGAACCTAATTGAATAGACCTTAGATATTTCAAGATATGAACTTTGTTGGATCAAATAATCTAAGTTTGAAAAAGCAGAGGTTTATACCATCAGGTTACAAGGATATAGGGATGAGAAAATTTGAGGTTGTGGCAAAAAATGACTTCCTTAAAAAACTAAACGGAAAATACGAAGAATTCAAAAAACGGAAAACATATTCAAAATTAAGTAAAATATGTTAAAAATACGAAAAATATGTCTTATATACGGAGAATATGTCCAAAGGAATTTAGTCTTTGGAACAAAATCAAATATTTAAACCACAATATCTTTAGAACTCGATGTTGTAAACCTTTGATATTTCAAACTCAGATTACTTGATCTAACATAATTCATTGTATGAAATATCTAAGGTCTACAACATTTGTTTCCAAAGATATAGTGGTTAGAAAATCAGAATTTTTTGCAAAGACTCAATTCCTTTCAGAAGAATATGTGCAAAATACGGAGAAGAAGTTCAAAATACGAAGAATAAGTTCAAAATACGAAGAATATGTTCAAAATACGAAGAATATGTTCAAAATCCGGAGAATATGTTCAAAATGCGGAGAATATATTCAAAATATGGAGAATATGCTCAAAATACGGAGAATATGTTCAAAATACGGATAATATGTTCAAAATACGGAGAATATGTTCAAAAATACGGAGAATATGTTCAAAATACGGAGAATATTTTCAAAATACGAAGTATATGTTCAAAATACGAAGAATAAGTTCAAAATACGAAGGATATCTTCAAAATACGGAGAGTATGTTCATAATACGGAGAATATGTTCATAATACGGAGAGTATGTTCAAAATATGGAAAATACGTTATATTCAAAATACGTGGAATATGTTTAAACTACGAAAAAATTGTTCAAATACTGACAATGTGTTCAAAATATAGAGAACCAAACAAAATATAAACAATCCTGTGGTTCTAACGACTCATGCACCCGGCCGACCAAAATATAAGCAAATCAGTCAAGGGGTTCATAACTTATGAACAAACTTACAAACATACAGAGATTCGTATTTTATGTATAATAAAGATTTATTATTTCAGTTTTTATTTAATTCATCAAAGAATACATATATAAGAATAAAGGAATTGAGTCTTTGCCATAAAACTCTGAATTTATAATCTCTATATCTTTGGAACCCAATGTCGTAAATCTTTGATATTTCAAACTTATATTATTTGATCTAACAGAATTCATAGTTTGAAATATCTAAGGTCTACAACATTTGAATCCAAAGATATAAGGTTTAGAAAAGCAGAGTTTGTAGCAAAGACTCAATTCCTTTAGATTTATGAGAATATTTTTACACATATGTTAAGTTTTCATGTTCATAATTTTCCTAAAATCCATGAAGCTGAAAAAAGGTTAAGAAAACACTTTAAATGAATGAATGAATATGAAGCTAAATTAAAAGTTTGATCAAAGAAAGAATTTTTAAGCGTTTCAACTTTGAAACTGTTAAAAGGGGAAAAAATATATTTTTTAAATATTTAAAAATTTCTACTGAAATTGTAATAAAAGCTTCTTCAGATATTCTTCAGAACTATTCTCTTAATAGCTTGGGAACCCAGCCTTGGCTGGAACCGAAGTTTGTCCTGTAAATTTCAATTTATTCAGATTATAATTTCTAAATCAGTTACCGAGATTCCAAAAAAAATTGAGGAAATTCGGTCCAGTGGTTCATGAATTATGATCAATGGTACAAACAATCAAACAGAGATTACCCTTATATTTAGATACTCAAGATTTAAATAATCTTTTCTTGTTTTCATGTATATAGCATATATACATTTTAGAATTGCATGATATTTGGTACGAGATTATGGCTTGATTTGGAGATATTATTTGGTTTGGTACTAGATTATATTGGTTAGTTTAGAGATATTATTGGGTTTTGTAACAGATTATTGGTTGATTTGGAGATATTATTTGGGTTTGTACTCGATTATTAGTTAGTTTAGAGATATTATTGGGGTTTGTAACAGATTCTTGGCTGGTTAAAAGATATTATTTGGTTTGGTACCAGATTTTTGGCTGGTTAAAAGATATTATTTGGTTTGGTACCAGATTCTTGGCTGGTTAAAAGATATTATTTGGTTTGGTACCAGATAAAGACTTCCTTCAACAACTTTCATTCAGTTTAATTCAAATCAGAGAATTTCTTCTTAACTTTCTTCCGTGAAACCTTTCTAAAGGAATTGAGTCTTTGGAACAAAATCAAATATTTAAACCTCAATATCTTTAGAACTCGATGTTGTTATCTTTTGATATTTCAAAATCAAATTATTTGATCTAACAGAATTCATAGTTTGAAATATCTAAGGTCTGCAACATTTGGTTCCAAAGAGATAGTGATTAGAAAATCAGAGTTTGTGGCAAAGACTCAATTCCTTTAATTCAAAATACTAGAAAATATGACGCTTCTGATCCTTACCTTTCTTGTGAAAGTTCAAATTCTTCAGGTTTTTATAAATATACTCATCATCGGAATTTAAACGTGTTTATTTATTGATAGTTAAATAAACTTAAAACTTTTTGCAGACTATCTGATAAAGAACGTTTGATCTTTTTGTATAAACCTGTAATGATAACTTTTCTTTTTTTGATATTATACTAAAGTGAATATTTGCGATTTCTGAATGAGATTGTAGGACAAATGTTCGAAATAGTTTATTAATGTTTGAATGGGGATCGAATTTCTTTATAAAACTTTCTTATCTATCTATCTCATCTACGGCCGGATAAAAATAGGGTAAAAGGTCGACTGTAAAGGGACTATAAAGGGACTGTAAAGGGACTGTAAGCGTGAATGAAAGATGGCAATAACTGATTTACAATGGTACCCTTGAAACCTTGATTTTATACAAATGTGAAAGATGGCGTAATTTCTGACTCGAAATAAAGAGTTTCTTATTAGGAAGAAATGCGCAAGTCCCTCTTGCAGAGAAATCACAAATGAAAATAATCAGAGCTGGGAACTTTTGAAAACAAAATCATGGATATCTAATTAATACTTGGTTAGACATAGCGTTTAAGGCTATTGTCCTCTTATACACCTGTATGGTTAATTCACGACTCCTGAAAGGGACTGCTAAGGTAAAATAAAAGGGGGTACAGGCTCCTGACGCCTAAAAATGATATGTACCCCCTTTCAGTTTCCCTTAACAGTCCCTTTAAAAGCATTTACTTGTTTTAGACAAATTTATCGCCCATAACAACACTCGTCACTTTCCACGGCACTTTCTCTACCTTTTAAAACTAGTGAACACTCCCTTTACTCTCTAAGCTGTCAGCTTATACTTCAAATAGGTTGATATCAAAAAACTCTGTCTGAAATGATTTTGTAGAATGAAGTCGGAAGCAAAGATTCTAAAATGAACTTTTTTATCTTCTTCCTTTAGACCTTTGCTGCCAATTTGTGACACCAGAAAATACGAAATTATTTCCTCTGATTGAATTTATCTTATGTTTCGTGATATTTACAAAAAGTCGTCTTTTTCCGTTACACAAAGTGGACCTTATGGGTCGATTCGTAGCAAATTGCATAAAAAAATATATTCAAAAAGTTTTTTTTTATAAGGTTGGACCTGTGATGAAAATGGTAAAATTAAATTTCTATTTTCGTGACATATTTGTTTTTATCTATCCTCGTAATTTTTCTTCCTTGACTAGGAAGTGACGATGTCAGCAAATTCTAAAACACGCAGATGATCTAACTATCCTCAAACATAGTTCAGTCCTCAACCCACCCGGAGACTACTTACTGCCTTGATTCGTTCTCAGTTCTAGAGATTCTATTCTTTGGTTTCTTTCTTAGATAGAGATACAAGGACGTGGTTTGGTTCAGATATTAAGATTAGAAAGGAATTTGAGGATGGAAGAGAAAGAGTCTTCCTTTGATGATGAGTATGAGTACTATACGGATACTGAGAACGAGGCTGATGGTGAGGATGAAGAGGAGGATGATAAGGATACTGTCAAGGATATTCCTGTCAGGAAGGACAGTGCCTGGAGAAAGAAGTTTGAACTTGAACTTGAATCCGACTCCGGGCGAGACTCTGCTAAAGAGATAGAAAGAGAACCAATTATTAAACCTAAAGATAATAATCGAACTCAGCTCCACCACGCAGTTCTCTGCGATGATGTGTTTAAACTCAATAAACTGCTGGACGAAGGATTAGATCCGAACCAACAGGACAGTGATGGGCTTACTCCGCTACATCTAGCATGTCAGGATGAGCGGCAAACCCTTGTGATGATTCTACTAGCTAGAGGAGCGGACGGATCGATTATTGATACTTGTCGGAGATCTCCTCTTCATTACGCTGTACAGAACGGTTTCACCAGGATTGTTCAGAGTTTGCTTGATTATGAAACCTATATGGAGGGAAAGGATAGGTTTGGTCAAACAGTTCTTCATATTGCAGCTCTAAGGGAACTCTCCCAAACTATGAACCTGCTGATTTGCCGAGCAAAGAAGCAGGGAACGGACGAGGATGTTTTAAGATTTATAGATACTCAAAACAGAGATAAGCAGACCGCACTACATCTTGCTGCAGAGCGAAGTTTTTGTGATTGTGTCAAGATTCTTCTCCGATATAAGTGTCAAGTAAACCTAACTGATCAGGAGGGGAAAACAGGATTACATCTCTGCTGTGGATCCTCTCAAGATGTTGCAACTGAGATCCAAACTACTATTGTTGTATCAAACCTGATATCACACGGAGGAAAGGTTTCAATTAAAGACGAGGACGGATTAACTCCACTATTACACACGGCTATATCAGGACGGATTGATTCCGCCAAAATCCTACTTGAGGAAGGAGCAGATATCAACAGTAAGGATTCTAAAGGTTTAACTGCTCTCCACCATGCTGCTAGAAACCATCAATCCAACTATATAAAAATGCTTGTGAAGGCAGGCCTATCTGTAGATGTTAAGGATAAAAAGCAACTGACAGCTCTTCATCACGCAATACTATGTAACTCTCTAGATGCTGTGAAAACTCTATGTCTATGTGGAGCGGATATATATATGGAGGATACAGAGGGTCGGAAGTATACTGAATACGCTAACATGTATGACTCTCAGGCTATATTACTCTGGCTGGCTAAGAAGTATCCAACCCTGTATATAAATGAAGAGTCTAAGGAGACGATTATTCACTACCTGGCTTCTCAAGGTTTACCTGACGTAATAAGAATCCTACTCCAGACAGGACACTACAAGGTTGATGTTAGAGATGAGGATGATAAGACACCTTTACACTATGCTGCAATAAACTGTAGAGAGGATGTATTCGAGTTCCTCGTCAACTTCGGAGCTGATATTGATGCCAGGGACGGGGTAGGAGCAACCCCTCTACACTTTGCTGTTAGATGGGGAAGTGAGGCTATTGTAAAGTATATCCTGAGAAAGAAAGGTTCGGATGCAGTGAATATCCTTGACTCTGGAGATAGGTTGGGACGAACTCCTCTCCACTATGCAGCAAGTCAGAAGACCGGTCTCTCCTATATCACAAATCTACTAAAAGCCGGAGCTAATAAGGATTACAGGGATCACAGTGGGATGACCCCCCTCCACCTTGCCTGCAGGTTTGGAAATATTAGTCTGGTTCGATTGCTTCTGGACGAAGGTGCGGATAAGGGTGTAAAGGACGGACAGGGGATGAGTCCTGCAGATCATGCCAAGGAAAAGGACTGTTTAACTATCCTAGGAATGATTGAAAAATCAGGGAAAAGAAAAGAATGCTCCAACAGGATAAATTGTTAAAAATATTGAAGTATTTATGTTAAATAGTGTAAATAAAATTTCTTTTATTAAATTTATAGATATCAATAGTTTAAAGTGTTCATATCAAAGTTGTATTAAAAGGTTGCTTACTCTCGATGCGCTCCAATGTACGAGAAATGTCGTTTCTTAAATATAGATATAAAATCCTTATATGACGTCACTGATTGAGTGCATCGAAAGAAAGCAACCTTATTATACAACCTTGGTTCATATTACACTAAGATTTTTTAAAGCATATAAGCATGCCAACCTACTCCGTTTAGAAAAAAGATTTCTGTTTAAAAAAATATATTTTTAGATTTCTTGCTTCCATCAGAAATATTTTATCAGTTCTAAATGAAGAAAGGAATTTTAAGTCGTCTTCCTAGTTGAGCTTTCTCTGGGAATCAAGGTTATAATACAAGGAAAGTTATTTCAGAGGTGTACGCATCTTTTGTACTGCAGTATACGGTAATGTAAACACAAGACAGATGTCAAATTCTGACGTACATGAGATCCGTCTTTCACACAAAAAATCAATGAAAATGAAATCATAGAAAACTATTATGTGAATTATCAAAATTTAATGCTTTTAACCATCTCGGATACTAAACGAACACTGATGCATCTATACTTGTTTACAAATTCCGCCCAGAGAGAACTGGTTTCAATAGGTACGCAGAGTAAACTCAACTGCAATTAACTTTCCTTGCATTATGACCTTGCTGTGAATAGTCGACACTCTAATAAATATGAATGTAGATATATATTAGACTGTTGGCATAGTCAACTTACCTTTAGCGGTTAAAAAAGTTCATGTTTATCTTATGTCTTACCCAACCTTAATTAAAAATATTTTTTTAAAAGTTCTTTTCCGAATATTCTCAATCCTATCCGAATATTCTCAATCCTATCTGAATATTCTCAATCCTATCTGAATATTCTCAATCCTATCCGAATATTCTCAATCCTATCCGAATATTCTCAATCCTATCCGAATATTCTCAATCATATCCAAATATTTTCAACCCTATCCGAATATTTTCAACCCTATCCGAATATTCTCAATCATACGCGAAAACTCTCAATCATATCCGAATAGTCTCAATCCTATTCGAATATTTTCAACCCTATCCGAATATTCTCAATCCTATCCAAATATTCTCAATCATATCCAAATATTTTCAACCCTATCCGAATATTTTCAACCCTATCCGAATATTCTCAATCATACGCGAAAACTCTCAATCATATCCGAATATTCTCAATCCTATCCGAATATTTTCAACCCTATCCGAACATTTTCAACCCTATCCGAATATTTTCAACCCTATCCAAATATTCTCAAACCTACGCGAAAACTCTCAATCATATCCGAATATTCTCAATCCTATCCGAATATTCTAAATCATATCCGAATATTCTCAATCCTATCCGAATTTTCTATATCATATCCGAATATTCTCAATCATATCCGAATATTTTCAATCCTATCCGAATATTCTCAATCATATCCGAATATTCTCAATCCTATCCGAATATTCTCAATCATATCCGAATATTCTCAATCCTATCCGAATATTCTCAATCATTTTGCAATAGTTTCAATCAAATATGTTTAATGATATTAGAATATTCTCTATTTTATTTCAGTTGTTAATTAGTTCTTAATTTACTAATGAACATAAAAAATTATTCTCAATCTTATTCGATCTAATCCTAACTTCCTCTAAACCATCCTGACTTTTTCGTTCGTCTCCTCATTTTCTCTAAATCATAACAGTTTTATCCTTCTTTTCTCCTTTCTGTCCTATTTTTCTCCAGGTCTTCATAATTTTCTCTTTTTTTCCCCAACTTGTCTCTTTATCTCTAACCTTCAATTTCTCATTCTCATCTTTTATACTTTTCATCCTTTTTCTCTTTCTCCTAATTTCATTTTATAACGTAATCCAATTAATTTTGATTTATACGATTTTATTCTGAAAGTTGTCTTGTCATTCTCGACTCTTTTCGAGATCTCATTTCAATATTTCAATAATAACTCCACATATCTTTTTTCTTCGTTGTTTTAACAATTATCATAACAAATCTCGTCATTCTTCTTCCTTATATTATGAAACATGTAAATGTTAAAAAATACTTTTAAAAAATTTACTTTTGTTAATTTTACGTTGAAAATAAAAAGTATTTTTTCTTGAGTGATCAAACCTTTAAAAAAAATCCCCCTTTTTTCTTATTTTGAATCTTCCCCTAACTCTTTGATGTTTTCTCTCCCACTGCAAGAGCTGCAAAGTAAATGATAATTATATTAGCACCAAAGAACAAACTTTATTTATAGATAAAACCAGGTAAAGGTTCCCTCTCTCAGATCTTTATCAAGGTTCAGATACAAAACTCTTCAGAAGTTTTCCGAGACAGGGTTCAGAGAACCGGAGATAAGGAACCAAACCTTTGAGGTTCCACTTCCCATTCATTGGTTTCATCAAATCATCATTTAAAAAAATTTGGAATCTTTAAAGTCATTTGACTTTCGGTTAACGGATTCTCTATGTACTGTACAGTATGCTTTACAGTACACTCTGCAGTATACTGTACACTGCACTATACACTGCAGCAGACAATACAATGTACAGTTTACACTGCATGGAGAACTATACAGTGTACAGTTTACTTTGCAGTGTGTAGTCTTCTGTACAGTGTAAATTCAGCTGTTCAGCGCACAGTGAGCTGCAAAGTGGACAAACTACTACACAGAATTCATAATAAACTGTACACTGACTTGAAAATGTAAAGTGGGTTATAAAGCAAAGTGATCTGTACAATCAACTTTCTGAGCGGTGAAAATGAGCTGTACATTGTCGTGAATTTGATGTTTTTTGCCCACTTTGCCGTACAGTGAAAAGCATACAGATATCTGTACAGTGTAAAATGAATTATACAAATACAGAGATTCTTACAGTGTACAGTGAATTGACATACAGATATCCGTACAGTCTACAGGGAATTGTACACATACAGAGATCCGTACAGTGTACAGTGAATTGTACACATACTTTAAATCAATAAATATTAGAATTCAATGATTGAGAAGGGTTCCAACAGATATTTTAAATAAATCATTATAATATAATTTGACTAGAATAAAATCTTGAAACAAAACATAAAAATAAATATTTTACTATATAAAAGATCCTTTATTTAAAAGGCTTTTTTTTGCATCATTAAACATTTGTTAAAAAATATATCAGTGTCAGCAACCAATTATTCAAACTGTCGTAGAATTTATTAAAAACAACATTTCGTATATTTTGTAATTTCTTCTATCCTGTTGCAAGTATAAAAGAACGCCTGAGCGGTTTATTGTGCACATTTTTCAAGACCAAAGCTGCGATGTGTTTATTCGCTATTATTGATTTTTTTATTAATATATACAGCTTGCTCGGTTTCAGTTTAAACTGATAGTTAACACTCATATTTTGAGCAAGTAAAGGGGAGGGGAGGGGCATCACAACAAATATTTTCAAAAAGTGAAAACTGCGTATAATTTGTAAAATGTAAAAACTAGTCATATTTTCTAGAATCAAAAAATGATTATTATTATGCCTTAAATATACCAATATACTTATGCTAATTATTCATATAAAGAAATGAGCAACTGAAAAGTTTACAACTTAGGAATTTGTTAATGAATTAATACCAAATTGTGTTTAAGAAATTGAGAATTAAAAAAAGACAATCCTGTTTACAAAGTAACCTTTTCTTTAAAACTGTTGAAATTACGACCAAATTCGTAGCAATTGTGGCACTCTTCCGCGGCATTCTCCCCATCAGGAGCAAATAAATCAAGTTGAACACCAGAGTTTTACTTAATCAGCCGCCAGTTTTCTTTTCCATTTCCCGCAATTTCTGTTGAAATATGTAAATCAAAATGGCGGCTATTAAAATCAAATACCAGCCTTCAACACCTTGGAAGATGTGTCCAAAATATACAATTTTGAAATTTTCGAACAACAATCTTCACACAAAAACATTTCTCAATTTAATTACTCTGTGACTGAATGTTCTAAATTGATATGAATTAAATGCGACCAGAAAATGCAGCATCAGGAAAACTGGTTTACAAATAATTTGAATATTAAAGAATCTTGTTATTGACGGGATTTTGACAAAAAATGTTTGTGTGTATATTTAATTTTCTCTCTCCTGCTTTAGCGGATACCTTAGAATACGATTCCATAGAGAAACATAGGTCTAAGTATAATCTCACAATAAATAGGAGAAAGATATTTTCTCCCGAGCCAACATATCACCTGTAGAGGCAGATACGGACTCGGACATATTTCTCGAAGAACTACTTGAATACCTAGAGATTGGTTTGGCACATGCTCAGCATATTCTGCTACCCGTACTTTACCCTCTACTGAGGGTATAACATGAGATGGGGACATTAACATATATTGCGGTACTTTCAGTCAAACACGTGAAAGATGACACTTTAAATTTAGGGATTTCAACGTCAGCTGTACTTGAGTAGATGCATGATTTTGTTCTGCTCAGACAACAATTTATAGAGCTTAAAACTTTTAAATAACTCTTGAAGGTATAAGATGGTTAAACTTCTTGGTTTCTGTTTTACAGTACAGTTATGCTGCACAGTGCACAGTATAGTTATGCTGCACAGTGCACAGTACAGCTATGCTGCACAGTGCACAGTACAGTTATGCTGCACAGTGCACAGTACAGTTATGTAACACAGTGCACAGTACAGTTATGCTGTACAGTGCACAGTATAGTTATGCTGCACAGTGCACAGTACAGCTATGCTACACAGTGCAAAATATAGTTATGCTGCACAGTGCACAGTACAGTTATGTAATACAGTGCACAGTACAGTTATGCTGCACAGTGCACAGTATAGTTATGCTGCACAGTGCACAGTACAGCTATGCTACACAGTGCACAATATAGTTATGCTGCACAGTGCACAGTACAGTTATGTAACACAGTGCACAGTACAGTTATGCTGTACAGTGCACAGTATAGTTATGCTGCACAGTGCACAGAAAGGTTATGTAACACAGTGCACAGTACAGTCATGCTGCACAGTGCACAGTATAGTTATGCTGCACAGTGCACAGAACAGTTATGTAACACAGTGCACAGTATAGTTATGCTGCTCAGTGTACAGTACAGTCATGTAACACAGTGCACAGTACAGCTATGCTGCACAGTGCACAGTATAGTTATGCTGCACAGTGCAGAGGACAGATATGTAGCACAGTGCACAGTACAGTTATGCTGCATAGTAAAGTTATGATGCACAGTGCAAAGTACAGTTATGCTGCATGGTACAGTTATGCCGCAAAGTACAGTTATGATGCACAGTGCACAGTACAGTTATGATGTTTGTTGCCCAGTGCAGTAATTCTGTGCAACATCCACTTCACAAAAGTAATATGCTCTGCACAGCGCAAAACTGCTATTCTCCGCAGTGCACAGTGTACATTGCACAGAACAGTACTGTTATTCTGTGCATGCAGTGCACCGTGTAATTAAACTGCAATGTACACAGTACACTATTTTTAATCTATTTCAAACGTTGATGCAACCTTACATTATTTTTGAGATGTCCTAAAATCAACTAATTTACTAGATTTTTTCATATCTTTAAAGGAGGCAGTGGTTCAAAGTTTTTAACTCCTCATAAGTATCGTGAGTAAACGAATAGGACGCGTTCTTGCGTCTTGAGACAGGGTTAGATTTATTCACCAATTTCTTCTGTTTCTGGAGAAGCCGGGTCTGGTAGGTATGCAGGATGCTCGCTGATTGAATAGTAATTAGAGTTATAAATAACTCCTAACTCTCGCATCACATCACCACGAATGGTTGCTTTAATAGTCCAGTTGAATATATCCGTATCCTCCTTATCCCTATCCAACCTCTCTACATCCAGAATTTTACTGCTCAACCTTTCCAGGATGATTCCAATATCCTTGATTGAGAGATGATGCTTCTGATCTATAGACAGTTGATCAACCAGGAGAAGAAATTTGGTGGTTGTCACTCCCTCCTCACCCTGCAACACAACGATATCAAGAACCCTATTTATACATAAGTAGTAATCTCTGTTTCTTTGTTTGTATGTCCAATCATAACTCAGGAACCCCTTGACCTATTTGCCTCCAATTTTGAATAAAGAAATCGGTAGAACCACGAGAAACTTTATAAGTTTACTTTGAAACTTCTTAGTTGAATGGGTTGACTTCAGAAGGGAACGTTTATATTGTCAGGAAAAGCTGGGTCCCCAAGCTATTACTATATTTATATATATATTAAAGGTTTAGGTATTTTATAGTCACGGAGCATCAAGTTATAAACGAGTAAGTCAACCTTATCACGTGACGTAAAGTATTTTGCAGACGATCATTATCAGACGGTCATTATCAGACGGTCATTATCAGACGATCCTTATCAGACGGTCATTATCAGACGGTCATTATCAAAAGTATCACTTTTAGAATATGAATCATTTCTTTTTTCTAAAATTTAAAAATTTCCTGAAATAATGAATGTTTCTAGAAATTGGAGATTGACTGATTATGATCATGAATTAAAATATACCTCACCTCTCCTCCATCTCCGTCAGAATCTGAACTTTCTCCTCCATTCTCCGTCTCATCCATCTGTATGATTGCATCACCTGGAGCCATTTTGCCACGGATCAAGCGACAAGCTTTTGGTGTAAATAACTTCCAACGGAATTTCCATTAAATAGTTTGCACTGCCCTCGAGGCGTTCTAAAATGATGTTTTATCCAGTAAAAAGTGTTTCCCCGGTTGAGATAGTCAATATTTAGTTGACAGTATCATAATACTTAAAGGAGTGTTCACTTTTAAACCCTGGGGGCGAAGTAACATAAATATATTCATGTTAGTTTTGTAAGGATTTTTGTGGATCAAAATAGCGGAGGATGAAATGATTTTTTTCTCCAAAGTTTTTCATGTATTACATATTACAAGTGTTAATAAATTATTTATGTAATTTTCTTAAGTGGACTCATCAGACAATCCCTCTAAATACTGCGGTGTAAGCTTCAAGGGGTGAAAAATAGAAACGTTTCTTAAAGGTTTCTATATTTTCATAGGATTAATTATTATATCAGTTTTCAAAATGTAAAACATGGATATTTGATGTAATACTTGATCAGACAAAGGTTAGCAGGGTATTGTTGTGAATCAGAATTGAAATTATGTCTGCATTCACTTTAAACCTCTCAATTGATTCTATATTAGTTAAACTTCTTTATAGGTTTGTGAACTTTGAAGAAATGAAAAAGAAATTTACAAAATGATTAAAAAAAGATAATGAAAAGCTTTAAAAGTACTGTCTTTAAAATCAAGAATCCAAGGTTATTTTTCAAAAAGTCTGCAATTGTAATATTAAATGAGCCCCCCTCCCAGGGGAGGCACGCGTGGGGGCCGTGCACAAAGGCCCCTCCCTCGTACGCCCCTGGAACTTGGAAAACAGGAAAAGAAAACATGATGCTTTTTTACATTGAAAGTACATATACATATTGCTAATAATCTAAATTGATTAATAGATAGATAGATAGAACTGTAGACAATGGAATAGATAGATAGAAAGATAGAAAGAAAGATTGATAGAAAGATAGATAGATAGAGGATACAAGATAGATAGATAGTGCGGACAATTACCATGTTTTCCTTTGGTAAAAAATAATAGGATTCTCTAGGTTCTCAAGAAACAAGATTTATACTGCAGGGTGTATCATGATATATGGAGTATGCTACAGGGTGTATAAGGATATATAAAGTATAATACAGGGTGTACCAGGAAATATAGAGTATACTTCAGGGTATATCATGATATATATAGCGTATACTACAGGGTGTATAGAATATAGAGTATGCTACAGGGTGTACCAGTATATAGAGTATACTACAGGGTTTACCAGGATATATAGAGTATACTACAGGGTGTACCAGGATATATACAGTTTACTTCAGGGTGTACCAGGATATATAAAATATACTTCAGGGTGTACCAGGATATATGAGTATACTTCAGGGTGTACCAGGATTTATAGAGTATACTTCAGGGTGTACCAGTATATATAGTATACTACAGGGTGTACCAGGATATATAGAGTATACTTCAGGGTGTACCAGGATATATAGAGTATACTACAGGGTGTACCAGGATATATAGAATATACTACAGGGTGTACCAGTATATATAGTATACTTCAGGGTGTACCAGGATATATAGAGTATACTACATGGTGTACCAGGATATATAGAGTATACTTCAGGGTGTACCAGGATATATAGAGTATACTACAGGGTGTACCAGGATATATGAGTATACTTCCGGGTGTACCAGGATATATAGAGTATACTACAGGGTGTACCAGGATATATAGAGTATACTACATGGTGTACCAGGATATATAGAGTATACTACAGGGTGTACCAGGATATATAGAATATACTACAGGATGTACCAGGATATATAGAGTTTACTACAGGGTGTACCAGGATATATAGAATATACTTCAGGGTGTACCAGGATATATAGAGTATTCTACAGGGTGTATCATGATAAATAGCGTATAACTACAGGGTGTAACAGTATATAGATTATACTACAGGGTGTACCAGGATATATAGAGTATACTACAGGGTGTACCAGGATATATAGAGTATACTTCAGGGTTTACCAGGATCTATAGAGTATACTACATGGTGTACCAGGATATATATAGTATACTTCAGGGTGTACCAGGATATATAGAATATACTACAGGGTGTACCAGGATATATAGAGTATACTTCAGGGTGTACCAGGATATATAGAATATACTACAGGGTGTACAAGGATATATAGACTATATAACAGGGTGCACCTGGATTTAAAAAAAACCTAGATGGTTTTTAGTTGAGGACTCTGTAAAGTTATTAAAAAACTAAAGTTTGATCCGTGGCAAAATTACATTTAGTATGAGATCCTCTGGTTTCAACATCGAATCTGACATGAGCACCTTTTGGTAATGTTCGTCTACCATCCTCCGCCTAAACAACAACACTGAGGTTAATATTCAAGTCAGCTCATCATATCAAACAGGCAGCTTCAATGTTCAAAATCAAAGCAATATGTTTATATTCCCAGTCACGGCTCTTTACGTCATAATGATTGAAATAAATATGTTGTTTAGCCAGAGAGCCTGCAGTTTCGAACCCGGGACATAAATTGTTATAATTGTACGGTAATATTTAAACAATGTTTTAGGTTCCATAGAAAGCTTCCCAAGTATTGAGATTAAATAAAGAAAACCTTGAATGCTTTCTGATATATTATGACTAATGAAGATATATTCAGGTACTTGAGACATAGAGTAAAACTACTCCTAGTACATTGTTTATCTTACTCCAGACCAGAGTAAACCAACTCTGGGTATATTGTTTATCTTTCTCCAGACTAGAGTAAACCTACTCTGGGTATATTGTTTATCTTACTCCAGACCAGAGTAAACCAACTCAGGTTATATTGTTTATCTTACTTCAGACCAGAGTAAACCAACTACGCGTATATTGTTTATTTCACTCCAGACCAGAGTAAACCAACTCCGTGTATATTGTTTATTTTACTTCTGAACAGAGTAAACCTACTCCGGGTATATTGTTCATCTTACTCCAGACCAGAGTAAACCAACTCCGGGTATGTTGTTTATTTTACTCAAGACCAGAGTAAACCAACTCCGGGTATATTGTTTATTTTACTCCAGACCAGAGTAAACCTGCTCAGGGAATATTGTTTATCTTACTCCTATGTAGAGTTTACCTACTCACGATATACTGTTTATCCTATTCCAATACACGGTAAACCTACTCCGGGCATATTGTTTGTCTTATTCCAATACACGGTAAACCTACTCCGGGCATATTGTTTATCTTACTCCAATACACCTTTAACTTACTCCGGGCATATTGTTTATCTTACTCCACTACACAGTAAACCTACTCCGGGCATATTGTTTATCTTACTTCAATACACGGTAAACCTACTCCGGCATATTGTTTATCTTACTTCAATACACGGTAAACATACTCTGGGTATAATGTTTATCTTACTCCAATACACGGTAAACCTACTCCGGGCATATTGTTTGTCTAACTCCAATACATGGTAAACCTACTCCGGGTATAATGTTTATCTTACTCCAATACACGGTAAACCTACTCCGGGCATATTGTTTGTCTTACTCCAATACACGGTAAACCTACTCCGGGCATATTGTTTGTCTTACTCCAATACATGGTAAACCTACTCCGGGTATATTGTTTGTCTTACTCCAATACACGGTAAACCTACTCCGGGCATATTGTTTATCTTACTCCAATACATGGTAAACCTACTCCGGGTATATTGTTTGTCTTACTCCAATACACGGTAAACCTACTCCAGGCATATTGTTTATCTTACTCCAAAACATGGTAAACCTACTCCGGGTATATTGTTTGTCTTACTCCAATACACGGTAAACCTACTCCGGGTATAATGTTTATCTAATAGGAGTAAACCTTCTCCGGATAATTGTTTATCTTGCTTCTGTAAAGAAAAAAAACTTCCGAACTTTGTTTGTCCGGAATAATGATAATATTATTTTGCGAGTCCTGTAACCATTATACATACATCTCAAATATCATGCTCCGATCTATCCTGGAGTATACAACACCGGAAATGGTTTTACGAAGCATGTAAGATTTTGGCACGCTCTAGTTTCCAATATTTTCTTTACGATTAAGGATAAAAATCACAATAATCAGAATCGCACCCTCCTGTTATTTGATCCAGAGCTAAGATCTATAAAATATGAAACATGATTTATTAGTTGGTCGAGGGAGGGAACCCCCGGATGACATGAGCCTCCCAGATTTTCCAGATAGACCGAGCCTCCACTATGCAAACCGTGCCTCCGCCATGCAGTTAACGAGCCTCCATCAAACAGAACAGCTTTGTTTTGACCTAGTGGCAAAGTAATTTTACTAAAGATTAGAGTTGTTGATTGATTGTCATGATTAGAAACATATATGAACTCATAAAGTGGTTTATAAGATTTATACTAAAACTTTAAACATTTCTTAAGCAGAAAGGGAGATATTTGGAGAAATATTTCTGGAGTAAATTAAGTTTGTTTTGTTGTAATCTTTGATTATACAATACATTTTTTTTTGAAAATGTTAAGATTTAAATAAATGATACAAATTTTCTAGATTTAATTTGAACTACAAAAACGGTATCGCTAAAATCAAAGATTATAAAAGATTAAATGAAATTCAATTCAAATTTTTTCTCTAAATATTTTCCTTTTCATGTAAAAAATGTTTAAAGTTTTATATACCACTTTATTAATCATAATTGGGCACTATTTATGATAATTGATAAACGCAAGGTTATTTAAAGACTCCTGTATTACACAGGCACATTTTGATGTATTGCGCATGCTCATTACTGCATAGCTGAGGCTAGGTCTGTTTAGCGAATCTGAGAGGCTTGTGTCTGCACAGTGGAGGTTCATGGCGTCCGGAGGTTCCCTCCCTCGTTGGCCTGTTGCAAATTTGTCGCAATAGACCCAAGAAAATTTAAAAAAAAACCGGTATTTAGAAGGATTAAAAAAAATAAAACCCAACCTAGGTCTATTTGTGTAATTTACATAAAGCATTTTTCATGCTGTTCTGTCATCATCTTAGAGACTTATAAAACACTTACTCACTACTCAAACATATTACAAAAACTTCGATATTTAAGATGTAATACTCTTAACTTTGCAGATCCTAATCTTAACCTCACTCTGGCTCCTACTGACACATCTATAGAAGACAATTCCACCATGGAGTAAGGCAACATGTTCTGTAATTGGTCTGTAATCTGCAGAGTGTGAAACATTCTATTTAATAGATGTGAGTGTGGAAAGATAGGTCCCGGTAACAGGAAAGTTTTCTCTTTAAACTATAGTTAGGAATAATCAACTAGATCTAAGAAAAGAATTCTGACCATCCTAACTGCTTCTAACTGCTTGGAACTAAACCTTTTACCAATAGTTTTCTATATTCGACGCAGTGTAATGTCTACTTCCATCTTCAATATTGGTGATAGCAGTAAACCTACTCCGGTATATATATCATTACTAACCCTGGATACAGTAAACTAAACCTACTCCGGTATATCAATACCAACCCTGGATACAGTAAACTAAACCTACTCCGGTATATAAATACTCCGGTATATCAATACTAATCCTGGATACTAAACCTACTCAGGTATATAAATACTCCGGTTTATCAATACTAACCCTGGATACAGTAAACTAAACCTGCTCCGGTATATTAATTCATACCCTGAATACAGTAAACTAAACCTGCTCCGGTATATTAATTCTTACCCTGAATACAGTAAACTAATCCTACTCCGCTATACCAATACTAACCCTGGATACAGGATACTCTGGTATATCAATAATAACCCTGAAGGGATGGGTATATTTTTAACTTCTTATGAAAGATAGAAGGACAAAAAGTTATTTGAAAATCAGTAACTCTTCGACCGATCCATAGCATAGCCTTGGACTGGAAGAGAGAAGAAAAGATCTAGTGTGAGAGAGAGAAATGATTAAGCGTTTCGTTTTCTAGTTTTCTAGGTTCTCATTTGAAATCTAGGGAAAATTGTGTAGAAATTTTGAAGTTTAAGAAATTAAAGTAGAAAGTCTATTGCATGAGATGGAAATTTATGAATAAAAGAGAATTAGTTGAACTATGTAAGTTAGGTAAGTTAGTTCTTCAATCTCATTTGTAATCTCACCTGTATTGGCGAAGTTGCGGCATTTTTGTGCGTAGAATGACCCGCGTGCAGAGAACAGCAGTGGAAATCACATTCGTTGGAAGTAGGGGAGCCTCGACTGTGATTAGTGGTCGGCTGATGCAGCCTAGCTCCACCTCCAGCACATTCTACAGTGTGCGTATGCAATGCAGAGCTTTCAAGTGAGCTGCCCTGCCTTGAGAGTTGGCGGGGAGTTGGAGCTCCTTGAATGATAGGTCTGGCTCCTAGCAGGTGTCCTGCTGAACTTGTTTTAGCTGTTCCAGGAGGCATTTGATCAGAATCCGCGTTTATCACAGTCACCTGAGGGGTTTGTCCGACACACTTCTTGTAGACATCGTTACTCACGTTCTCTCTCTTCCCTTCCTTGGATATAAGAGAATGCATATTATATCCTGACTCTCCACTGTTTTGCATCATCAGCCCCTGCTGCTGGTGGAGATGCCTAGGATCTGAACTCGAGTTTCGAGAATTATCTCTGCTCAGGCAAGGAGTTGAAGCAACGGAAGATCTGGATCTAGGATTTACTCCGAGTAGTCTACCCCCGCTCCCTGCCAGGTTTGAGGTGGTGGAGGACTGTCTTGACGGTCCTCTACTCAGACTGGAGTTAGGTAACCCAACCTGAAACAAAATTTAGGATAAGTCTTGGATCTTGATGATATCATGGTTCTGACCATGTTTTCTCCAAAACTTGGCACTCTTCTTTCTTTAGATAAATAGTGAGATATTTTCATCTCACCTTGTTTTTATCTAATTTACAACTGAATTATTGTCATATATATTATGTTTGGATTGGGTGGTGGATGGGGGGGGGGGGATTACATTTCCCAATATATTAAGATTGGTATTCAATACTTCTACACTATCTGTCTATTCTTCTACTTTAACTGTTGGATCCATAGCTTATTCATCTAGGCATAGATCTTTGTTTAAATCTTAGGTTTGATCTTGGTTTAGATCTTTGTTCAGATCTAGAGTAAGATCTAGGGTAGATCTTGATTTAAACCTTGGTTTAGGTTTTGGTTCAGATCTTGGGTTAGAACTTGATTTAGATCTAGGTTTAGATCTTGGTTAAGACCCAGGCTTAGATCTTGCTTCATACCTAGGGTTAGATCTTGGTTTAGAGCTAGGGTTAGATCTTGGTTTAGATCTAGGGTTAGATCTTGGTTTAGATCTAAGGTTAGATTTTGGTTTAGATCTAGGAAAAGATCTTGGTTTAGATCTAGGGTTAGATATTGGTTTAGATCTAGGCTTAGATCTTGGTTTAGATCTAGGGTTAGATATTGGTTTAGATCTAGGCTTAGATCTTGGTTTAGATCTAGGGTTAGATCTTGGTTTAATGTAGAGTTAGATCTTGGTTTAGATCTAAGGTTAGATCTTGGCTTATATCTAGGGTTAGATCTTGGTTAAGATCTAGGCTTAGATCTTGGTTTAGATTTAGGCTTAGATCTTGGTTTACATCTAGGCTTAGATCTTGGTTTAGATCTAGACTTAGATCTTGGTTTAGATCTGGGCTTAGATCTTGGTTTAGATCTAGGCTTAGATCTTGGTTTAGATCTAGGCTTAGATCTTGGTTTAGATCTAGGCTTAGATCTTGGTACAGAAATAATTGCATATCTTAATTGGATCTTGGTTTAGAAATAGAGTTAGAACTGGGATCACATATCCTTTTATTTTGAATAAAAGATATATTTAGGTATTATAATCAAGGTTTAGCTTTTTGTAAAGATCTAGGCTTGTCTCTTGATCTTATCAGATATATTCAAGTTTAGATTTAGATTCAGCTCTAGGTTCTGGACTCGACATACCGGATACCGGAACCATAAAATATGTTCCTATTCTCCTTGTCTACGAATTACACAATTTATTTTATATTTCTCGTCCCACAAACTGTGGATGATTTGCACTGAGGCCCTGGAGGGGAGGGGGTTTATAGAGGGCCATTGAGGTAAGGGGGACGGTTGTATAGAGTCAAAATCCCCGGGGACTTATATTCCTCAATATCTTACTCCGCAGCATGGCTCAGGATGGGTGGACGAGGTTAAGTAAAGAAATGGGAGAATGAGGATGAATTTTAAAAGGACTGTCGGTTGTTGTAAATTCAAGTGACCCTCCATTTTTTAGAAGCTATATGCCCATTTTACAACGGTACATTTTAAACCTTTAACTGCTCAATAATGCTGATATTTGTCGTTTATCTGGCTTGCAAAGTGCTGATTCTTATGATTTCCTCTATAGTTATTAAAAGCAAAAGATTCGATAATGTCAAGTTACACAAGTAGCGCATCAACTGTACACAGCGTACACCGCGTTTCAGAGGGATTCAGGTGGTTTTCAAGATATATATAAACAAAAAGCTCTCTTTACTCAATCAACAGTCAATGGTTTCCATGGTACCGTTGTGAATCGGACGTTGCCCTCTTTGCATGGAGTGTCACTTGAAATTATGCTTTCTTTAAATTTGCATCCATCGTCCCTTTAAGATGGTGGATGACTAAAAATGGATGAAATAAAATGAGCAATGTGGAATATAAATGAATAAAGGTGGGATGACAGTAATATGTAAAAGAGGTTTGGTTGATGATGGATGAGTAATATTACTGGTTGGTTTGGTGGATGATGAATGAGTAATATTACTGTAGGTTTGGTGGATGATGAATGAGTAATATTACTGTAGGTTTGGTGGATGATGGATGAGTAATATTACTGTAGGTTTGGTGGATGATGGATGAGTAATATTACTGGTTGGTTGGGTGGATGATGAATGAGTAATATTACTGTAGGTTTGGTGGATGATGGATGAGTATTATTATTGTAGGTTTGGAGGATGATTTTTGAGCAATATTACTGTAGGTTTGGTGGATGATTATGAGTAATATTACTGTAGGTTTGGTGGATGATTTATGAATAATATTACTGTAGGTTTGGTATATGATGAACGAGTAATATTTACTGTAGGTTTGGTGGATAATGAATGAGTAATATTACTTAGGTTTGGTGGATGATGTATGAGTAATATTACTGTAGGTTTGGTGGATGATGGATGAGTAATATTACTGTTGGTTGGGTGGATAATGGATGAGTAAAATTACTGTTGGTTTGGTGGATGATGTATGAGTAATATTACTGTATGTTTGGTGGATGATGGATGAGCAATATTACCTGTAGGTTTGGTGGATGATGAATGGGTAATATTTACTGTAGGTTTGGTGGATGATGGATGAGTAATATTACTGTTGGTTGGGTGAATGATGAATGGGTAATATTACCTGTAGGTTTGGTGGATGATGTATGAGTAATATTACTAAAAGGTTTGGTGGATGATGAATAAGTAATATTACCTGTAAGTTTGGTGGATGATGTATAAGTAATATTACTGTATGTTTGGTGGATGATGTATGAGTAATATTACTGTAGGTTTGGAGGATGATGTATGAAAAATATTACTGTAGGTTTGGTGGATGATGAATAAGTAATATTACTGTAGGTTTGGTGGATGATGAATGAGTAATATTTATTGTAGGTTTGGTGGATGATGAATGAGTAATATTACTTAGGTTTGGTGGATGATGAATGAGTAGTATTACTGTAGGTTTGGTGGATGATGGATGAGTAATATTACCTGTAGGTTTGGTGGATGACCAGGTGGATGATCCTTCTCCCAATGAAGAACCACCGTTATCTTCCCCTTGTTATCCATGATCTTCCAGGATGGAATCTCCTCCTGCAAACCTAGAGCTGCCAGGGTCTCACACACTATCTTTGGTATAGTAGATACCACTGAAATATATTAATAAACAAATTTTATTTATAAAGGAAAATATTTAAAACAAGTGACTTTTCAATTGAGGAGGGGCATTCTCGATTCACCAAATATAATGGAGAAATTAACGAATTAAACACATTTCAAGCTAGAAAAATGACTGAGATACAAAGATCAAACTCTGTTAGCAAGTAACTTCTGTTGTTGTCTAAGAAAGCATTGATTATCCAACAATAGAAGTAATATTAAATATATCTGCAGCAGTAGGTATATAATATATATATATATAGAGATTTATGTTTATTTATCACACAATATAAACACTATACATTACATGTATACATAATATTTTCTTATTTTCCTTGAAAATATAGCTACAATAGGTAAATTATACAAAACTGTGCTAAAAAGGAATTGTTCCGATATTTGATCAAATTACATTTTTGGGTTTAAAATTCGGTGATGGATGATGGACCAAACTGTAGAGTAACAAAATAGATGTTAGTTTCACATTTATTGAAAATATATTTCGGTCTGGGTTGACCCTTGTCAGTTCTTGAGATTGTTTCTGTCACAAAGATTAAAAACATTTTGGGTTTAAGAATAATTTTAAAAATCAAATTCGTTTTTCCTCTTGCCCAATAAACATTGTAGTAAAAATTCATCTCCGTGAAACAATTATCTAAAAGGAATTGTAAACCTATATTCAAGGGGCCCCACAGTTTATAAAGTGCACGTGTGATTTACTATGGTACCCGTTAAACTTTTGTTTGCTCAAGGATGAATAAGATATCCCTATTTGTCTGGCCAAAAGTTGATTATTTTGAGTTGTTGTTTCCTTATTAAGTAACTTGCGCATATATGCTTCAGACACAACGGAGTAAATAAACACAATTCAACACTTATTTAAGAGAAAAATGACGATATCTTTCTCAATGTTACTTGGATAGAGGTTTAAAGGGTATCGTTGTGAATTGATCATACCAATATGTATATATATATATATTGGAATAGAAATTTTTGTGGAGGATCACTTGAAATTACGTGCAGAGTCCCTTTAAAGTTAAAAACATGTGTTTCATTTTCAGCCCAACGTAGAAAAACTTAAATCTTTATCTGCTGAAAGATATATATATAATTAGAACAATTTCTGAAAATATATCTTTGAACTTTAAAGAAATACAGCTAAACCACAAATGCAAGAAAATAATACGAAATATTAAAAGTTTATTTTTTTACTCAAAATATTGATAAATTTGTAAAAAAAAATCTTGCTCCTTTGATAATTAAACAAGAAAAAAAAGCTTATCCCCTTCCTCCCCGTAATCATCTGAAAATTTTAAAAAATTGGATTTATTTTTGAAAATTGAAAAGAAAAATTTAAAATCTTTTGTAAAATATAATCTGAACGAAGAAGAATAAAACGTAAACTTTGATCCAAAACATTTTCTATGAAATTGGAAATCATGAAAACTCATATTCTGGATCCTGTACTTTATAGAGATAAATAAATAGAGCAAAAACCTGAACTCTAAAAGTAAATAGAAAAAAAATATATTTATTAGAGTTAAAGAAAATTGAGCTTTAAAATTCAAAGAGTAAGGTATATAAAAAATAAAAGTTCATAAAGTTAGAAGGAAAATGATTTTTTTTTTACAAAAATTCAAAGAATAAGGTATATAAAAAATAAAAGTTCATACATAAAAGAGATATACAAAATATAATGTATATTATGTGCATAATAGAGATATACAAAACATAATGTATATTATGTAGAGATATACAAAACATAATGTTTATTATGTACATAATAGAGATATACAAAACATAATGTATATTATGTGCATAATAGGGATATACAAAACATAATGTATATTATGTACATAATAGAGATATACAAAACATAATGTATATTATGTACAAATACAAGGATTGAGAATTGATGTTCTGATAAATGAAAGTTTGATATAAAAACTTTACATCCATCATATTTAAACGTGACTTCTCAATATCCAGAAGTCAAAACTTTGCAGTAAAAAGTCAACATTAGAAACTAATCCATCCTAGCTCAGGCTGGAGATTAAAATAATCAATTTTAATAAAAATGTTGTCTAGACAACTCCTCCCCCCCCCTGTATTCCTTTTACAAAACAGCAAACTTAGTGAATATCTGTTTATCTTAACCTAACCTAAACACATTAGATTCTTACCTTGAGATACAATATCTTCTCCTGGTGGAGTCCAAGCTTCTCCGGTTCGGAGAACTATAAAGATTGTGTTCTCTGGTAGAGTATGGAAGTATTCTGCATCTTCTACCTGGGTTCCATCAGTCTCTAGGACTACCCGGAGGGATTCTCCTCCTCCAAGACACAGCTTTTCCCGTCCTTAATATTTAAGGATGAAATAGATTTATTTTGCCATTATTTATATTTTCTTTAGTTCTTCTCCCGTCAACCGTCCTCTATTCAAAGTCAAGTTTCCTTACTAATAAATAATAGATTTCTTCAGCTCTGGTGTCATAACTAAGAGTTGTGTGGTTTGAAACTATTCTTTTTGCGTCTTTAGATAGGAGAATAGGAGAGAAACGTTTTTACGGAGCTAGAAAATTCAGAGTTTGCAAAACACGAAAGGAAAGAGTAGACGTAAAAACAGATGAATATTCTTATAAAAAGTGATTTTTTTAAAATGTCTGACAGAAAAAAGGACAGAAGGACACACTTCAATTGGGTGTACGTCTGAGAGTTCCATTTTCATTAAGTCTGACAAAAATTATTTATTGTCTATCTAAACTCGACCATAGCTAAGATTAAGGAAAAATAAAACAACGGCGTAACACAAAACGTTGGGATATACATATTTTTAACAATCTTGAGTAATTCAAAAATAGAAAGACTTCTATAACGAACTAAAACAGGTTTACTGATATATCGGTTTTTTGTATGCTTGAGCTTTTGCCCACAACACTGAACTAAAATAAATGATTAAAGTTAAAAAATTCTTTTGTCGTCTCGTAGTCTTTAAACCAATAATAAAATTTTTGAAATAATCTTCCTTCCTTTCCCACTTCTCTACTAGGTATACAATTATTAATTTTTGGAGTTCCAATACTCGTTGTACCATTTTTTTAATCCCAATTACTCCTTAATGTCCTTTCTCCGAATATCCGTCTTGACGAATTTTGCGAAAAAGTCCGTTCTCTAAAATATTTTCTCTAAAATATTCGTCTTGAGAAGTTTTGCACAAAAGTTCCAGACGATTTGTTTTCCGAATAAACGTTCTTACTCATGAATAAACGTTTTGTTTCTTGTCTAAACGTCCCGTTTCCTGAAATCCATCCTAGTCCTTTTACGATCCAATGGTTTTAACTCTTGTCCTTTTCCATTTTTATGAATTAACCAGCGTTTTGACTTTAATATCCGTAAATCCTTTAAAGGGACTGTAAGCGTAATTTTAAGTGACCATCCATGCAAAGATGACATAACACATTTACAACGGTACCCTTAAAAGCTTCGTTTTATCAAGTATGAATTCAATATCTATGTTTATTATTTTGAAAACTTATTATTTACAATGGTTGTTTCTCTACAAATGACTTTTAAGCCTAGAAAAACGACAATTATCCACCACATTATTTATCAGATAAACATGAAACTACGCATACAGTCCCTTTAATAACATTCCGTCTTACCTTTCCGAAGGAACTCGTCGTACGTTCCAACCACAAGAGCCTTCTTTATATTTCTCTTCGCGTTCCAGACTTTAACCGGTCTCCTGTCCGAGCTTCCAGTTCCTCGTCGATCCTGAAGATTTAAAACTGATTAGCAGTGGTTTACGTGGTGTCATATTATACTCCAAGAACTGTTAAAGATGTTTAAAAAGAGAAAAAGTAAGCTTAATCACTTCATCATTTCTGATATTGTCAACTAATCAATCCGTTTATTTAGCAGTGGTTTACGCGTGTCATATTATACTCCAAGAACTGTTAAAGATGTTTAAAAAGAGAAAAAGTAAGCTTAATCACTTCATCATTTCTGATATTGTCAACTAATCAATCCGTTTATTTAGCAGTGGTTTACGCGTTGTCATATTATACTCCAATCCGTTTAAAATCAAGTAAAAATCTCAGCAAACACGTTTTAAACCAAATTATCTGATAACTTTAACAATTGTGACAATTTTCATAACCTTGATAACCTTGACAACCTTGGCAATCTTTATTGCCTTGACATCCTTGACAACCTGGATAATATTAACAAACCCGACAACCTTGACAACCATGACAACTATGACAACCTTGACAACCTTGACAATTTAGACAACCTTTATAACCTTGACAACCATGACAACTATGACAACCTTGACAACCTTGACAATTTAGACAACCTTTATAACCTTGATAACCTTGACATCCTTGACAATCTTGACAACCAATGACTACCTTGACACACTTGAAAACCTTGACAACTTTGACAAAATGTAAAAACCTTGACAACCTTGACAACCTGTATTATTTAGAAAAGCTCTATGACTTTGATAACCTTGTTAACCCTAACAACCTTGACAACCTTCACATCCTTGACAACCTTGACAACTTTGACAACATTGAAAACCTTGACAACCTTGACAATCTTGACAACCTAGATAACCTTGACAACCTTGAAATCCTTAACAACCTTGACAACTTTTACAACATTAAAAACCTTGACACCCTTGACATCCTTGACAACCTTGACAACTTTTACAACATTAAAAACCTTGACAACCTTGACATCCTTGACAACCTTGACAACTTTTACAACATTAAAAACCTTGACAACCTTGATAACCTTGATAACCTTGACAACCTGTATAATTTAGACAAGCTCTATAACATTGATAACCTTGTTAAGCCTGACAACCTTGACATCCTTAACAACCTTGAAACCCTTGACATCCTTGACAACCTTAATATTATCGAGAATCATTAAAAGCACTAAACTTGGATAAAACTTGACATACATAATAACTTTGACATTAAAAACCTTGTCAAGAAATGACAACCTGACTTGACACTTTTCTTTAACAATTAAAAACATCTCGAACCTTCTCCAGGTATTAAAACCTTTCTTAACAATGATATTAAATGGAAAAATAAATTCTGTATGATTGGAAAGCTTGATTGTCGCTTTATGTCAAATTACTGGGAGACACTAATTTATTGATCTACCTCTCCAGACATGGCTGATTGGGGGTGGGCGTGTCCAGCACGTCCCGCCCCCGCTCCTCGGCTTGTAATACCAGTCTTTTATCCTAACCACTACCATTCATCTCGGCCTTGAGATGCTCCAGGTCTACCATACTCCGATCCTTCTCCTGATCCTTCTCTGATCCAACCTGATCACACAACCTCACTTTATCTTCACTCACTCAGCTCAGTTTCCTTAATGAGGGAGGCGGGAGGGAGTAAGGTCGCCACGCCTACTGCCACACCCCCTTGGAGATGGTGTGGTAAACTCTAGTTTTGAGTGTGAGGATCCTCCAGGGTTGGTGAGAACACTCCAGCCCTGGCTATCCTAGCAGCCTCCCTCTACCCTCCTCCATATACACATTCATCCTCCTTCACACACACTCATTCCAACACTCACATTACCACACAATAATACACAATAAACAATACATTCTCCATGAAGAGAAAAAAACTAAACAATGGCGGAATATTTGTTTTCACTATTTGAAGCTGATGAGAGATTAGGAGAACTGAGTTCTAGCTCTAGTGGTAGAATACCAGAGGAACATTGATCCACTCTTGGACACTGTGTTGCTCAAGCAGGAATACAGGCTTAAGCAGGCTTGTAGTAGGGGAGGGAAAGGGAGGGGTTGCAGATATGAATGAAGATTGAAGGTGTAAATGTGGAGTAGGTGTAGAGGGTTTAAAGGGAGAAGATAGATAAAAAGGTTCTGAATATTTAATTATGAAAAATAAGAAAGTTTCACCAAAAATATTTCTTGAAAAATACAATTTTAAGATCAAGTAAAAAAGTCTAAGAAACTACAGAAACAAATTTTTCAAAGCATTTTTATGTTATTTATTGCAAAATGTCACACTAATGTAAGACATAATGACACATGTATTGCATAATGTCACCCTACTAATGTAAGATATAATGACACATGTATTGCATAATGTCACCCTACTAATGTAAGATATAATGACACATGTATTGCATAATGTCACCACACTAATGTAAGATATAATGACACATGTATTGCATAATGTCACACTAATGTAAGATATAATGACACATGTATTGCATAATTTCACACTAATGTAAGATATAATGACACATTTATTGTATAATTTCACACTAATGTAAGATATAATGACACATGTATTGCATAATTCTACACTAATGTAAGATATAATGACACATGTATTGCATAATGTAGGTACATCTTGAATATATCTATGACACTAATCAAGATTAAGAGCTGGTTGGGCTAATTCTAATATTTGTTTAAGGATTTTCTTTTCATTCTTAAAATTTACTATTTTTTAGGATCACAGAGATTAAACTTTCGCCTGTTAAACAATTTTAAATTGAATTTGTGGACAAAAGTCAAAAATTGCCTTAAAACTTTGGATCTTTGAATTCAAGAGCTGAAGCATCATTCTTTGTTTGCTACTTTTCAGATTTGTTATGAATTTTCTTTAATTGAATATTGAATTCATCATTTTTATTTGCTTTTATCCAGGAAAGTAATTAGTTTAATATCATTTTGCAAGGCAAGCTTTGGAATCAGATGGGATTTTATATCTTAAAACTACTGGGCGTTTTTTCAGTCTAAGAATGGTTTGGTCAGGCTCTGACACGCTCTGATCCATACACTGCGGGTTGGAAACGCTAGGAGGCAGAGAGCTGCGGTTAGTGCATAAGGGAAAAGAGCTTCAGTAAATTAGCTTCCATCTACATGGGGAATTGTATACTCTTAATGGGTCACGCACTACGCTTGGTATGTTTAATTCTTTGGGAGAAATCGTCTTTCATATCACAATGAAACACAGGGTGTCCCAATAAACATGGGAATTCAGTGACGAAATTCGATATCGTCTTTTTAAATAATTCTTTGATTTAGTATAGTGATACCTACTGAGAAAGCTGTAATCTGTTATTGTTTCGTCTGCTATGTTTGTTTGTTTATGTTTTGACTGCACACGGTTGTACTTAGTAAAACAAGAAAATTGCAGTATACAAACAGAGTAAACTTGTCCGTATTCACTGTTTATCTTGCGGAGACATTATAGACACATCTTTACAGTCTTTTACCCTTTTTATAAAATAAACTCTAGCAGACATAACACTATTATGGCTTTTGAAATCAGGTATTACAATGCTAATTCATAACAAAGACGATATCTAATTAATTATTGAATTCCCATGTTTTGTGGGACACCCTGTGCATAGCAAAAGTGCATGAAATGTCGTCTTGAAATTTATTTAAAAGCTTATGACAGCTGTTATGCTTCATCATTGGGCTGCAAAAAAAGAAAGCTGCTGAGATGTTCTTAGCTTCAAAGGGTTGAACATGATTTATGAAAATATATCCAAATATCATTGTAGAGTCATGAAGTTTTTTGATAATTCTTAAGAAACTGTTTTTTTATTTTTAATTCAAGTTAAAAAGGAATTATGCAGGACAGCAATTGATATTGTAAATTCGTTTTTCCGCGGCATTTGATCTTAAATATGTTGAGAATACGACATTATAAAAACCTTGCTGTATATTCATATATCTGGGATTTAAACATTTCTAAATTTTGATTAACAGTGTAATTTTCCTTAATCATAAAACTAAAAAAAGTTAATTGTATAAACAATTACATAGTTAAGGTTGACTGTATTCTCCAGTTTTTCTGCTAATTCTTTGATCGGTTTTTGGCTTACAGTAATAACCAAAAAAGGAGGACAACTTTTGTAATCAAGTTATAACTTTAAAAAGTCCAATAAGTATGAGACAGAAGTGTCCAGAAAAAACTACCCGTAAGTATTGCTAGAATGTCGTCTTCCTATTCCATTGTTTTCTGGTTATCACTGTATAATTTATCTGTTAATCTTTTGCAATTTTAACCATCGTTAGATTCAATCGTAAATTTCCAACCCTTGCTTTTGAACTATAATTGAACTTCACAGCATTAAATTAACTAAGATTGATTTCATATTATTCTGTTGACCACTGAGCCCGTTCTCTCGATCAAAATGTATGAACAGTGGTCGTACTTTGGAGGACCATAGTGTGGCCCATGTGTGGCCGCCAGATTTCTCATGCTAAATTCTTATCTGATAGATAGATAACTCAATTGACCACAGTACGACCACAGTTCAGAGACTTCACATGGTCGATCAACAATGTAATGAAAGAAGGAATGGCCTCATGTAGCTAAGCTGTAAGAATACATCCTTTGGATGGTTACTACTTGTATAAATGTCGTCTTTTAAAAATACGTTTATAAAATTTACGTTCAAAGACCAAAGTACAAATTATAGAAAATTGAAAATTCAAGTAAATGAAATTAAAGGAACCTTATAAATAAACTCATATATAAAGATTTCAGAAATTCGATGTGTTTATATATCATAACTGAGTTTTAATCAATAACAGAAAACATGGAGGAACCGGAGATAATTGGAAATTTGGATTACTCCTATTGCTCTAATTGTTTTGATTTTATTTTTTAAAATAACATTGTTTTCGAACATTCCTGGAAAATATGAAAATGTGTCTTCATTACCAAAAATCCTCGAAACAGGAATAAATGTTTTTATAAGTAACTCTCTGATCATAACAATTAAAACATATTATGAAAAATCAACTATATACAAATGTGGCGAAAGATAATCAATGACCATAGGGTGTAATATCTGAATGATTTGTTTGAAATTAAATAGATTTTTTTACGGTCTAAGTCGTATGTTGCATCTTTCTGAATTTGTATGGACACTACGTTCTTCGGTATTAGTAGTTTTTAACAGTTTTCTCCTTATAGACGCAACAGATAGAAGTGAGATTAGAAGCGACCAAAAGCGCTTTTTTATCGCATTAAGCCTATACCCCCTTTCATTTTTCGCGAACACTCCCTTTAACTAATCTACAAAGTTACCTTTTTTAAGCGTTTATATCTTTATATCCAAGCCGAGTTAAACAACACTACACCATTATAAAACAATAGGGGGGCGTTGGTAATTGATTAATTTGCTTATTGATCAATTGATTGATCAATTGATTAGTCGCAAATAATCAGTAAATAGATGTATTTAATGAAAAACTAAAATTGTAAATACGACAAGCTAAAGTTTGTTTGCAAAGTGTTGAATATATTTCTATTATATTGGTATTTTTTAATGATTTTTTCAAGGAAATCAACATGTTTACAAAGAGAAAAGATGTAGCCTTTGCTCATCCTTTTAATCATAAATTTAATTTAATCTATTTATTTGCACACAATTATAATGGTACAGTTTAAACGCAACGAGGATTGAGATATAAAATATATTAAACTAGTAAACATATGAATATATAATTGATGTATAGTCGAAAACAATAAAAACATGGTTAGTTCTTACATAAATCTAACAAAATTCTATTTTTGAAAATTTTGAAAATCCACAAAATTATTTTTATAGATCCGAGAAATTTTTGTTTGTGTTTGTTTTAAAATGTTTACAAAGAGAAAATGTTTACAATTGAAATTGAAAAGTCTAGTTTAGAACTGCATTTTCAGCTGGATTCGCGTAGATCAAGGACAGTTTATCTACATAGGTTTCATTTGCAATATTAGATAAAGGAGTTGAGTTTTTGCCACTAACTCTGATTTTCTAATCTCTTTATCTTTGTATACCAATGTCGTAGACCTTAGATATTTCAAACTATTAATACTTATAGATAAAGTAATCTAAGTTTGAAATATCAAAGGTTTGCACCATCAGGTTGCTAAGATATTGGGATAAGAAGATTTTAGTTTGTGGCTAAAACTCAATTCCTTTGTATCCAATAAACGTCAAACCGATCAGGCCCAAACTAGGGAAGGTTTATTGATGATCGAATTTTCAAAAATTTGCCTCTAAAAAAATTCTATTTTTGAAAATTTTGAAAATCCACGAAATTGTTTTTATAGATCTGAGAAATTTTTGTGTGTGTTTGTTTTACAATGTTTACAAAGAGAAAATGTTTACAATTGAAATTGAAAAGTCTAGTTTAGAACAATTATATTCAGTTTCATAATAAACTAAAGTTAAAAAACATTGAAGACGACAATTATTTCGTTTTAGTCTGGTTAGTGGTTACTACTGCATGAAATGAAATGAAAATAAGGAAGCGAAAAGTGAAAAAAAGGAAAAAAGGGGGGAAAAGAGGAATAAATCTATTTTTTACAAAGTTCGTGGTAAAATATTGATTCCCCTGGAGACCAGCAGAGGGATTTCATTTTGTTTGGAGGTGGAGGGGTTTGAAAAATCGCGATTTACAATTTAAAACTTTAATCGAGGTGATTTCCATTCAACTGGAGGGATTCAGATATCTTTCAAGGGGATTTATAATTCCACTGCACTGGAGGGATTCAGATATCCATCCCGGGTGTTTATAATCCCACTGAAGGGATTCAGGTATCCATTTAGGGGTTTTATAATTCCACTGGAGGAATTCAGATATTTATCCAGGGTGTTTATAATCCCATTGGTGGGATTCTGATATCTTTCCGATGTTTATAATTCCAATGGAGGGATTCAGATATTCATCCAGGAGTTTATAATCAAACTGGAGGGATTCAGATATCCATCCAGG